GACTGGCCAGCAGACCCCCCAGCAAGGCGCAGCCAACACTGGAGCGACTGGCCAGCAGACCCCCCAGCAAGGCGCAGCCAACACTGGAGCGACTGGCCAGCAGACCCCCCAGCAAGGCGCAGCCAACACTGGAGCGACTGGACAACAGACCCCCCAGCAAGGCGCAGCCAACACTGGCGCAACTGGCCAGCAGACTCCCCAGCAAGGCGCAGCCAACACTGGCGCCACTGGCCAGCAGACTCCCCAGCAGGGCGCAGCCAACACTGGCGCAACTGGCCAGCAGACCCCCCAGCAAGGCGCAGCTGGACAGCAACAGGGTGCCGCACAAGGACAGCAGGCTCAGGGTCAACAGGCCCAAGGTCAGCAAGCGGGTGCTGGCGCTGCTAACGGAGCTGCCAACGGAGCCGCAGCTGGTGGTGCTGCCGCAGGTGCTGCTAACGGAGCTGGTGCCGCCAATGGCGCTGCCGCAGGTGCTGCTAACGGAGGCGCTGCTGCTGGCGCTGCTAAGGGCGCCAAGGCCGCAAAGGGTAACTAAGCATTCTCTATCTCTCTGAGTTAGCTTATGAACCTCTTAACGACAACGATAGGGAAAAGGGTAGTAAATATGGAAGATGGGAGAGCAAGAGGATAATGGGTTAAATGTGCTGGTTCACTACTGACGCCAAAGGCCTAGCAAACTCGTCTTTGCTTATTAATTGTATATAAAGTTGAGTGTGTGTGTGTGGAATGAAATGGGTAGTAATGGGATAGGAGGTTGGATTGGCCTAGTGGTGTTTCTTTTGGTTACGAAGAAGCGACTCTTTAAGTATTTTGGAAGATGCTGGAGCTTGTAGTAATGGATTACAACGGTGTTAGTCTGCCGATGCAAAAACTTGTGTTCCCCTTGCAATGCAAATGTGATGAGTGACATTGATAGGATTCAGAGACTGCTTCTCCTCAAGGCCATCACAGATATTCTTCTATTGGTGTAGAGTTTCGACTGCAAAACTTGGGCACCGGGGTCATTACCATGAAAAAGTGACTTTTGGATTGATCTACTCGGAAGAAAGGACTATAAATTGTCCTTGATGATAGGCGCAGAGCCTTCGTGAATACCCTGGCATCTGAAACGGCATTGAAAGAAGTAAGTATATTCGCAAAAAAGGTGCAGCCTGGAACCCTTGAACGCCTTTTCAGTCTCACTCCGCCGATTCAATAAATATGCCAGGTAAACTTCAAAGACTTTTCTACTCCTTATCTATGCTCTAAGAAACTCGCAAGTACCTCCAGGCCGCTTCATTGATCTCTGACCACTTCTCCATGTTCTTTTCATCGCGGGCCTTCTTCTTCTTGGGAGTGATTTCGGCTTTGGTTCACTTCTGCCCGCCTGGTGGTAGAGGCATGTCAGACCAGCTTCCTAGCTATTTTGGTTTGTAGCCATCACATGTGGACACGATCTCACTGTTTACCGCTTGGCTATCGACCTTGACAGTGACTATGTCGCGGAACTCCGTGCCTGGGTAACGGAGGGTGAGACGGTCGTATACCATCTCAATCCTGGTCACGTTCTGGAAGATACAATCCATGATCCGTACCAACCGATCGCAGGCGATATTTCTGTATTGTCCGTATGTGCGGTCACTGGAGGCGAAAATGGCCCTGAAGTCGATGACCTGTCTGGTCAGTTCCAACCTTGTGACTACGACGTCTCTCGTCACACATTTCCGCCAAAATTTGTTCCGTATGGCCTCCTCTCTCAGAGCCAATGGGAGAACCTTTGGAATCCCAGCGCAGGGAATATTCGAATAGATCGGCAGTACGTCCCCGTACTTGACGCCGGCCATGGTAGAAATCTCGCCTCACTGTTGCTTTTGCAATGTCGGCAGCTAACTTCATCTGTTCGAAACTTGTGTGTTTCGTCGTGAACCATAGATGTCGATGACTTGGAGCGGACAGTAACTTGATACGCTGTTTTTTATAACGCGCGTTGATAACCTCGCCAGCTTATAAATGTTAGCGTGCGAATATAGTATTGATTAGGGTTGACATACTCTTGATGTGCAGGTACCATGACTTATATGGGACGTTGCGAACATCGGCAGAAGACAAGTGTGCAAAACCGAATGATCGCGTGACGTCCGGCAAGTTCGCGCCCTTGCAGTCCAGGAATATGATATGCCATGGAAAGGCAAAGGTGTGTGGCGTTGAATCCCATGACGTGGGCGAGTTGTTCTTGTCTGTCACACCAGAACGGCTGGCGTAGTCGATGACACAGCCTATGGAGCCGAGTAATGTGGCCACGGCATCGTTGACAGCGTCGTGTGCACCGAAAAACTCTTGTTTACCGGTTGACGCAAATTGCCAATGTGGTGCGCTATCTTTGGCGTAATGTCGAAGTATATTGCTGACTGAGCCACCTTGCTGACCGCGTTCGGCCTTGACGCTCCATTGTTCGTCTGGATTTTCTGCCAGCCAGACCAGCCCTAAAATCGAAATAACAGCGTTGACTTTGGGGAGCCATCCCCGCTCTAGTGAACGCCGCGGATGCCTTCGTTGTTGAGCCAGCCACGTTCAAGTTCCCAGTCATGGCCGCCTACGATAGGGCGAACCGGCGCAGGCCAACGAGGTGCCATTGTATTCGCTGATCGACGATGGCTTCGTCCCGAAAATACCGTTGAGGAGCTCTGGTCGTTCACCACTCAGCTTTGCCTAGGGCGACAGTTAGCTACACGATCAGGACTTGTGCATGTTTGTACTCACGATGTCATAATACCATGAATATGGCGCGGGCGTTTTCGTAGACATTTCGTCGTTGTGGAGAGAGTACAAAGTTGAGAGTAACAAATTTGCAAGTGAGAGTAACAAAGTAAGAAAGGTTCCACGGCTGCAGCCTGGCAACACTAGCATGGAAGGTGCAAACGGCGTTAGCCTTGGCGCCACAACCAGAAGGAGCAAAACGCACAGTCAGCACAATACGTGGCTATCCAAAGCTGCCAATACATGTAATCGGGCTTCACTCTTGTGGTCGCAGTGGCTACACCGCTACTCTTGTACAGATGCGGTACCACATCGACCAAACGCTACCAAGGCCTCTATCTCATTCATAAATCCGCAGAGTGTGGAGATTTTGATGACAACGCTCCGGCGCACTGGGCGAGGGAAGCCTTGGGGCCCACCTAGAATCTAACTGTTAGAGGATGAACATATGAGTTGTATATGTGTTCATTTACCTTCTATCATTCCACAATCCAATGCTTTCATCATAGATGTATGCATGTCTCTGGCCATACCGGACTGTTCCATGTATTTGTACAAATCTCCAACATCAAAGCAGCCATTCTTTTTGTCATATCGTATAGTATTGTGTGATCCCCGGGATACTGCGTATATTCGGCCGTGAGGGATTTTCGTCTGGCGCCGTGGCGCGTACAACCGGAATACCCCGACATATCAGTCGCCTGGGCCGGAAGGCTGTGGGACGCTCAAGAAGACGGGTTTCTTTTGTGAGACAGATGAGGCGCACGTGTGACGATGTACCAGTTGGTGATCGCGCATTTGCAGGTGTCGGCACTCACTTCTCCCCGCAAGTGCCTGCGCAGGAAGAGAACCTTGTCGTACAATTCTGTCATGATCCCTTTGCGTATATTGTCGAAACCACCGCCGGGCTTGTCAAAGTCGCGCCGACCCTGATCGCTCAATGGTTCTGATATGCGGATGTTGTTTCCGACCGCGACGTGACCATCATGGAAGGCCAGCGTCCGGCCTGCCGACCATTTCTCAGAGGCAGACGACCTCTCAGAATGCAACGAGTATCACTTGCCAGCTGTTGTGCCGAGCGCTCGGTCAATCGTGGTGAGGCTTTTTAGCGTTATGTGGGGAGGAACCTGGGGATGGGTGGGTATGATATGAACGCCGGCTTCATAATTGATGATAGTCAATTGATGACGAGGGAAGAAAGGTAAAGAGAGATGGAGATGGCCGTCGAGATAGAGGTTTATATAAAGGTGGCAGCCACCTGGCCCGCACAGACGTCTCTCTCACCTCGCAGTCACTTCAAGCCTTGGCAACCACATGTCTAGTGGCCGCATAGTCAACGAAGATTTCTAGAGGCATTTACACATATACCGAAATGTGATAGATGGACGACAGTGCATCGAAGGACTCATGACATACTTATAAGGTTGCTGAAGACGGGCAGCAGTATATTTGAATGACTCCCGGCATACTTATCAAATTACTCAGGACAAACAATTGTGTCTTTGAATGAGTCCAGGCACACTTATCAAGTCACTCAAGATGAGCAATCGTGTTATATTTGAACAACTCAGAATACTCATCAAGTGGCTCACGCAAGCTTGTAAAGCGTATGAAAAGCTACAAACATTTTGCAAATGCTCAACTGTCGTCTATCATCTACCAGGATGCTTATGTCATCCACGACATGTTTGCCTGAGGTTTCAAAACCTCAGGCCCGGAAACCTGGATACCTGATCTACGGAAGTGCGTGATCCCGTCTGCTACCCGGCCGTTTGGTTTATGTTTCGGGATGCTTTGATCAGGAGGCGGATCCCTGCCCAAGTGATGCTGGTGAAACGGGGTACAAAACCTCGTTTGCTGCAGGGTAATGGCGCCAAGTACCAGAGGGCAAAGAGCCGAGACAGCGGCAGTGCGAGGCGCCTGTCCTTGTCGCGACATGATGCTATATGTCTACTATAGCTCTGTTTTCAAATTATCATGAACTGTTTGGAGAGCTTGGGTTATGCTGATGATGTTGTTGCAGGCCGTTTTCTCACCGACGTTTGGAGTTGTGATAAGTCGGGCACTAATTAAGCACGACACCAAGTCGCGTGATGTACTGGCCTGGTCGCGAATGCTCCCTGCGGCATGCTCCGGTAAGGGTACAGGAAACCTGGTGAATCGAGGTACGCAGATTGCAACGCTGCTGCAGGCGGGAGATGCGCTGGCAGCCTATGACGACTGGGTCCGAGTTCTTAGATTTACTCGCCAAGTGAGGTTGCATCGAGTCGCTGACGGCACAGCTTGCTTTGCAGCTTTGCAGCTTTGGGCAGCTAGTTGGACCGAAACATCAACCTCGTAGCAGCTGATGAAAAACGTCTCCGACTAGAAGAAAGCGACGAACCATGGCTGAGGCCGAGCGCGCTGGCGGAGTACAAGGCGATCTCGAGAAGGAATTGACGTGCTCGGTAAGTGTTGGCTTCAAGTTTCGTCGTGGTGCGCATGTGGGGGCGGTCTGCGACAAGGCCGTAGAGGCAAGCAAAAGTGGGTTGAAGCAGTAGAGAGGGTTGCGCAACATGTTTGTCTGTAGAGTGAAGACACGAAAGAGAGGATAGCGGCTCGCTCAGCAACGAGGATGCGCCTGCTAATTACGCCATGTGCAGATCTGTACCGACCTCCTCTACCAGCCGCTTACGCTCCTCGACTGCCTTCACACCTTCTGCGGCGCATGTCTGAAAGAATGGTTCGCCTTCCAGGCCTCGACCGCGACATCGATACATCCGTACACGTGCCCGTCGTGTCGCGCTTCGGTGCGCACCACACAGCCCAATGCAACCGTCACCACGCTGCTTGATATATTCTTAAAGTCCAACCCCGATAGAGGCAAGAACGATGAAGAAAAGCGCGCAGATCGCGACAAGTACAAACCTGGGGATAATGTGCTGCCCAAGCTGAGGCGGCGGGATGAGAGAGACGACGTGGATCAGCGCATGCTCGAAGAGGCCCAGCAGCTGAGTCTGAGAGAGGCAGGCATACCCAGCAGTGGCGGCAACCACCTCGAAACACCTCGAGAGCGCAGGAGGAGGGAGAGAAGTCGCGATGCAAGCAGGGAGTCTCGTCGGAATCGGGACGAGAGGCGGTCGGCCAGTCAGAACCCACCAGGCACATCGCCATCACGGGCAGTCATACCGCCTAGAGCTATCGAGCACCAGTCGAGTCTACGCTCTCTGCTTAGCTCATCCGATCTCGATGCCGATGACGTGGATGAGGATCTCGTGAGACAGGTGCTGGAGGAGCTAGTGTCGGAAGGCGTCGACTTGAATCAGATTGGTACTGCGCAAGAGGAAGAGATTACCGAGAGGATAGCCGAAGCGGTGCGGCGGCGACAGATGGAACGACATGCAGAGAGACAGCGCGAGAGGAGAGAGAGGCGGGAACGCTTGGCAAGAGAAGGCTTGAACTCGTCCTCTTCGTCGCTACTGCCCCAGCCCTTGCGCAGTCCTCTTATACGCGATGACGAAGCAGCACGTAGAAGAGGTCATGGCCGGTCTGAAAGCGGTACATCGACGCCTCATTCTGCAGTAGGACCACCCATATCTAGGCCCGGCCTCATCGATGCTGCAAATCGAGGTGGGCGTGCACCACGTCAACGATCTTCGAGTCAAGGAAGCTCGCGGTCAGCCAGACGAGCAGAGCGTCCTACGCCCGTCTCCATCACGAGCTCGCAAAACAATAGCGGCAATGAGCGTCCATCGACATCGGGAAACGCATCTTCAAGACGTCGTCAGTCTGATAACCAGCAAAGGAGCAGGCTCGATGCGCGTCAGCAGTTCCGCAACAATGTTCAACTTGCCACAGCTTCAGGCCCCAACTCTCCTCTCGGTCTTGGATTCAATATCCCCAGCAGCGGTAGTCCTACAAGCTCTCTGGCTACGGTTGGCACCTCAGCAGTACCACCACCTACATCCCGTCGGGTGACGGATCCCACTAGAGTCACACTGCCGCGCCAACACAGTAATAGTACTCCGCCCATGCTGTCACCTCCTGCCTTTCCCCGCTCTACTACAGACCCATCCGTGCACGAGACTCGGTCAAGACACTCTTCAGCCTCGTCGTTGAGCGCGCCTGTCCTCTACACAGAGCCACAGATAGCATGCCAGCGCTGCGGCAAGAGCGACATTCAATACGAGCTGCACTACAACTGCAGCCGATGCGATGATGGCGAGTACAACATCTGCGTACGCTGTTATCGACTCGCCAAGGGATGTAAGCACTGGTTTGGCTTTGGCTGGACTGCCTGGCCACGCTATGAACGAGAAGCACCCGAAGGAGGCTATCCACCCAACCACGAGCACCCGCATATACTCATCGGACATCGATATCGCAGGCCAATGACGCCGCTCACGGAATCCACAACGCCACCGCACGTGTTGATGAGCGAGGACGACCCCAAACAAAGAGTCGAAGCCGGCGCCTTCTGCGACATGTGCAAGGCATTCGCCAACGCATGCTATTGGAAATGCGACTACTGCAATGAAGGAGATTGGGGTTATTGCAACGACTGCGTCAATCAAGGCCGGCATTGCACGCATCCCCTAGTCCCCGTGGCGAGGAAGACGCGCACAACGCAGTCAATAACCGACACCACACCATCTGCGCCCTCGACGCCCCGCCAGGACAACCACCTCGCGCCACCAGACCACGACACAACGGCCACGACACCTCCACTAACGCCCAAATCCGCGTCTCTGATGCGCGGGCCCGGCTACTTCACCATCGCAAACACCATCTTCCGCCCTCTTACCTTCACCACCGTATGCAACATATGTCGCTACCCCATTCCCCCCTCAAACACGCGCTACCACTGTCTTAAATGCAACGCTGGCGATTATGACATATGTACGGGCTGCTACCATAAACCCGTCGTCGCCAGCCGCATTGCCAAAGAGGATGGCATGAATGGGTGGCGCAAGTGTCTGCGCGGTCATCGCATGTATATCGTTGGTTTTGAAGATCGCGATGGTGCGCAACGACGTAAGGTTGTCCGTGACCTTGTAGGGGGATATGCGCTCAAGGAAGAAGAAGAAATGACGATGAGGTTACAACGGTATCCGCCTGATGGTGGGGTTGGGTTGAGGCTTTTGGCTAGATGGGCGTATTGGCCTGACGAAGGGGTTGAGGATGAGTTAGCATTTCCAAGGGGCGCGGAGATCAGGGAAGCGGCGGATATTAATGGAGACTGGTATTGGGGGGTTTATTGTGGTGTTGGAAGGTTATTTCCTGCGAATCATGTCACTGCTATCTAAGAAAAGAGCATATGGTATGTTTGAATTACTTCTGAACATGACAATCTGTTAGCGTGCACAACGTCCCCATCCTACACTATCCCAAAAAGACAAAAAATCAACAAACATTAAACAGATAAAAGAGCCCATATGACGTCCAACATGATCATGGTGTCAGAGCAGCTACGATGCAACTTGACATCCTCGAGACCGTACAAATGCCGATATACATCCTGTAGTAAATACGTCCCGCAATCCATCATCTGCAGCGAAAGATAGTAGACATTATGCATCAATCAATTGAACCACAGTAGCTCCGTTGTAATCAGCAGGACAATTCAACACAATACCGCCATCGTACTTTCTAATGCATACCTCGAAGGCCACCGGACAGGAAAAGGTAAATATAGAGAATTCAGTATCGACAATCCAAACGTGAACTGATTAAAATGCCAGCTGTCGCAACCATTTCAGCTCGTGTTGCCATTCATCGTCCTCGGGATGATGTAATAGTCGGGATGCGCGATCTATATGCATCTGACAATGCCGAAACCCAGGTGCAGATGCAGTGGTGTAGGTAGAAGCACACACACCACGCACATTGTTATCTGAACTTAGTTGGTGTGTGCTGTGTTGATGGCCGCCCGGAACCACGGACGGGTTTCCACGAGATCGCTTTCTTTTTGAGGTTTCCTTGTATCGACATATCATGTGCTGTCGAAGGCGTTCCGGTTCTGAACGATGACGAGCATCGTCAAGTTGCGCGATATGGTCAATGGCGCTCTGGTCGGCAACATCGAAAGTATAGTTATCGTCCTGCCGCAGCGTTCGCACATGCTGCATCGAGGAACAGTGTCGATCATGAACCCATTTACGTAATTCAATCTCAGTGTTGTTTGTATTCAAATTGCATCTGGAATCGGCATTTTTTTGGGCTAATGTGTGGTTGGCGATAGTCGGCGGCACTCCTACGTGGCGGTCGCGTTTTCATGGTGTCTTTGCCAGATCCTCACGTCGATGTAGCGCCCGACGAGTCCAAAGTGACTCTGTGCTGTTGACCCGTTAGCAAAATGCAAAGACGCCGACATGCATCGACTTACGACATAGCCGTTGATACGAAAACCTTCCTCTTGCAACTTGTTGATAAGAGACGGTAAAGATATGAGTGTCCTTCAGGATTGTGACAAGACTTTCAGTGGTGTGAACGGTGTGAATGTCAAAGATCGCGGCCAACACATCAGCGTCGAATGACATTGCCGACGTCATATCTGGTGGTATGGAGACCGTGAACGCTCCATAATAGAAATATTGACCTGTTGAAAATATGACGTGGGTAGAGAAGAAGGAGCACAAGTACGAAGATACATCACCAGGGCTTTTGCTATAAATGAAGACCAATTACGTCACCATGGTAGCAACGTGAACCGAACGGCGACTCCCAACTTCAAGCAACGCTGCTTCATTGGTTGACATTGGTCACCCATTTAAGACAACGCTCAACGTATTTGTTTCCACGCTCGACTTCTGCAAGCGTTAATCCGCAACTCCCACATGAGGAACTCCCATCGCACACGAAGTCACATCCTCTGGGATACCTCGACACCCCAAACTCTCTTCTCGCCGCCATACCCGCACGACGCGATATGGCATCGACCACAGAATCATCACACATCAAGAAAGAACCTGACGATGAGTCTGGATGGAAGATCACATGGCTGGATACAGTGGTGGATGGAGACACCAAAGGTGGCTTAAGAAAGCCTGCCTTTCGGCATTCTGATCATGTCATGCAGGACTCTCCCAGCTCAGGTACTATATTCAAGCTCTTCAATATTCACACGCTAACATTACATATCAGTTTCTCGCTATCCCGCTGACTCCAGACCGCCTCGTCACCCCTTCAACCAATTGATATCACTCTAACCGCGCCAGACGAGCTTCGCCTGCAAGGCGTTCAACAACGTACCCTCGACGATGCCGATTGCGGTAGAGTAGGAGCTCTGCCGTCACATGGAGATCCAGCACTAGTACAAGACGAGCTAGACTCGCTATCTACCTATACGCGTACTCATCTGGCTATCATTCTTGCGGGTGTTTGCGAAGATCTGCGTGTCGTGCTGCCAACTCCGGCCACAAGGTCCCCTGTGCACGGCTTCACATCTGCAACACATGGCGGATGCATCTGCTGGGGAAGGGTCCGGCATGTCCTCACGTCGGGTTGGTACATGATATCGTCGTCGACGGTACGATATCGAAGTTGGTACACATCCGCTCCACTTGCAAATCTGTCGTGCAGAAGAAGCCCTGCACCAAGGTCGTTTGTGCCTTTGGTCATATCCTACGGCCGGAGCGGTATGCCGCTCACGAGGGATACAAGATGGCACGACAACAGGGTAAGGCCAAGGAGTCGGCAGATATGATAGCTTGGGCGGATCGACATGGGTGGACAGAACCCGAGCAGTACAAGACTCGTGCGGAAGACCGACGCATGGGAACACGACAGCGGACGATGGGTGGTGATAAGAGTCATCACCCTAGTCGAGGAGCTCGTCCGTCACACGCGAATCGTGGTCGGCGGTCGCAAGATTACCGAAGATACCCATACTAGGGGTGGTACCCTTTACGATCCCTCAACGTCCTAGATAGCGTGCCCTTATGTACAATACAAACTTGACTGTTATTGCCTACTCTCCAGTACAACATGACTTCAAAATATACGCGCAGTTTTAATTTACGTGAAGGGATATGACTAAAGAAGGTAAATTTTGGATTCTGGTAGTCGGAAAATTGGGGGTGTTCTGGAATGCTGTCCTAACTATTGTGGTTTTCGAAATACCTTGAGCCGCCTGGATCTGGTTAGCTTGGTGCCCAAGAACATCAACTCCCATAGTAATTTGTTAGTAAATTAATGCAGCAGCCGTTTCCCACCTCCAGAAGCCCATGAAGCTAGTCCTGTACTCTAAATCGTTCGTGTATAGCGTTTTGTTTGTGTGGAGCTTGTTGCGAGCTCAATCTAGCTGCTGTTGGGATGCCGCCCAAGCGCCAGCGTAAGCCGAAGCAGCCATTCGATCAAGGCGTTAACCCGTCCTCCCAGAAGCGTAGAGCGCCAGCAACTAGACAAAATCCTACCCATTTAACGCCTAAACGTGTCCGCCGTGAGGCGCTGCCGTCGCCTCCAGCGACTGCCCCGCCGCGCCGTCAAAGCCCGTTGTCCGAGCCTGAGCTGCAAGCCACCCAAACAGCTGCCTCCGCGCAAGCTGAAGATATCGTTGGCGAGGATGAGGATACTTTCGAGGATGGAGATGGCGATCCGCTGCCTGAGGATGAGGATGAGATCGCTGCTAAGGGCGCTGCCGGTAGTGTTGAGGATGAGGGAGAGCCAGCGTACCGACGTCAAGAAGGCACTCCATGGCTGCCTCGCTCATCGCAAGCGCTAGAGGATGAGGTTAATCCTGTACTGCGCGTTAGGTGGAGGGCTTGCCTTGGTGGTGATATGGAGAAACACTTTATTCCTGAAGCTGCCGATAGCGAGCACGGCGTACGGCTGTACTCGCTGCATTTCGACGACCTATGGCAGTGGGTAGATGACGTTGTTGCAGAATTACGGCCAAAAAGAGCGAAGATCTCATCTGTTTGCACTGTTGTTTACCCAGCTAAGCAGGCCAAACGCGAGCGCGCGATAAAGCGATTGCGGCGAGGTGTTGATGCAACGTGGAATAGCTTTCAGCGCCTTGTTGTAGAGGTTGATAACTATGTCAGCGAGCCAGTAAACGTCGATTTCGAGCTCATCTTGGCTGAAATTCCAGGGGAGCAGCAGCCGTTGCCAACGGTTGTCGACGGTCCTCGTCGACGCACCGCAACGGTGATTCAAGAGGAGGGGCTTGCTGGTGTAATAGCAGCTGAACAAGCAGGTAGCGGGCATGCTATTGCTATCCGGGATAGATGGCGCTGTACAGATACCCATTGCGAGAACTATCCTTATTGCTGCTGGATGGCGCCAACAGCGAGGCAGCCAGCGCGCTTCGAAGATCACCTCTTTGTCAACGGCAACATTATCTCCATGTGGGCAAGAGCAATTACAGCGAGAAGGGCAACGTACGATGAGCCATCTGATGATGTACGGCTTGCAATTTTGAGAGCAAAGGACCTGCGGGTGCATGAGAAAACGCGCAAGTTGCGGGCGGCTGGAGATGGCGACGATGATATCAAAAGCTTAACAAAACTGCTCATCGTTGGACAGCTTGAGCGGATGAACAGGCAACCTCAACAGGAGTCTAACTTGCAGGCAGCTGCACCAACGATAACAAGAGCTGAGGTATCTAGTGCATCTCAGTGGGCGCCTATCCGATATGATCATGAGCAGGAGATTAACGAGCATACTAGTAATTTCTTTAACTACCTTAAGTTAAAATTTCCTACAGTTGGAGAGGACATTAACGAGCTTTATAAGACTCTTGTTATTGACGGAGCTATGGATATCAACCTCTTGATGCAGCCATCTGGTGATATCTTGAAGTTGTGGACGCAGCATTTCAAGCAGCCTCCTGGCTGGTTTTTCACGCTACAAAACACTGCAAAAGAATGGCAAGCTGGGTACCAGGGTCTCACAGATCGTAACTGGAGACGAGTCGAACGTTGTAAGAAAAGAGAAGAGATTGCGCGCAAGAAATTGGTGGTTGAACCGTCTAGCAGTGTTGTGGAGGATGATGGCGAGAATGCTTGAAGCTTAGTGGCCTGAGCGTTTTTGGTGACAGCGGCCCGTGCCCGCTATAGTGTTGAGGTTTTTCAGGCGTTTCAAATGCGCTGCAACAATAGTCTATTTGGATAGCCCTATGTACAACACTACAACGTTATGCGATTATAACAGGTTAACTTCCTAAGATAGTTCTATATGTATAGAAATAGCTCTTATTTTTTTAGAATTATTAAATCGCTTTTGTGGGTTGCGCATTAAGGTGTAATCGTTCGCATTTGTATGGTATCATCTACCTATAGAAACGTACTGTGGCATCCATTTAAAAGCACAATTAATAGGGATAGCCACACCTATGGAACCAGCTTCTGCAGTTAATATTACAGCACACCAGCTGCGCTGCATACTCAAGAAAGACCCCAAAGTCAATGAAGTTCTCCGCTTGCGCTGAATTCCTTTTCATCCACCCCTTGAGCTGCTTAAAGCTCTTCTCGATGGGGTTGAAATCTGGTGAGTATGGCGGCAGATACTCAAGGAGTACTCCAGCACTTTGGCAAAGCACCCGTACACGCTCTGATCGATGGATGGAGGCGTTATCAAGCACGATTACTGAGGCTGGCCCTGGGTGAGGATTGCAGAACGGCAGCACTTGAAACTCTAAGAAGTCTTCTAGGATCTCAGATGTAATCGCGCCTTGAAAGATCTTATAGCTTATGTAGCCATCTATCGTCATGGCTGGCAGCAGCGACCACCGTTCTGATCGCCTGAAGCTGTGTGATAGCTCCACCGGCTCCCCGATTGGAGACCAGCCATACTTGCGGTCGCCCGTACGCTCATTGCAGGCGCTCTCGTCCAACGCAACGATCTGCTCCGCCTTATAGTGTTGCGCCATCCTGGCAAGATAGAGGCGGCGGAGTGGCTCACTCTGCTCCTTTGCCCGCTTTGTTGCAAGCTTGCGAGACCATCTCATCTTCTCTAGCTCTCGGTAAACGCTCGCAAGGCTTATCCTAACGTCGTACTCGTCGTACAAGAAGTCCCTCATCTCATCCATGTATGCGCCCGGTGAGCCATTGAGGTATGCCTGAAGGCCTTCGCGCTGAGCTTGCCGGAGTATAGATGGCCGCCCAAGTCGAACGCAGCGCGGCGGATAAGGCACGCCCCAAAACTCTAAGCTCAACCTCAGCTTTGCTACTGTGTTACGGCTCGCACCTGTAGCTCTAGAGATGGCTCGATCACTTTCGCAGGCAGCAATTCGGTCGAGGATAGCCTGGAGAACAGCGGGCTGCAAGCGGTGGCCGGTGCCTGGCATCGCGATGAGATGGGCTCGAGAAAATTGCAACACCAAAAACGCGAGTCAGTAGAGGCGATCGCAGCAAACAATGAACTTCAAATACGTTGTGGGTGTTAGAAAGCGTGGCTGCATCGATTTACTAACAAATTACTATAGGAGTTGATGTTCTTGGCCACCAAGCCAACCAGATCCAGGTGGCTCAAGGTATTTCGAGAAACACCCATAACGTGTCTGTGCGCGTGATGCCCATAATCGCGTGCCGCACACCCCACCAATATCGCGACGACGGCAAAGTTGAGGCTGCGCAGCCACGTACAATAACTATTATCGCGAGATTTTCCGGTGTATTGATCTATAGACGTAGCTCTACAACTTTGTCTATCTATATTTTGCCGGAGTATTGACGGCCCGGCCGCGTCGGGTGGTTGTTGGTGGGGGAGCCGGTGCAGCCACCTCAGCCAGAGTACCACCGCCAGCACCACCCACGCGTCGTTTTTTTGGCTGTTGCTTTGCAGCGGGCTTTGAAGCCTTACGCTTGCCCGACTAGGGTTGTTGTATAGCCTTTGCAGCGTCGCGATCGCGTCGTTTGGCGTCAAGTTCGGCAGCCTTTACAGCCTTGGCTTCATCCCGCACCTTCTTTGCCTCCTCACGCGCCGCCCGCGCTGCCTCTTTGATCTTAAGTTGATAGATCCTGTTGTTCTCCTTTGCCTCTTTCAACTCTATCTTATCAAGTAGCTCTTTCTCCTTCTCCTTCTCCTTCACTAGCTGCCTAAAGCGGGCCTCTCGAAGCTTGCACGGCGACCACTAAACTGCCCCTGAATAGAACGCTTTTCGCTGCTGTAGATCTAGGGGAGGTTCGTGCCGATTGCGGGGCTTCTGGTGAACGTGTAGCGCCGCGCGCAGTGCGTCCTTCTCGTACTCGGCGATCTCTTTGGCAGCCTGGAGGCGGAGGAGTATTTCTGAGAGGTTGTTGGCCGCAATAGAGCTCGGATCGTAGGCCTGATTAATGAGGTTCGTGATAGTAGCTCTACTCACGTTCACTAGTGGCGGCGGTGCTGTTAGTGTTGACTTTCGGAACTTTTTAAGTACTACTTCGGGATCTATAGGAGCTATCCCAGTGGCTTTAAATGCCTTCAACGCGTGCTTCTTAATAAAAGAGGAGTCCTAGGCAGGCTTAAAAAGACGGTAGAAGTCATCCTTCCTCACAGCTAAGAGACCGTGGCTCGCCTGGAGGTAGTGCTGCAAGCTGAGTGAGTTCGCGGCTGCTAGAGGTTTGAACATTACCACATCGAGTGGCTGCAGCGTATGGGTACTATGGGGGGGTAGTACGAGTAACATAATATTGTGGGCGATCGCGTAGTCAATAAACTCCATAGTAACGTGACTCCCATAGCCGTCAAGGATGAGTAAGCGTGTGTGATTGCCGGCCTTCTCCTTCGTATGGCGATCAAACACCTGTTCGAGCCATGCCAGGCCTACCTAATCATTGGTCCACCCTGAGGGACTTGAGGTAACGTAGACTAGATCGTCAATTGCGATATCATCAACCTATCTGGCGTACATGTTGCCCGAAGTAGCTTCGTATATAATCGCGGGCGGTAACGTACTCCTATTAGCACATATAGCAGCGATAACAGTGATCCAATCTCTGTTGCCGTCCTGTATCACTTTCTTAAAGCCCCCAGTCTCATATTTCTGCTTACTAAACACTCTCTTACTCCTCCCCGTTACTCTAATAAGGAATCCCTTCTTATCTATATTATATACATCCTGCGCCCGAATATAGTGCTGAGCCATTTTAGTAGATAGTAGATCAAAGTACGACTCGTACTTGTATACAGAATCAGCCTGGTGGCGATTGCGGTCCAAACCAGTTGACCAACGTGATATAATCGCGTCGGGATGACGGTGAAAGAAGCGCGTCACCTAGCTTTAGGAGGCAGCCCTTCCGGCTATAGCACTAGCAAAGTTCTAGATTATAGTCCTCGTCGGTGGTAAGCCAGCCTTAGTAAGCTCATTAATGTGCTCTAGAAGCTGTAGCTCCTAGTGTAGGTAAAGGAGTTGCTGATTACGTGATTTGGCTTCATTTGAGCCCCGGATCTGTTGATGGCGTCGCGACAACGTAGAGCGATCAACACCAAAGCGGCGCGCAACCTCAGAGTATGTAAATTTATCTCCGGGATCACGCGATTCAATAGCTTCAATCGCAGCGTTGATACAACTCATAGTTGTGGAGTTATGGGTGGTTGAAGTGGTAAGGGTGGATTGGTGTTGATGTTGCGGGGTGTGCGGCACGCGATTATGGGCATCACGCGCACAGACACGTTAATCGATACGGGCTGACGTCGCACAGCATCTCAACGTCCACGAAACATTGCTTCATAACCTCTACCCCAACATGGCAGGAACACGCCGAAGTACGCGTCAGACAGCATCTACAGCCCCTAAATACAACGAGGATGACTCTTCAGCCGCCGAAGACAAGACAAACTCGAAACGTAACGCGAAGAGGACGACGCGTCGCAAACGCGCGCGGAACGACGACGATGACGGCCACGAAGAACAAGTAGTTGAGGATAGCCCACCGCCGAACAAGAAAGCTGCTACAAGCAAAGCGAAGAAATCACGAGCAAAAGCACCCGCAACTACCACATCAACACAACCCGAAAGCTCCACGCCGAACCCCACCGTTGTATCTGCTCCCTCTTCTTACCCATCATCCTCCTCAAACCGTCACGCAAACGGAAACCAAGAAGTGTACTGGCTGCTCAAAGCTGAGCCCCTTCCACGCTACGAAAATGGTGTCAACGTCGCCTTTTCCATATCCGACCTACGCGCATGTACCAAACCTGAACCCTGGGGTGGCGTACGAAACCCCCAAGCACGAAATAACATGCAAGCGATGCGCAAAGACGACTTGGGCTTCTTCTACCATTCCAACGCCAAGCCCTCGGGTGTTGTAGGTATATTGCGTGTGGTGGAAGAGGCAAAGGTCGACGAGACAGCGTTTGATCCCAAGGACCCCTACTATGATAAAAAGTCGGATCCGGAGAAGCCCAAGTGGTTTTGTGTGGGTGTCGAGTTTGTGAAGGAGTTTGAAAAGGCGGTGGATTTACATAAGATCAAGGAATTTGCCAAGGATGGTGGGCCGTTGAAGGATATGCAGCTTGTTACCAATTCTCGGCTGAGTGTGTGCAAGGTTAGGAAGGAAGAATGGGATTTCATAATGGGCTTGGCTGAGGGGAAGAAGGGGGATGGAGGAGAAGATGCACACAAGGCTTCAGAGAACGAGATTGAAGGAGTTGATACGGATGAGGAAAAGGCGGAAGTAAAAGACAAATGATGCTAAACCAAGGCTCAAGATGGAAATTGATTTCATTGAGATCGTGTAATCCACTTTGATTCATTAAATCGCTATTAGCCACAAAGGCCAACCGTCTACATGTACTTCTTCATATCCGATGACTGAACACAAGTTCTAGTATTGGAGTGCGGCAATAACCTCCGGGCTATTGAAGAATCCGCATCGCTCCTTCAATTTCTGCTCCGCCATTACCTGGGTCGCATTTACCTTGCCCAGAGCGTTGTTGCCAGGATCGGATCCACCAATGGTCATCACATGAGGTCCCCCAGGTCGACTAAACGCCTCATCCCAACTCGGCAATGTCATCGCAATTTTTTCGCTCATAGTCGGAGCACCCTTGCTAACAAATGTTGTCCATGAGCGACTCGACCGGATGGCAAGATCACGATCAGACGCCGTTGGGTTGTATGGCAAGCCTGAGTTGTTGTATACGTGCATGCTATCGAAGATGTATGCAAACTCAGAGGTATGCACTACTCCAAGACCTTGGACCTTCAAGAGATATTCGAGGATCGGGTCGAGAATGGTCTGGTTCCAGTTGTAGAAGTAGACTGGGGCTTCGAACATGTTGTTGATGGCACCTCCGAGGTGTAGAGACGGGCACACCATCAAGATGTCGCGGAAGATGCGGGAAGAGCGATAGAACTCTTGCGTCAGATTCACAGTGGAACCAAACTCCTCTACAGGGTACATGTTCAGTAGCTGCAGAATCGTGGTTTCTGCCATGGCTGGTAGATAGCCGCGGATGAAGTCGTATGTGTCCTTGGCGGTCGAAATGGAACGGTTGGTATAGATGTCGAGGTCTCCTTGCATCCATCCGGACATGAAGGTTGCATTTCCGAAACGGCCTTCCGCAATGAGCTTGCTGGGTGCATCTGGTAGGAAGTCGCCATCAACCTGTGGTAGCCAGACATCACCAATGTTATGAGCAATGTCGGCAATGTATGTGGCGTTTGAGGCCTCAAAGAGAGTGTTGGTGTCAAGTCCACGCAGGCACTCGATCGTGTCCGGATGGTCCACGTCGGTCTTGTTGCATCCAACATAATCGATCACAGCTTTCATAGCCTCCTTGGCAAAAGTACCAGTGATACCAGGCTCCAATGATTGTGACTCAGCAATACCCCGCTGGAATGGCAGTGGCTTTTCTCCTCCATAAGCTAGGATCTGCATTCCAATTGCCAGACCGCCGGAAGATTGACCCGCGATGGTAATTCTCGTCGGATCCCCACCAAAAAAAGCAATGTTATCGCGAACCCATTCAATAGCGGCGCGCTGATCGCGAAGGCCGGCGTTCATACTGCCCTCCTCTTTCAGCGATTCCGAGGTTGCGAAGCCGAACAATCCAAGACGGTAGTTCAAGGCAACATGGATGATGGGATCTCCGTTCTCCACTGACTGCTTGATCATACCATCAGGGGCAGTTGTCGGTTCATTGTTACTGGCCCACCAGAAAGATCCTCCATGAATCCAGACGAGTACCGGAAGTGGCCCCTTGCCTTCTCTATCCGCCGGCTTAGGACGGGCGACGTTGACGTTCAAACAGGCCTCTGAGATCTCGGTGATATTGTCGAGTCCAAGAGGGGCGTAAAGCTGGCCCAGTGCCTGTGGACACGCAGGACCGTGTTGGGTGGCGTCGATGATGGAACCGGGAGTGTATTCGTAAGGGACAGGAGGCTTGAATCGGTTCTCGCCACCGGTGTCTTTAGCATACGGGATGCCCAGGAAGATCTCAATACCATTGCGCTCAATGCCTTCGAAAGTCACGTTGCCGCGCGGGTTGGTAAGTACTACGCCCGCTGCGACTGTGGCAGATGCCAGAAAGCACAGGATGGAGCCGCGCATCTTGTCTGCTGCTGTTGTGTTCCCGAGAGTGCAAAGGAGTGGAAGTGGACAACAGACTAAGCTAACAGGCAGACAGCAGTGTTTATATAGGTGTGAGCTGCGATATGGGGTCCAATTAGACGCGCTATCATAGCGACGCTAAGCGACAAGCGGCAGGTGCGCGCTATGACGTGCAAATGTTTGAGTGCATTAGTTGCGCCGTATCATCATGACAGCACGCATTTCTTTGGAGTCTGTGGAGTCAAAAACTAATTAGGGTTGGGATCTCCAAGGGCTTGCCGCGAGACGTGCATGACTTAGTGCTGATACGCTAATTCCAATACCGGGCCTATCCTTCAGTCCCACCGGATCACCCCATGGTTGTATGTACATAAGACGGTCCCAAAAGCATCTCCTTACTTACAACCGGCCCGCCCGTTGCCGTAAATGCCTCACAACCTGATCAAATCTCTCGTAGCAGTCCTGTTCCGCATCAAAGCTTAATAACCAGGCCTCGCGCGCTAGGTGAATCGATTCCGGCTTTCTTGCAATCTCGTTCCAATTCGCCTTGTGCCACCGGTCCCTTGTTTTCACTCCCGTAGCTTGCGCTTTGTGTACCCTTTCATATCGCAGATCCTCAAACGCTCGGACAGCCAGAGGAATTTGGTGTTTTCCGGCTAGCGATAAACAGGTGGCTAAGACAACACCATCTTCAATCGACTGGCTGGCTCCCTGGATAGAAGTCGGCAGAAAAGGATGCGCCGCGTCACCAATCAAAACAATGCGCTGCTTTGGTGAGATGAATGTGGGCAATGGATCGCGGAAGACGAGTTTATGATCGATGAGACGAGCGTCCTTCGGTGTCGACTTGACTATCTCTTGAACAATAGGCGCCCATCCCTCGACGTATTTAAGACAGTCTTCTATCCTCCCGGGAAACTGCCAGCTCTCCTCGATATTGCCATCATCGACGTGCGTAAAAACCCAATTGAACTCTTTCCCATCCTTGAGAGAAGAGACAAGGAAATGCAGATCTGGCCCAATGAATCCAGAGTGGCTGTCTCCATCAACGAGGTGCTTCAGGGTCGGATTACTCCTGATAGCGTCACCTGAGAACCACGATCGATACACCGCATATCCTGAACTCTTTGGTTTATCATCAAACCCGAGGACAATTTTGCGACTGCGGGACCGTACTCCCTCTGCTGCAACCACGACGTCTGCAATGATCTCTTTTCCATCGACAACCACACCCGCTTTCTCCTCATCCTCGAAATAGTCGCTCACCCTTGAACCCCATCTGACCTCAACACCCCTCTCAACAGCATGTCCGTAGATAATATTCCACAACTCCCCTCTATGCCCATTGATCCTCGGCCCCCATTCCTGCTCCCCCTCAAAGCTCTGTCTTGTCACAAACTCGCCCTTCCAATGATAAAAGTCCAACCAAGTAGTTTTCCTAGCCACCTTTTTCATGGCTTCGATAACGCCAGGCCACCGCTCAAAGTGCCGCGCTCCGTTCGGATCAAAACTGATGATATCGCCGAATTGCGTTATCTCGTCTGGAGATGCGGCTTTGTCGAGAAGAACGACAGTGTGGCCTTTACGGGAGCATTCTATGGCTGCAGAGAGACCGGCGAAACCGGCGCCTACTAATATGACGCGTATGCCTGTTGGTGGGTGGGTTGCGGAGTGAGTCATCATGATACTCAGCTAGCGAGGTGCTCAGAGAATTGAGAGCAACTGCTGACATTCATATGTAGTGTCCAATGTAGCCTGATCTTCCTTGCAGTGTGGGGTTTGCTTATATCTACGCCACATGGTTTTGCCCCACATGCAGTGTGACGATCGCGCACGGCAAGGAACTGCGAGTCAACACCCGTTACCCGCGAGCCTTGCGCTATCATTTCCCTGCTATCATCATATTTGCTGGAATTTCTTGTTAATTATGTGCGACTGGGATCTAGGCTGTAGCAAGGAGCAGGTCCGGCACTTTGACGCTACCTTCTATATTAGGACTAGCTCTCGGCATTGTATAGTGGTTGTACATGTGACTACACTCTCCATTATGCATATCCGTATCTAGGTCGGTGTTATCTAATCTTTTTGACTCACATCCCAAGATCAGTCCAGAAATTGCTGATGAAGCTTGCAACCTCTGGTACCCTTTCCCTGACAAGACCATGTCCGGCCTGCGGAACCACAAAGACGTCTTTGAATCCCAAATCCCTCAGCTCTTGCTTGTTACACAAGTCATCCTTCTCGCCCAGCACTACTAATGCCGGTTTTCTAGTCTGTGCCGCCTTTGTAAAGCTCTCGTGATTATCCATCACTCCTCCGTCCCTGAAAATCGCTACAACAGAACCCACATGACCGGCATGCTCCCGCATCTGCCACTCCCTTACCGCTTCAGCAACGACCTCGCCCCTCCCAACTCTTTCCTTCCAGCCTCCCGGTACTACGAGATCTTTGCCTTCAAGGAACTGCAACACCCACTTCCTTGCTGCGTCTTCATCGCTACCAGGCTGGAAAAGCTCTTGTTCAGCCGCTGTGAAGCTCGTAGATCGGATTAGTCCCGCCGGCGCGACCAAGGTAAAACTATTTACCCGTGAAGTGCGTGAATCGGCGTATCCGACTGTCAGTGATGCTCCGAAAGAGTACCCCATGAGATGGGCAGAGGGCCAATACAGCTCGTCTAACATTTCATCGAACAATTCGTGGAAGAGAGCTGCGTCATGTGGTAGTATGGGGGTATCGCTTAGTCCATGGCCCCAGAGATCTAATAATGCGAATTGCGAGTCTGGGAACAAGCTGTGTAGCGCGGCAGCCAAGGGAAGCATGCCCAGAGCAGGGGTTTGTACACCGTGGATGACAAGTACACGATTGAGTGTTTGGACGGAAGGAGTTGGGGAGATGTTATAGCATGCGACTTTTCCATGGGAGGTGTCGAGGTATCGGACTGGTGGTAGGAGGGTCCCAAAAGCAGATGTGAAGGCTTGCTCCGATGGACCTGAGATTGGGGGTTTTGGTCGAGTCGGCAGGGCTCCGGGGCGTGGAAGGACGAGGTTTTCTGGGCCGGAAGTCATGGCTGTCTGAAGTGTTGAGATGGTGATTAAATCTTAGGTTGGGGATGTGGCTCTTATGGTGGTTCGGGAAGGATGCGGATGTTGACGACAGGGCATGGTTAGCCTAGCTGAAATACGTTAGGTTAGGCATGACTCGCGCACGACATAGAGCGACATAGAGCGACATAGAGCGCAACCTGGGGTTCTCGATGTGATACATGTTTTCCATCACTGAATAGTTACAGTACACTTTTTTGCCTTTGTATGATTAGCATCTTGTCCGGCAAGGCGCAAATACCGGTTCATTGCGTTGTAGGCGTGGCATTCACAGCCTGCCATACTCAATGCCACCTCCTTCGAGCTGCCCGTTAGGCCACTGTGTTGGACCACTGGATTGGTGACTCGTGACTCGATCAAGCTATCAATCTCGTGCTATCAATACTTGACAGTGAGCGTGCGATTTGCAAAAGTGTGGCAGAACAACGAGAAGAGATCATCATGAAGGAAAAGCATGAGACACTGTAGTTGAAACATATTGTCCATTAGACAGTTCAAATCAAACTCAAACATGAAATCTATTATCTTATAACAAGAAATCAAATATTATGATTAACATGCATGCTGCCTAATGTCTTTGCTCGCCTGTCCCCTCTTTGTTGCCCGACCTAGATTTACCGCGCGGGTTATTGGCCGATAACCTCCATTGGACTTACTGCAAATGGTAGTAACTTGGATGAAATTAAGACGGTGAGTGTGAGCCCTGTATTATTGTCGAGCTCTTTGTGCGACGCCACTGCGGGTCACGTCATTGAGCCGCTCTCACTTCGAGTCCGTGCGCATAGCTCGCGCTGCAATACAAGGACTTCGCGACCTCGCCCTCCAAACTACTTTCCTTCTTTCTTTCTCTCCACACTGACGAAGACTTGAACTGTTACCTTGTTCTCAACCGTTTCCACGCTAAGCAGACACACCGTCAAAAAGTTCTTTGTTCTTTATCCACAAACGCAAGCTCAACCACATTACCACACTGACACCTGAACACTCAACCACATACACACACAACACCATGGCTGGAAAGCGTAATCGCTCTCGCACTGCCGCTTCGGCTCAGGAGAAAGGAAAACGCACCAAGCTCTACCCCCACCTGGCACCCACTGTCAAGGACGCAGAGGCAAATCTCGAGCCCCAACCCGACATGTCTGCAAAGTCCAACGACGCAGCCAAGGTCATCAGGACCGAGACGATCAAGGAGATTGTCGTGCCAAAGTCAGAAGCCGACACCACGGTCGCGAAGCTTGAGACGATCAAGGCTGTCGTTGCGCCGCCCAATAGCACGAAGACAGTAGACAGCGATCTCATCTCCTGGGACGACCTCTCATCCACCAAGAAGAAGAACCCTGATCAGACTACAGACGACTTCGAGGACGGAATCGACATCTTTGCAGACAATGACAGCACCAGCAACGCCCTGATTGGCACTAACCCTGACACCCGAAAGGCCAACACCGCAAAGGTCAAGGAAGATCAGATTGCCCCCAACACCGAAAGCACTGATGAACTTGCCAACCAGATTGAGGCAGTTCCAGCTTCTAAGGAGAAGAAAATTACGACCGAAGTACCTATTGCCAAACAGGCGGAGCAAATCGAAGTGACTCAAAATGGGGAACCTCATGAGAACACCAATAAGGAGAAAGAAGCTGAGCATCAAGAGAAGCCCGAGGCAATCTCCGCATTCGGTCGCAATGTCATCTTCCAGTCGATCAAGTATAACCTTGACAACACCGAGAATCTTGCGTACTGGATTGGTCTGGGTGCTGTCGGCTCTACAGATACCCGCCAAATCAACGCCGGCAACATCAAGTTGGAGATATCAGTGAAATACATAGGCCTCCAGAAAGAAGAGTCGATGGTCAAAGAGAGCGAGCCAGTCGCAGAGACCCAAGAAGCTGGGAAAGCCGAGGACAACCAGAAAGCCGTCAAGATAGAAATAAAAAAAGAGTGTCTGTACGATACCGAAGAGGGGATTCTCCCTTCCATCGAGACAGCTCCCGACCTCGCCGTCGACACCGCTGGAGCTACAAAGGAGCAGCTTCACAATACTGTTATTACACCAGTCACGTCAGCTACTATTGCCACCAAGACGGCCGTCGCATGTAGGTTTGGCGCCAAGTGCAGCAGGCGCGACACATGCAAGTTCGACCACAGCGAAGGAGCTCGCAAGAAGATGTGCACTTTTGTCAACACAACCATTGGCTGCAAGAACAATACATGCCCCTTCTCGCACGATCACCTAGGCGTCATCTGCAAGTCATCTCCGTATCGCTCAAACTGCTCCAACACTCACAAGTGTGCGTTCAAGCACCAAGACGATGTCATGAGCGGCAAAGCCGAGCCCAGCAAGTCCAAGACGACGAAACCTGCGCTGGACGATGACAACCGTTACATCACCGCTGCAGAGATCGCACAAAAGGCTGCCGTGGCCCGAGCATCGCGTGAAGTGTCGGTGGCTTCGGCGACGTCAGCTCCACCAGCCAACGCTCCCACTGGTCCCCAGCACGGGGTTAAGCGTGGCAGGAGCAATGAGGATGCCGACGCGGGTCCCAATCCTCAACGCCCTCGCACCAACAACTTTCAGATGGGGCCTAACCAAGGCAGGCAGCAACATTGGAATCACCCCTCGCAGCAACAAGGCAACGTCCCGCAGTTTGGGCACCGGCAGGGTCGTGGTCGTGGACGCGGGCGAGGACGCGGTGCTGGTCGTGGCCGGGGAGGCAATAGTAGCGACCAGGGCTTCAGTATTCGGGGTGTTGCTGGAAGAGCGTGAGGGGTCTCAGGGTTTTGAGATATACCAGTCATCTTGATCATCATAGGCTTTGAAGCCTACATTGTACCATCGACTTCGGAGCCATAATTGTTTCGTGAGCTGTATCGGGCATGCAGAGCTGTAACCTAGCCGAAAAGTAGAAAATACAGGAAAAAAAACGTCAAAATTACAAAGTTTGTAGACAAACATGGAAAGTGACCAAATATGACATATTTCGTTTCCCTACGTGAGTGAGATTGAGCTAATTCCTCTTCATGACCTCCTTCAGCTCAGGATCCAAGTCATCTTGCGGCAGATCTCTCGTACTAGCGGCGAGATGCGCCAGCATGCTTTGCATCATGTCCATCGCAGATCGCTCTTTTGAGACAGGTGCGCTGAACTTTGGCTTCTTCTTCTCCTTTGACATGAACGAACTGAAAAATGACTCTATGAACATGTCCTTCAACTCATTCGCTGGCGCGGTCTTCATCTTCTCCCAACGCGGCTTCCAGTCTTGTTCGCGCCAGTGTGCATACAGATTATCCAGGCTCAGCTCTCCGGGCGCTTCCAGAACAGCAGCAATCTGGGGTTTGTACTTGGCTATCGCGACAATGGCAGCATCGGGCTCATGCCTACTATCTGGCTGTTTCGCGGGATATCCTTCAAAAGTCTTGAGGAGTAGCCCGTATGCAATGCCGAGAAACTTTGGATACTGCCTATCGCGAGTGAGAATGTCGATCGTCGCTTCCATGGCAGGTTTGTCTTGGAAGGAAGCTGGGTCCCACGTGTCAAGACGCTCAAGAGCTGTGCGAATCGACCTCCAGATGTCACCGCACCTGTGTCCCATGCCTAGCCAGTCGAAATATAAATCAATCAGATCCGCTTCCAGCCACTGGGCGTAAGTTTCAAGAGTCGTGCGAGGTGTCGCTTGATGAGATGCAGTTGTGTTCCCATGCTTTATTTGCATAATATGTCGAGCGAGCCGACCCCAAGGTTGTGGGCTATTGATGGTCTCAATCAAACAATTGATAATTTCCTCCACCTTGGTAGTGACAACGCTGATTTTCGCTTTGCTGAATTTTTTGCGTGGTAGAAAAACACCAGTACCAAACACCATGGGGTCACGGAACTCGCGCAAGTTCTTCTGGTCGATCTTGAGCTTGTTGATTTGAATGTCGCGCGCAGAGTTGGCAGCCTTTGAGCCACTGATAATTAGGAACTTCTTCTGGGCTTCTTCGACGGTTTTCGGACGACCGCCAACAAAGAGCCACTCTGGATCTTGCGCATAGATAACAAACTCCATGTCCGGCCAGACCGGTTGATCATCGCCAAACTGGAGATGGCCGTTGATGTAGACATGGGCCAACTTGGAAATTGAGAGAGACTGATACTCCATCTTCAAACCTGCTGCCTGCTTCTTCAAGTACATTTCGTACTTCATTATTCCATAAAGCAACGGATGATGACGCATATAGTAGTTCTTGTTCGCCTTCTGTCTCAGCATTTTCAAGACAGGATGAGCATTGATCTGTTGCTTTAGCGCGAGCGTACTCCATTGTTGATCGAAGCCGTCCTGTGAAGACCACTCCTGTATATTCCCGAGAGTGTCGCTCCATGCCTCGATACAATCGAAGTAAATATCCTCTGGTAGCAATGGGTTCCTCCAGTCTCTAGTCATAAGCATTTGTTGGCGAAAAACCTTTTGGAAATGGCTCTCCAATTCAAACGAGGGATGCGCACATCTATCTCCCATGGTATCCTGTGAAGCAATGTGTAGTTGTACTGCGACGACGACCCATACGTAAAGTTTGCGGTTATTGAATGCTATTTCCACGCCCTGAGAGCACATGTCCCAAACATCAGGATGCTTGCCGAACATCATGATACGGATGATTTGAGCGAACTCGATTGCGCGCAGGGTTGCATCGTGGATTTTTCGGTTGCCAAAATCCTTTGGAACGATGGCTGGAAGATTTTTGTTGGGCGTCCAGTCCACCATAAGGTCCATGTATTGTTTGAGACCAAGGTATGTGGGCCAAAAGATGCTCCCATCGCCTTCCAGAGGCTTTTCGCCGATAGAAGGCTTAATAAGTACATCCAGAAGCCTCCAAAGAGGGAAGATGTTGGTGGGATATTTCTTTGGTCGCTTCACTACCAAATCGAACTCGGTTTCTGCTCTCTGGACCAACTTGATTGCCAAATCGGTAGTCATGGCAGGCACGATCAAGTCAACCTTTTCGTCCTTGTATTTTGCCCACTGGGCACAGGCAATATCAGTCACATTTTGCAGCTCTTGGATGAAAAGAGTGACAGCAAACTGCAGCTCTTCTTCCAGTTCGGATTCATCCTGTACAAGTGCGAGTTTGTTTCCAAAATCCGGTAGCTTCGCCTCTTCAGCACCCTCCTTTTCGGCAATATCCGCGATGTCTTCGACCGTCGAGTTCGCGAAGCGGTTTTCGGACGTTGCTCCGCTGGCATCGTAGGCTGGACTTCCTGAAGGAGGGCGGTAGGCCTCGGGTCCAGATGAAATGAATGGCTTCAGCAGGCGGAAAGCGTTTTCCAGTACGGTAATGAAGTAGTAGTGCCGCTCATTGCTATCGTGCTCGTCTTCGACAGCCTTCTTCTTGAACTAGTACGTAACCTTTTTTCGTGTTTGTATGGCTCTGTTAAACAGCTTGCTCAAAGCAACCGGAACTAGGATTTTCTCCTCGTTGTCTGCGATTGCTTCTGCAATCGGTACGAAGTGAACTATCTTGATCGAGTACTTCTTTTCACCGCTTCCTCCACCACCTCCACTGCGTGCACTCTTCTTGCCTTTGGCTTTTTTGTTTCTGTTCCTCACTCTTTGGCGAGGCTGATCACTTTTCTCCTCTACGGGCTCATATCCGATAGACCGAGCTGTCTCAGCAAGCCAACTGGCAATATGATCGGTGTCTTCATTGTACTGCCTGTACGTGGCAAGAAAGTTATGTGTATTGCCGAGGCGATTCATTCTGAATTCAAACCCGTGATATAAGAGGGTTGCAGACAGATCTAAGATGGTACTCTAATAAAGACGCTATTCGAGAAGATCTGGCGTGAACTGATGCCTCGGCTGAAAAGAAGGATGAAAAGGGATGAAGAAGCAGTATTTACTCGCGTTATGGATCTACACTAGCCCCTCCTCAGCTCATATATTAGCGGTTCCACGAGATCCACCTTCACCCATGCAACAACCACGTAATCAATACTCAGACGACCAGTATGTTCCCAATTGTTGTTTCTTCTACAATGGCACTGTCCCGGCGTTTTGAATACTTCAGCAATGTACCTAGGTGCTATCCTGTATGAATATATTGGCTCTCTGCGTGAAATCGACGCATTCTGTTGCGAGAGCGCAATACACACGCCCCGCAAAAGGATCTTGAGCGGTGTATTCATACGTTACTGACGCAATCGTTGATTCACAAAAGTGTCAAAAGAAAGTGCCAAAGCGATTTCTCGTGGTGGAGCCCACATCACGTGATGAAAACTTTCTGATTGGCTGCTTCGGCAAGTCACCCTCAACACCTCTTCCACTTCCGCGGCAGCTTTGCTAGAGACTGAACTCTACTGGGCGATTTGTTACAATGTAGAGAATAAGATGACCTCAATGAAACAAAAAGTGATGTACTATATGGAGCTTACGGAAGGATGGTTCCATTCAAAGTAGCCTCGGCTCATCATCCTCATTCGACCTACTGGCCGACAAAGACCACGACAGCAATTTCTGCTTCTGTGATGTCTTTTCCTACAGTCCGGTTTCTTCTGTAAACGCCAGGGACGCATAGTAGAGATGAGCAGCCAACGTAGCGAGCGCAACCGATCACCGGCAACATCTTGGTATGAGCCGCGGATGCTCTACCTCACAGCCTATAACACACTTTTCGCATCCCTGTGGGTATCGGTTTTCATCCGAGCAGTTCACCAGGCTCGCCATGGCAAGATCGCTCTCTTCGCTACAACTGAACCTCAGGCGCGATGGATCCAGACAGCGTCCTTGATCGAGGTGCTGCATGCTGCCTTCGGTACGCTAATCAGCCGCACTTCTTACTGCACCACATGTTGACCCAAATCCAGGTATTATCAAGTCTCCAGTCAGCACAACGGCGCTACAAGTGGTCACGCGCGTCATCCAGGTGTGGATGGTGTGGTACAGCTTTCCCCAAACCACGGCGACTTCGCACGCTTACCTTGCGCTCCTGCTTGCTTGGTCGGTAGCTGATACCATTCGGTATCTCTATCTTGCGTTCAACATGCACGGAAAAGCTCCAAGGGGGCTGGTATGGCTTCGGTATATGAGATAACCCGCAACCGAGTCATCTGCACATCTAACAACTACAGATATACCATGTTCTATCCTCTCTACCCTATTGGATCGGAGCGGAGTGTGGCTACTCTACCGAACCATCGCTCCTGATCCCAATCAGTCCGATGATTCCGCCATCTTCTATTTTTGCTTGATGCTCTATGTCCCCGGTGAGCAACACTGTGTTTTTTCTGGCTGAAACACACAAACTGACTGCGAACCAGGCTCCTACGTCATGTATACATACATGATTAAGCAAAGAAGGAAGACGCTCGGAGCTATGCACAAGGCACAATGATGATTCAGTGGACGCAATTGGTTTATTAGAGCGCCTGCTGCACGAGTGAGGTTCCTGGTGATCGCCATCGGCTTTTCGAGTCTCGTACTTGACGAGCTATATGCATGTGATGTCGTTGCCAAGAAGGTCAGGCATGTCTTATCACAGTCACCCACAGTGGGATTTTCATCGTTAATTTCCCGGCAACTAACTGTCTCTCCTCGACATATTAAATGCGAAAAGGTGGCCGAACTTTTCCTCATGTCAATCGGTCAATCATAGCACTTTACTAGTTCAATTTTCAACGTTTTCATCGACTCTCCGTTACCTTCATCAATGTTCTGTATACATAGCGACAATTTTCAAGTGTACATGCAGATTGTTTTACCCCCAGGTACGGCAACAATGTTACTTTTCACATGCGAGTTTTCACACCATCACTCAAATGCCAATACTCAATATCACAACAACATCGTTGATGTTTACAAGATGTTGCACCTCTGGATACAAGCTAATTTTGCACAAGACGCGTGCAGAGAGCATGAATTTCAGTAACTAGCAGATTTGCAGCGTCGTGGAATATCGCTGGACTTCCAAGTACAGTTTGTCCATTCACGCCGTATCATGGCTTTTTGAGAAAAGAAAAAACATATAGGTACCATTTCTTATGTTAGATTCAATGGTTGGTGAAAGCACTAGAGGGATAATGTCAGGACCCCGCCTAGAATAGGCCATAGTAGCCCATACTAGGCTAGGATAAGTTATTATTAGGTATTTAGTATAAGAATACGCTACTAGAGCTTAGTAGCAATTTGTCTATTCTTAGTAGACACAATACTATGCTATTAACGAAGAATATTGTCTATCTAGTGCTTTCACTAACTATTGAATCTAACATCTTATACTAATAATTCTAACAAGAAAGTAGAACGATTAAAGCAGAGGAGTGGAACGTAGTGTTTATATACTAGTGGACTATGGATATGGGCGTATACAGGTTAAAGTACGAGATTGGCAATATATGACAGTTGACTGAGAGAGCTGTCCTACATGAATCATTAACTATCACATCGCAGTACTCCCATAGTTACGGAGATAACATATACCTCATTTTTTTCAGCTATACAGAAATTTGGGAAACGGAGTCACACAAACAGGGACATGAAGGATAGTGAAGCCTATTTTGGAATTTACACCATAACTCAGTTCTTGGAGTTCGCGGCCTGGTAACGTTACATGAGATCATAGTTGAAACAAGCGGACAGGAAGACACCAAACCGATAGACCACACACCAAAGCAGCCGCATGCACAGAAAAAGTACTAAGACAAGCCATGAAATCATTCTAGGTACCTAATATATGACATCGCCATGAAGCGTCCTTTGTTTTAATTTTCCGTAATAAGAAAGAAGAACCAAAGAGAGGCAGGGTCCACAATCACCGACATAGTCTGATACTGTGCACTTTTTGTGAGGAAAGGGGCAAAGAAAGCAGCATATAGATGCCATCGTATTCTTTAGAACCGCACAACATGTCTTGGCTTTCATGGAGATTTAAGTTTTGGTCAGCGGAGGGAGTGAAGAAGTCAAGGATAGTAGCGAGAGGAGGGGGTATTTATGCCTACAGCCCGGGTAGTCTAGCACTAGACCTCTGAGCCGGAATAGCCGGAAGTCCAGGACTTGGCGGTGATAGTCGCATAGGCTTGTGGGTGGGGAAGTCAGGCGGGCATCTCAGGACGTGTATATAAACCCATTCTCACCTCCATTTCCATGTCCCACCTAGAAAGTTTGTAATTGTACCTGGGTAGATCAAAAAGATCGTCTTAGCGACGAATGACTCGTAAAAATCATAGAGGACACGCCATGTTGTCTTTCTGTTGTGCTCTCTCTCAAAGATTCTCCAGCATCTGCCTATGTTGTGTCTCAACGTCTTCTTGCATAGTCCATGTCACATGGCATGAGGCTCTACAGTTTTTGATATAAAAAACAAAAGAGACCATGATTCGAAATGAAAAGGCCAAAGCTTTGAGCGTGATACGAGACACCGCCAACGCAGTCCATCATCTTTGTGGTTTCAATTTTGGAAAGCAGCATTTCTTTCGTGTTTTCTTTCCTTAGTAAATTGTAGTGGAGCAAGACAATGAGCGAGAAACAAGGAACGGTTAGTATTGGAACAAGGTCCCTCTAGTAGTATGACTACTGTGGATAACCGAGTGGGAGGAGGGATAAGGCGGGGTGGCTGCAACGTATTGTATTTACTATCGTGTTGAGTGTCTCTCTTACTTTTGCTGTTGTGGTGGGTGCCATTGCCCACCGGGCAGTACCTGCCACACCAGCACATCACGTGACTCTCAATCACCTTCTACCCTGGACTGAACCCAGATATTCTCAACAGTTAGCATAATTTCTTTGAAATATCCACCTCACAGCAGCACATATGATCGCCTGTATGTTGCTTCTAAATTCACAAAGAAACCCTATTTTTGTGAAAAGAGGGGTATAACACAGCTTCATCACCATGAAGTTTCTTAGACAGCCAAACCCTCCATCATGGTTTGCTCTAGTTATTTTTGTAGCAATAAGAAGCCTTTTAGGGAAACCCTGGAGGTCATTATAGATTGCGATGTTTTAGAGTAACAGAAGCAGAAGAATATAGAGTAACGGTATGTTCATTGTAAATTCCGTGGTTTTTGGAGAATAGGGTTCATTACTAATTTCTTTTTAGAGCGAAGAAAGCAGAAGAACATGGGCGTATTGGTATATTGTTTTCAAGTGCCCATAATCGTAGTGGGAAAAGTTTTTTGTAGAAAAAGACGAAAAAAGGAGAAAAGAGTGTAAAAGATAGTATTTTATATATGCCGTCGAGATAGCAGCATGGAGTCTCTTGAATCCATATTTTGGTACTTCGCCGCATAACGCTTCATTTTGGGGGAAAAAAGACGGACAACCTATAAGCTTGCGTAATGGAATTTCAAAGAAAACGACACATGAGCGCCGTCTCCTCTTTTTTTTTCAATAGCATTACAGTAGACATAGGTTTGCAGCAAAACAAAGGTGGAAGAAACACACATCGCCAGTATTTGTAACGATTTTGGGAAGCAGCACATGAACTGTTTGATAACCCAGTTTTAGTTCCTGGTAATTCTAATAGTATACAAGGAAGAAGGGAAGGGAAGAAGACAGGCAGAGAGAGCCCAAGATATAGAATAGTTTCAACGCACGGTCCAGCTGGCGGAGCATTTGATTTTTCCGCCAAGTTTGTCTTTTGCGTACAGTTGATGGAGTGATCCGAACAGCGAGACATAGAAATCTCGCCTCACGTTTATGATTTCTGGGAAGAATGAGAAGTAGGAAATTGGAAGACGGGGTCCACATCGACTCTTTCGATGGGGTTTTCAATAGTACAATATATGCGGTGGTAGTTGTGTATCTTGAAGTCCGGCATGATGTGGAATAGAAAGTAGAAGGGGAAAGAAGTGCATATTTCCTGTGCGTGGGCTTTTAGGAAATCAGCACATGGCGACTCTAGATTTTTTGTTTCAAAGATTTCAATAGGTCAAAGTAGATAAAAATAAGGAGGGGAAAGTCGACATCGCTATCTAGAATCTCATTTTTAGACCGCGCAACATTGAACAATTCGTAAACGATTTTTTAGTACTTCGCTGTTGGGGTTTTTGGAAAAGAGGAAAGAATAGAGCACATGAGCCATGTTCGCAAATGTTTAGGACAGCTCTACATTTTGAAGTGACCACCATAGAAAGAGAGAGAAGAGAAGAAGAGGAAGAGAAACACATGATATCTTCTTGCAAATTATTTCATTAAAGGAGAGCATCTGATGTCCCGATTGATGATTTTAGTGTCCCGCAAAGGGGGAAAGTAGAGGACCGAAGACTTGATTTTATGTCTCTGCTAATGCCAGTAACGACCAAGAAAAGCAGAGAAAGACGTTATCCATCGCGCGGATTTTTTTTGAACAAAGCAGTACATTGAGAGTTTCTATCTTCATTTTCGTGTTTAGAATGGAGTGCGATGTAGAAGGAGAACAGAAGGAGAACAGAAGGCTGAAGGACGAAATTTTATGTCTCGATCTATGCCAAGGCCGCCGTTATGCGCACAGCGATTCGAAAACAGCGCTGTGGTGAGTGATGAGTTGGTCAGATACAGGTGGGAGTAGCAAAGGCGTAGGAAGGGTATAAAGATACTGCTTCCCCTTTTCTTCCCTACCTCAGCACATCCGCTACTGTGCATCTTTAAATCGCGCGGACATGTTCGCATGGCACTCCAAAAACGAGTATTTCCTAAGCATAAGCCACGAACCGTTGTGCTTGTGCATGATTCAGAGCAACATCACATCAGTCGCTCTTGACGTCTACCACGAGCATGTAGGAACAAATGACGGAGACGATGGAAATCAAGTCCAATATATATAATAAAAATACAACGAGTTAGCTAGTCACCCAACCCTCTCATTTCCCAAACAAATGGAATTAAGGCATGCATTCTGTAACTCACCAGTGGATTGCATTAGATGTAGGAAACCTTGACACCCATGCCTACGGTCTTTCGAATTTTCTCCCACGCATTCCGCATGATGCGCAGTATCCTCTCCCGCAAGTCTCTCTTGCCGAATGCTAGTCCGAAAGCTAAGATGAAGAGTAAGGTGCGGAAGAAGGCCATGGGATTTGCCGTCATCTGATGCGCTGTATTCGATATCATGGCTTGCAGGTTTGCAAACATGGTTGAGGCGCGATGGTAGAAACCAGGCGGAGGTGTGATGGGTTTCTTAGCGGGAGTGCGTGAGGTTCGGGAGGACTGGGACGGCGTGGGCTGGGGAGTAGGCATGGGTTTGCGTAAGCGGTCGTCTGAGCCGCGCGGCTGCCGTCTGTTCTCCTCCTCGCGCTTTCTCCGCTCGTCCTCAGCACGCGACTGCTCGAGGCGCTTTGCCTCGGTCTCTTTGCGACGTTCCTCCATTTGCTCTTGCTGTTGCTGGCGCAACTTTTCCTCGCGTGCTTCCGTGTCTTCCTTCTCTTCCTTGAGGGAGTGCAGGGCGAGTAGGAAAGCGTCCTTGCGCTCGTCATCCAGGACCTCGGACATGCTGATAAACTCGCGGGCGTAGTCCCATTCCTCGTTCCTTGGCAGGACGTGCAGGGTGTAGAGCTCGAGTAGCTTGATTCGCTTTTCCAGGTCGCGTGGGGTATCGGTACCGGTGTGCTGCCTTTGGTGACCTGGGCGCTTCTCGAGATACGAAGGAGAGGCCATGTGCGAGGAAATGTCAAAAGTCGGGTTGGCGGTGGCGGAGAGATATGTTTCGAGCTTTTGCTGATTCAGCCTCTGAGATGGCGCATGGGTGAGGAGCAGTGTCGCTCTGGACTGCTATTAGCATGTTAATCGCCCGAAAAGTCACGGGTTGCCTACAGGTTGACTACAACGTCTGCATCCACGTCGCCCTCGACACCGGCATATCCGTCCCGCACCACGTCGTCCCAGATGCTTCCGTCGCGACATTTGGATACCAGCTGCTTCCACCGCGTGCTTCCGAACGCGTGCTTTCCCTCTTCGGCCCCCAGCTCTATCACAGCGTTGAGAAAGGTAAGGTAGAAGCTCCACACCTTGATACGGGTTCCCCGTGACGCGGTTGCGACGGGAGCGTGACCCACGAGGTCGCTGCTGGTTCCTTCCGCATCGTCAACAGGCGGCGGGGTGATGACGGGCTCAATAGTCGAAAGCGCTTCGGGAAGGCGGCGCGTCAGAAACAATTGGGCGGCCTGTCGGTAGGCTTTGGCGATCTGCGAGGCCTGTTGTCGCGACGTCGACATGGATGAAATCGACGAAGACAGGTAGCGCGACCCGTCATCATACAGAGTCGCCATGATTACTGTGGTCGCGATATCTCTTATGCGATTTGTGCTGGCGAGCTGGACAAACCCCCTGACGGTGGAAGTCGGGTCTCGGTATGGTGCATTCCAGTCTGCCGTTGTCAACAATTCGAACCTCGGCAGTCCGGCTCCGCACATGTCATTGCCTTGGCGCGCCGTTCCCGAGACAAATGCAGCCATTGCCAGGAACCACGATAAAACACGCCTTCTCACTTTATCACACTGCCGCACGTGAAATGGACTTGTGGCGCGTCAAATGAGTGAGCAGGCGCAGGCGGGAGCCTGATTGCGCGTCGCTTGACAAACGCTTGCTGCGACAAGCTCAGAGTCAAGAGCTAGACATTGTCGCTTGATCGCTACTGACCCATTACTTACCACATTGCCACTGCACTGACTTTTGACATCCTTCACCAGCAGGCCGACGCGCGACTGTGGCTAGTATTGCTCATAGAAGGTGATATTTGCTACCAGCCGACATTACTATCAACATGGACGTCGACGCGGCTTCCTTCCCCCACCACCTGCTGGGTCTCATGGTAAATATCTCAGAGGCCGACTTCGTATCCTTTGATTTGGAGCTATCAGGCATCCCTTCGCGGATACAGGACAAACCTGCACGTGGCTCCGGACGCTTGACCTTGGAAGAGCGCTATGCCGAGACTAAGATGGGAGCGGACCGTTACCAGATCCTACAAGTAGGCATCACGTGTGCCAGATTCGACTACATTGCCGACAAATATGTTTTGCGGCCTTACAACATCAGCATCAGTCCATTACTCGACGAGCGACTGGACTTCGAGCGCGAAGTCAGATTTCAAACTGGCGCCTGCACATTTCTCCTCAACAATGGCTTCGACTTGGGCGCTCCTTTCGCAAAGGGCGTGCAGTATCTCTCACGAGAAGAGGCCGAGCGAGCGAAGCAGATGGCATGGGATCGCCTGGACAACAAGAACCCCATTCCTGATCTTCAACTCAAGGAGGAGGACGTTGAGTCGCTTGACTTTATGCGCCGTATCAGGGAGGCCATCAAGACGTGGAAGACCAGTAAGGCTTTGCATTTGGACGTGACAACCCATACCGGCCTTCCTGATAAGCCTGCCATGCCTGTCATCACCCGATTCGAAAAACGCCTCGTACATCAGCTTGTCCGCGCCGAATTTCCAGAATTGGTCACCATAGGCCGCTCAGAATGTGTTCGCATTGTCGACTTGGATCCGGTGCGCGAGGCAGACAACATGCGCAGAATCAAGAACCGCGTCAGGGAATCCATAGTTCGCCAAACAGGCTTTCGTTGGGTCTTCGAGGCTCTTGTCAAGGGTGGTGCTGTCGATCGTGCAGATCTGCTGTACGTTGCACGCACTACAGGTATGCCAATGACAGCCGACATGTACGCCATACGAGACAGATACGACAGGGCTGTAGAGAGGCTCAAGACTAAACAGCCTGTACTCGTCGGTCACAACATGTTCACCGACATCGTCTATCTATACCGCACTTTTGTTGGACAACTACCAGTATGTAGCGGCCCGACTTCAAGTTAGATCATACTAACAACTGTAGGACACGCTGCAAGGCTTCCAGGACGCCATCCATGGACTATTTCCCAAGATTATAGACACAAAGTACCTAGCTACGCATGCTGAAGGTGACCTCAACGCCTCGCCTACGCTACAAGACATCGCAATGCGTCTCAACACTCAGCCTCTGCCACACATCATCACTCACGCCGACTACCCCAAGTACCAGGATACTGAAGCTTTCCACGAAGCCGGGTACGATAGCCTCTTGACCGCTACAATCATGATCAAGCTGGCGGCTAAACTTGGTGCTGAACGTGGAGAGGAGGTACCCGCGCCGTTGTCGGGTATTCCTCTGGGCAAATCTAAAACTTCAACGCCCGAACCCAACCCGACCATTTCAGACGAAATCAAAACGCCAGCTGAAGACTCTGCAGAATACATCGAGGACATGGTGAAGGATGGACGCGAAAAAGTGCAGAAGCCAGTGCCGCTCCCACCAGTCGAAAAACCAAAGCCTGCGAAAGCGAACAAGCGCACGCAGAACAAAAAAGGTGGCAAAAAGAACAAGGAAACAGAGCAACGACGGTTCGAAACAAGAAACATGTTCGACAGTCTTCGAGAAATGACGCTGAACCCCGAAACTGGCTCATCTTCCAACGAAGACGAGCCTCGCCATGACAGCCATATCCAGGACAATCAGTCAGCCACGTGGGACAAGCAGGCAGAAGCTACCGGATCATGGGAAAATGATGTACATGTCCAGGATAAGACAGGCTGGGTGCCTGTGGAACAGGTCAAACGACAGTCGGGGGAGCTCATTCCCGCCTTCAACTCAAAATTTTGGTGCGAATTTGGGAATACCCTGCGTGTCTTCGGTACGGAAGAAGCTGTGCTGAAAATTGCGGATTGGGAAGATTAAAATTAATGACGAGTAAAGCCAGCGTAGTGTTGGAAGGTGTAAATATACGCGCTCTCATATAGGCGGGTAGCCTGACAGATGGATTGGGGTGGGTCGCACGGACCACCAATGGCCTGATCGCTGTTCCTTCCTATCCCTCCACGATTACGCAACCCTCAAGCCAGCGGCTTTGCCGTCTTGCAACTCACAGTGGACTTGCCGCCCTTCATTCCTGGCGTGCACGCAACGAACGACGAGCTTACAAATGTAAATTCGACATTTCCATCCTTGTCACCCGTGAACGAGACACTGGCAGAGGCATTCGCTGCGTTCAGACCAACCCCAAGCCCAATCGTAATGTTGTTCGGGTTGATAGTAAAGCCACCACCGAGACCGAAGTCGCTAACGTCGGAGCCGGCTTGCAGACCACCTACATCACCCCAAATGTCAGTCAGAGTTCATGTCAGATGATGCGCATTGCTGTACCTCCGTACGATACGTCGCTCTCCCAGTTAATACCGCATCCTACACCTATTGTGCCAAAAGGTGCAAGATTGCCGGCGGCAGCGACACTGCCAGTACCGCTAGTCGAGGTGGCATTCTTGTCCAGGTTGGTGATCTGGACCCCATCGTTCCTGCCTTGCGTTGTCGGCGTGGCGGCCACTAGCATTTGCAATGCGAGGAACGAGATAGTGATATGGCCGAGCATCCTGACTTGACTAGTTCAATTTCCGACGCGAGGTTTCAACGTGTGGGGAACCACCGAGAGAGGAGACTGGTAAAAACGAATGACTTGTGTTCCGGTGAGACGGCGGGAGAAGGGGTGCCAAACACCATCACTTTATAACAATGCGTTTATTGATATCGTTTCTACTCAGGGGTATGCTGATGTGTGATTGTTCGTCTTGGCTTCGAGGGAGATCAGCGCGACGCTTTCATTCATGTGTGTTCATTGCGCTGTCCACTTGTTACCGGATGCTCCGGTAATTTCAAGTCAGCATCGACAAGTTGAGTCGGTCCGGATAGACACGCCCCTGACTAGACAACCAACGGTACCAAAATTAGCCTTGTGGCTAAGCTTCGAAGAAGGTTTGCGCTACAGAACGGTCTGTCACAAGTTTGCATCTTCGAGCTGACCCAGATAGCTCGGACTTCTTTCCGTTCCGTACTGTCATTGTGGTGGACCAATCACGTCAAATATGTTGTACTACTACTTGCCGCCGTTTCGGCCTTTATCCGTAAAGCTGGAGTTCCGGCAGATCGTAGCGCATCCCTATCCACTGTCAGACTCGTTGCCTCTGTCGATCACCGTTTTTATGGGAAGGATAAGCGTTGTTCACCATGTCCACGCCTCACCATGGGCACGCCCCGTCTTAAACCACAGCCGTATAGATAGGACGCCCATCCTCGAAGATGGGGCTGACATCCATCTTGTATAATTCATAATTGGGTGGCCGGCTTCGACACTACACACTCATTCATAATGTTTTTTACTTCGTGGTTGACTGCCGGTTTACTACTGACGACGGCCCATGCGTCTTCATGCCCAAAGAGAGACGAACACGGCCAGAATACTGCCAACACCACTCGAGTCCACACTCACGATGCTGCATTCAAGCCTGATTTTTATCTTTCCGTCACCTACGAGAACCATGCTGTGGCGTGCGAGCAGCGCATGTCCGTCTTGGTGAATGGAACTTCTCCGGGACCAGCACTTCGTCTTCCTGCTGGAAAGACAAGTTGGGTGCGAGTCTGCAACAACATGGAAGAGTTCAATACCACCATTGTATGAACATCATATACTACAACCAAAGAAAGCATGGCTAACATATACCAGCATTGGCACGGCCTCAGCCAGCGAACTGCACCGTTCAGTGACGGCACGCCCGTTAGTCAATGGCCGATCGCACCCCACAAGTGCTTCGACTACGAGATTCATCCCGAGGAGCAGGATGCTGGAACTTACTTTTACCACTCTCACGTTGGCTTCCAGGCCATTTCTGCCGCTGGACCGCTCATTGTCGAGGATTTTGGACTATCCCCCTACCAATACGATGAGGAGCGAATTGTCTTTGTACAAGACTACTACAACAAAACCGATGAGGTGATTGAGAAGGGACTTCTTGCAATACCGTTTGTCTGGTCTGGCGAGGTGAATGCAGTGCTGATCAACGGTATCGGTGTCGCGACTGGCCAGCAAGCTGGCCAAGCGCACTGCGAACTTCCAGTCATCGATGTGGAGCCCGGAAAGACGTACCGCTTTCGGTTCGTAGGTGCAACAATCATCTCAATCGTCAAATTTGGCATTGAGGACCACCCCAAATGGGACGTTATAGAGGCCGACGGCAGCTATACGAAACCGACCACAGCCGACCACATTCAAGTCTCGTCGGGCCAACGCTTTGACGCACTTCTTCGTACAAAGTCTGCCGCTGAACTCGGCTCAAAGACTGAATATATAATCCAATTCGAAACGCGCGACCGACCGGCCGTCTACACCGGCTTTGCCATCCTCCGCTACCCTGGTTCCAACAACAAGACAACAACTGCCCCTACCGTCGGCCCTCTCCACCTTCCAAACACGACCTACGACTGGCTTGCATACGCTCTTGAGCCCTTCGCCCCCAACAACTTCCCTACGGCAGCCGAAGTAACTCGTCGCATACACATCACCATGGCGCAGATCCGGCAATCCCTGACCGTCTGGCAGCTCGACGGTCTAAACTGGACCGAATCCTCGCCGAAGAACACACCTCCCTATCTCGTCTCCATCTACAAGAACGGCCGCGCGGCAATGCCAAATTACACAGCCGCAATCGAAAACGGCGGCTGGGACCCCCACACCCTCACATGGCCCGCCAAACTCGGCGAAGTGCTAGAAATTATCGTCGAAAACACGGGCTCCGCCATCAACAACTCCGGTGGCCTAGACTACCACCCTATACATCTCCACGGCAAACACTTCCACCACATCGGCGAAGGCTTCGGCCCCTACGACCCCGTCGAGAACGAGCGCAAACTCGCCAATTACACCCCCGTCCTGCGCGATACCGTCAACCTCTACCGACCCAGTCCCAAAGGCGTTACCGGACAAGTATCCAGCTGGACCGGAATGAGGCTTCGAGTTGAGGCTGCTGGCGTGTGGCTGCTACATTGCCACATTGCGCAGCACATGATTATGGGCATGCAGAGTGCATGGATTATGGGTGATTACGATGATATCGCGGGTATTCCTTACAGGGGTGCTGAGGGCTATCTGGATTTTGGCGGTAATGCGTATGCCAGTGATAGCGAGGATACTCCGTGGCCGCAAGCCTATCATAATTTCGACTAGTAGAGTGGAAGCTTAGTGTAAAAGTATCGTTATGTCAGGATGTCGATGATAAAGGTTTTAGATGTGGCAGTTCTGGATGATATCCTGTATTGGTGCTTTTTTGTCAACGTTAAACTGTAAATATTTATGTTGTTCGAATATACCTCTACCGCGAAACGAATAGATTGAAATGATGTATTATTGTGCTATTGCTATGTACGACCTTGCGATTGAAACATCTAGAGATATGTCTCTTCTTCAACCTTGCTTTCTCTCTCTTACGGTCTTCCAAAATAGCAAGCGGAGCAGAAGACCTGCACCTGGGCGACATGATATACTCGACAGCAACAGTGTGGGTGAATTATGTCATTCCTAGTAGACACATTTGGCACCTGAAACGATTTTTGTAGATTACCTAGGTGTCAAGTATTTCATGTCACCCACTGTAAGCTAAATCGATTACCCGCAAAACTACCTAGTACGAAATAGGCTAGCGGATCCGCCCACACCTCGCCATCACATCTTATACTTACAGCCTCACGTCTGCGCATTTGCTTTGGGTTGCCCACGAAAGATACTAAGTGTTAGCCTAGATATCCTATGGGCGCGAGCAGGTACTGTACTTTGCTACTGGTGTGGAACTACCTCGGGCTCGTTTTTTTACATTGGTGCCTGGCCGACTATTAGTACCAGAAGTCAAGCGTCAGGAAGCTTCTGGCAGAATGGCAACAGTCTTAGCCCTGGATCTAGGCAGAGAGAAGTCAGGAGAGCACTAGGAGAGCAGAAGAAAAACGGCAGCAGAACGTCTGGGAAAGGCTAGGAGAGAGCCATTTCCACTGGATACACACACACCGATCAGTCAGTTTCCAAACACGTCAAGCTGCATCTGTCTTACAAGGATGAAGGGCTGCAAATCGGTGGAAGGGAGGGTAAGAAATTCCTCATGAGCGCATGTTCAGCCGCACAGCACTTTAAGCTCACAAGCTGCCATATCACCGGATCTGGCTTATAACTAACCCATTGTTTTTCGATATGTGATTGGTCAATACATTGTGGCTGAGCCACTTTGTCTACCACAGGGGGCTGAGTGCTCGGCTGAGCACGCCCTGAGAGCACACACTTCGGCCTCGTACGCTTCTCTTGCTGATCTCATATGTTCTTTCGCATACAGACCATGCGTATTGTGTGGGACATGGACCACACACGGCATACACAAGGCAGATCACGGCTGTTTCGGTAACTAAGATGTCGTTGGATATAAAGAATGGTTGCTGAAACTATGGAAGACAACAAACGTCCATCCTTGCATAGCGGGACACCTTGTGTGCCGGGACTGGCCAATCAGCTCGCTTAAACCACAAACTTTTGTCCAAAATCTGCAAGTTGATTGGCTAGTCCCGGCACACAGGATGTCCCGCTACGCAAGGATGGACGTTACCCATCTTGTTTGTGACGAAACGCCACGGAAGCCCACAAGTGGCCACATTACCGGATTCGGCTAAACCCTATTTATTCGCGATGAAACGCCACGGAATAGCATTCAATCTAATTCCAAGGTCAGTCGAAGTAAAAGTGATAAAAGTCGTCCGCCTACATCTGATGGCACGCGGCGGCATCTCAGCAGCTGCGATGTGGTCAACCGGAGGCAGCATATACACGAGCGTTACGAAGACCGCATTGCAAGCAAGCAAGTAACCAGAAATGATGAGATCATGTCTAGAACACAGAACAGTCTGCGAAAACATAGGATCAGATGCAACTTGATATTGCGGGCAGGCAGCCTCCGAGTGGGGAAAATAATTCTCGGCGGTATAGGGATCCTTAGCATGTGGACCGAGCCGTTGGGATCGGCTCTAGATCGACATGCACAATCTGCCCGGTACGCTGGCCAGTCTAGTCAGCTATAGATCGACCTGTACGACCTGCTTGGCATGTTGACCAATCCAGTCAGGTATACGCCAAGGGAAAAGCTGGACGTGGCAGAGTATAAGCTGCAAGCGGCAGGGCTGGCTCGGATATTGGTCCAACCAGCGTGCACGAAACCGTGGTGAGAGTAATGGTCACTAATGGAGTGGCAGTCAGCGACCGTCTCTATATCATGCACAGGTTGAGAGCGAAAAGAGTCCTCCATCATCGGCGTTGATTATAAAAGAACTGTCCACTCTCTCCCAAAATGCTCACTCACGACCTTAAAGTTTCTATGTTCAAGACAACCAGGCCAAGTGTCTACCAACATCATCATGCCTTATATGCTTGACAGCCCTGCCCAGCAGACTTCCCATACTCCAACACCGGCCCATGTAGTCGCCAACATTCAGTCCACAACTGCCAACAATGCTACGAATAATCTTTCGTAGGCTTATTCTATAATTCTATCACTCATGATCTGACCTTCATCAAGTACTGTAGCCAACTGCTCTTGCTCACACCTGAGATCAATCAATCAAGCAAGCTGACAGCCCCCGGCTTGATTGATTGGCTGTTTGTATGAGATTTGGCTGGATTGATTGAATTGGCTTGGCGGAAAGTTGTTAGCTTGATTGGTAGCTTGGGTGCTTGATTCCCAAATAGGAAAGTTGTATATATTTTTTGGTGTTGAGTCTCAGCCGTCGTCCCATGTATCTAGATCGTCGTCTTCGCCCACCCACTTGCTAAGCTCGTACAAAACGTCCATCTGCTCGTCGGTAAGCTTTGATTGGCCCATATCGTCGTTGTCGCCGCCACCAAAACCTGCCCGTCTCCATCGTCGTACTGAGTGTAGTGCTGCTAGTAGCTCAGGTGATATACAGCGTCGGCGAGGCTCTAGTAGATCTCCGAGCTCACTGAAGACGCGCTCACACTCACAGCTTGAAGCGGGTATAGAGAGTATAGTAAGCGCCATCTTACTAAGGTTGGGATATTGATCGCGCAGCCCGAACCAGTATTGTATAGGATCGGTGCCCTTGCCAACGATTGGCTCGCGCTTCCACTGCTCATACTCATCCTCCTTAGTATTGCCGCGTGTGGGATCAATAATGCCGTCAATCGCGTCGTCAATATTGCTCGGTTTCTTCGGTGCGCGTGTGTAGCAAGGCCTCGGTAACGGCAGCGACTTGTAATCCGCCCACAGTGCCTGGAAATTAAGATTATTAAGCGCCAGCCAGTCAGGCTTCTCAGCCCACGCTTGATCGCAGTAGTGTTTGTAGCGAGGATGGAGTATTGTAGCAGCGTAGTAAGCTGGCGAGTCGTCGAGTTTAGCGTAGTACTCGTTCGCCTTAAGTAGCGCTGCGCGTAGATTAATAGGAAGGTGATCTTCGGGTGCCTCGTCGTGAGCGTCATGGACTACGCAATCGTAGTAGAGGAGGCGAGCTTCTAATTGAGTGAGTAGAAACTCAAACGTTGGGATCACCTCAGCGATCGCGCCAAAGCTATACTCGCCACGTCCCTCAAAGCGCTTTGTACACTCTTTAAGTGGCCTAAGAACCTCTATATAGTCGGTAACAACAGCCCAATCGGCAGCTGTGAGGCCGTCTGATCTCATCCACTGTGGAGCAGCAGGCCGATTTTTGCCCTGTGAGTCGGCGTAGATATCCTCTTTTGCTGTATTTTGTATGTGGGTGTTCGCGTACGCGTTGATGGCCGGCGCGAGCTTTATAGCTCGCTCAAAACAGTCGAAGTATGAGTTCCAGCGTGTGACTACTGGCTTGATTGGCTGTAGTATCGTGAGCTTGTCGTCTGCGTCGTGAGGTAGCTCACGGTAAGCTGTACGCTGCGCCTTCTCAAAAAGATTGTACTGCTGCGGTGTGTGGATATAGTTGACAATATCGAGAAGTACGCCTAAAGGCCCGTGCTTTCGCCACTCCTTTATAAACGCTGCCTCGTCGGCGAGCTCGTCAACTCCCTCGTTGTTGTATGAGTCTGCATCTCTGCCCCAGAGCAGTCTCTGCCCAATCAGATTGATCGTATGAGGGCCACAGCGGAGGCGTCGGTGTATAGGATTGAAGTTAAGCTCGTGGGCAATCGCAGCGACAGCGGTGTCGTTATTAGAGGCATTGTCGAGGACGAAGTAACCGAGTGTGCGCTCGCTTATGCTAAACTGCTCTAAGATTGATAATACAACCTCAGCTAATCGATCGCCGGAGTGAGCGCCTGTGAGCTGAGGCAGCGCGATAGGCAGGTCTCGGAGCTTGCCATCTGAGTTGACGTAGTGGGCGACGATACCGAGAAACCCGCGCTTGCCGCCTTTCGTTGTCCATCCGTCAAAGCTTATATGGATCTTGCTAAGCGATTGTGACAGCTCGTGGACAACGCGGGGCCTGAGCCAGTCAAACAGTCGTATGACGTATTGGGAGACGCTCTTGTGGTTCTTCCAGAGCGCTGCTTCTGCAAGTGGGTTGGCGATAGCAATTAGGCGTCGAAAAGCTGGTGTTTCGAACTCAGAGATGGGGTGGTTGTTCGCGACGAGCCAGTCTACTGCGGCAAACCTAAAGCGCTGCTTGCTAAACCCGTTAATCTGATTAGCTACTGCCTGTGAGATAGGGACTCTCGCAGTGGTGAGCGCGTTGTAAACACTAGCAACTGGAGTCTTGCCTGGTGCTACTAGCCTATGGCCAGGTTTCTGCTCGCTGAGGTGGCGCGCGGCTGACGAGACTGCTGCGCTTGTATTGTATATCCCAATACCAATATCCGTGAGCTTGTGCTTGAAACACCAGTGGCAGATGAAGAATACGCGGGTTGGATCTTTGAGAAGAGCGACGCGATAGCCGTGGCGATAGATCCAACTCCGCTTGTGTTGGTGCGTCGTGATAGGCTTCGTATACAGCTTAAGGCGACCCCAATCTATGCCATCATAATTGTCTTCGAGATGGGCGTCAAAAGCCTCATCTACAGCGTCGTCGGCGGCTTCAGAAGACGGAGCGAGCGTAGCTTGCTCACTGCCCTCGGCGGGCGCGACGATAGCGTCTTCGGGCTGCGACTCGCGCAATCGCGACTCGAAAGTATGTGTATATGGAGGCGGCGGAGATAGAGCAGATGGCTGAGATTGATATGACTGCGAGTCGATCGCGACGGGCTGGCTCGCAGTGCCGCGCGCGCGCTTTCTAGGCGAGGGAGCGCTATCAGAGACGCGTTTTTGGGCGGCATGAGGGCGACGATGAGGTGAGGTATACGGCGATAGATCTGCAACACCAAAAGTATATAGTATTGTGGGTGATGGAGATGGAGATGGAGTATACTATATGAGACGACGCGCTGGCTGCTAGTTACACGGAGCTATCGGATATTACTCAATGTTACACGGCGTAACTAAAACACCAAAAAAAGCTCAGTATAGAGCTTTTACAGCTATCTAAGCTGCCTCATGGGCTGCCTCATCACCGAAATCTACTATATACTTAAGGCAATCAAGCTATCAATCTGAATCAAGCTCACGGAAAAGCTCAGCTGGATTGATTGCGTTTTTGTATGAGGTTTGGCTGGATTGATTGAATTGGCTTGGCATCAATCTTCCAATCAAGCTATCAAGCTAGCTTGATTGATCTCAGGTGTGCTCTTGCTCTTCCGCTACCGCCGGTCAACCCAACCATACCTGCACCACCGCCACATACACAAGACAGGCTACCGTGCGACCCCATCAGGACGCTACCACAAGGAACCTTGACTTGACTGGTATGGGGTCTCAGTTCGATTGAGGTTTACATTCGAAGACGATAATGATGGATGGGATATGGCGTTGGTATAATGGACAACATAGGGAGAGTCTAGGTTTGGAACATGCCATCGACAGACTTGGTCTACAGTTATCTTGAAACTCGGGGTGTCTATGGTGTCGGGGTACGGTATAAAAGGTTCGGATGGCATGTTACTCGGCGCGGTATGCAGTGCCTTTATATAGAATATAAACCTGAACGCTATTCTCTGTCACTGCTCCAGGCGTATTGATGCCACATTTTAACACATTCCTATCGGTTCGCAGGGCCTGCGCTATCGGTACCGTCGATGGGCTCCACATAGACGTTGACGTCTTTCGTGCAATTGATCTTTGGTGACGGCGCGTTTCGAGATGCCTCTTCATCGGGCCCGGGTATGTCCTGATCCTGAGATAGTGGCTCGAAGTGCGCATTACTAACTCTTTTCTTGTCGATGCGTCGCCTCCATGGTTTGTACAACAAGACACTCAGACCGCCAAAAAGGATGAAGGTACCACATATCGCACCGCCTGAGCATCATGAGCAACAAAACTTATATAACAAACAGGCTGCACTTACCGACAATATCCCAGGCATCGCCTAGTTTCTCCACCCCATCCCAGAACTTGCCCTGAGGCTCGGCGACATTCAATACGAGGTTGAGGAACTGCACTGTTCCGATAATCGTGGCTACGATGACGGTGATAACAGTTAGCACGATGCTGTAGTAGCATATCGCGATGGGATCGCGCGCCAGTTGCGTGCTTGTATACAAGCTCATCATCAATGCGCCATCTGTTGTATCGAGAAGACACATCCCTGCTGTGAAGAGAAGCGGAAAGATTAAGATAAGCCATATCGAAGTCCCCTTGGTCGCTTGAATTGAGCTAATACCGAGGATAGCAATCTCCGAAGAGGTGTCAAAGCCCAAGCCGAAGAGCACACCGAGAGGGTACATCTTCCAGGGTCGATCAACCAGCTTGAAAAGCTTCTGCAAAATGGGGAACAGGCAACCACCGCCCTGGATTTTAAACTGTTCGTTTTCGCTTCCGGGCTCGCTCGCAATCATTTTTTTCATTTGCACAATGAGCTTGTACAGAATGTAGACATTCATGAGTCCGAGGAGTAAGAGGAAGGCTGCGGAGACAGAAGTTCCGATAATGCCGCCGATACGCTCAAAGTTGTCAAATTTGTCTGAGACTGCAGCTGCAGTTCCGGCAACCACAAGGGATGTCGCGATGACAACAGTTGAATGCCCGAGTGAGAAGAACATCCCCACAGTGACTGGTCTTTGGCCGGCGGCGATGAGGCGGCGGGTCATGAGATCGATAGCCGAAATATGATCTGCATCAAGGGCATGTCGTAATCCTAGCGTGTAAGACAAGATTGCTGTTGAAATAAGGGGCGTGTGCCAGTGCTGTCAAAGTCAGCAAGCTCACCTAGAAGTCTCCCAGCATTTATCTCTACCCACCAGAACGATGCCGACTGCCGCCCAGACGAGCAGGTTAACAGCAATAAGTGTGATAATGATGGCTATTGCCGCAAAAGGAAGTCTTCGGAGATATGGTATCCGTGAATGGTATGCAGATGCTTTGGACGACGCGTTTTGGAAGAAAGAGAGTTTGTTGTCTGCATGGTTGCCCACGATCGATGGCGGACGTGAGTTCACCATCCTACCCCAGTCCGTCATTGTAAGGTATTGAAACTGCTTAAATTGCTGATACCCAAATGGAGTGAAACACAAGTCTTCTCAAGGAAGTTCAGAGGAAAACAAACAAATGTGCGGTTTCCGCAAAGTACCGTAGGATAATGACGGAAGGTGGGGCTAACTAAGGGATGTTATCGGGCGCGTTCCAAGCGGGGTAATTAGCATCACGATGTACTAATGACAGCGCCTTCATCCACCTGAGCGCGTGTATCGCGTATGAATTTGTATTTTACGATAAACCCTCTACCTTGCGAAAGCAGAGCGAGGCGTTTGTGCCACCGAAACCAAAACTATTCGAAAGAGCCACTTTGACATCATACTGTTGCGCACTTTTGGCGACATAGTTACAGTCGAAGTCTTCGGGGGGGTCGCCTGGATTGTTAAGATTGAGAGTCGGCGGTAAAATGTTCTGAGGTCGTTAGCTCTTGTATCCCATGTGGTCGGATTGCATGCTCGACTCACGTGATGCATTCCTAGAACTGTGAAAATCGCCTCAACACTACCGGCAGCACCAAGCAAATGTCCGATTGCGCCTTTCGTACTGCTTATATTGATCTTGGATGCTGCAGTCTTTCCGTCTTCACCCAGCAAGAGTTCTTTGATGGCTCGATTCTCAGCTGCGTCTCCCAGTGGAGTGCTAGTGGCATGGGCGTTGACATAGTCAACATCACTGGGTTTGAGGCCAGCATGTCGTAGCGCATGCTTCATAGCGAGGCGTGGGCCTTGCCCATCTTCGCGAGGCGCCGTCATGTGGTAGGCATCGCTGGACAGTCCGTAGCCAGCAACTTCGGCGTAGATTTGTGCACCTCGGTTCTTTGCGTGCTCCAACTCCTGTATATGTTAGACGGTAGTCGAAACAGTTTGGCAATTATTTACTTCAAGAACCATGACACCGGCACCCTCACCAATGACGAAGCCATTTCTTGCTCTGTCGAATGGTCTACTCGACTCCGTAGGGCGATCATTGAAGTCGGTCGCTAAGCTTCTGGCACGAGCGAATCCTGAGATGGCGAGTGGATGAATGCAAGACTCGGCACCCCCAGCGATCATTATATCCGCATCACCGAATTGAATCAGACGAGAGGCGTCTCCAATGCTATGTGCACCAGTCGTACATGCAGTCGTCGCTGCGTGGTTTGGTCCCTGTTGGATTCAGCAGTTGCCCTTGGACTTTGAGGGGAACAGCTACCTTGAAGCCATATCGCATGGAGATATGGCCTGCAGCTAGGTTGATCAGCAGTCGTGGAACAAAGAGAGGCGAGACCTTCCGGTAGCCCTGTACTTGATTAGTCGAGTGATAGGCATGTAGCTGGTTATACTTACACCCTTCTCATATGCAACTGTGGTATTATAGACATCGTCTAAGCTACCGATTCCAGATCCCATATAAACACCCTGATACGATGTGAGCAGAGCACGTGTCGAAAGCGTGCGTATTCTCCATACCGTTGATTCGAGATCTTCCTCTTTTTTCGGAAACCACTCAGAGTCCTTCAGAGCTTCTTCCGATGCGACCATAGCATACTGAGCAAACCGTGCCATGCGACGTTCGTCCTGCACAAAAATCAATACTGATACAGTTAGTCGCGCAACGCACATACACTGGGGCTCAGATGCTCCTTTGAGTCCCATCCTCCGTGATCTCTTTTCCCCTCAGGAACTATGCCAGCAACTTGACTCGGTAGCAACGCGAATTCAGGGCTTCTGTTTTTGATGGAAACGATGCCGCACTGTCCATCGATCAGACGCTTCCACGTTTGGCGGACACCTGTTGGGTATCAGCGAAAGGCGGCGCAGGGCGAGAATCATCATAATGTACCTATTCCCAAAGGCGTCACAAGCCCTAAGCCTGTTACTACTACCCGTCGCATTGCATTTCAGTGATCGTTGTGAATACTGAAAGAATCACGATCAAGCAGGAAGAACCAGCCCCAAATGTACACGAGCCACGTGTGGCGCACACAACGTGGCGCATGAGCTAGCCCGTCTGGGTCATGTGTCTCCATATCATGAATTCTCGTGATGCCTCCATTCTAGCTGACGTATAGTTTGCAAACAAGCAGAAGTGAGAAAAATAAAGTTCTCAATCAGCCTCTTTTGCACGATGACAGAAACATGTGTACTCTTCGGCTTGACTTTGTTTTATGTCATCCGTTCCATGCCGCTGCGGACCCAGCCATCACTCAAAGACCATAATCAACATCTGTAATTGCCCGCAACTTGGTCCTAACACCCAATACCGGCCAATTCTCCCACTTCCCCGTGTATACCAAGCTCTTCAATGTTGAACGAACCGACACTGTCGTCATCTACCCGTAGTTCACTGATATGAGGGGTACCAGCTCGATCATCAAGAATAGACTTTAATTCTTCCTCCTTGACAAAAATGATCTGTTGACGTTTAGGGCCGGTAGCAATACAATTGTCTTGCTTTTTTAAAAGGCATGGATTTTCATCTACTTCACGTCCATCGTTTTGCAGATGAGCTCGGTCGCGTGCAGTCTGTGCGCGTGCCTTCAACCAAGCGGTCTTGCGGCGTGGATCTCGCGCTATTGCCGGCGGTATGGCGGACAGTATGGTAGCATTTTCAGACGTGATGGAATATTCCGATGTTGCTAATCGCAACCGTCGTCTTTGTGTACTGTCTGATCGAGCCTGGGTTGTATCGCCCATGGCGCTTGGCCTCATTGACCGAATGAACTGGTTGTACGTTGATGTTGTTGATCTTTGTCGATATTTGGCCGACATAACTTCTTCACTCCCCTCGTATCTTGAAAATTCATTCTTCGTCTCGAAATCTGGGGTTGAAGATGTCTGTATAACAGTATGAGGATGGTTGGCATCTTGAGAAAGAGGATGTGGTATGGCAGCAGACTTGTCAACAATCAATCAGATCGGCATGATTGATTCCTATCTAGGCTAAAGGCTACCTAATGAAGTAATTCTTTAACCTATATAGGAATCAATCATGTCGATCGATTGATTGTTGACAAGTCTGTATGGCAGACTGTATGGAAGAGAAAGAAGTGTGCTGGGAACGCATTTTGTGGTAGAACTGGTAGGTATCTTACCAACCATTTTAAGCCTGATACCATATTCATATATCATTGACCTCAATTGTCTCGTAGTTCACAAGGCAACATTTTTAGCGTCAGTTAGAGGTTTGCCCGTGGTACCTGTAACGGGCTGAGCCTCGAGTCACATGACTAGGCTGCTAGCCTAGTCGCTTCCCCGGCAACGTGAGGGCCGTGCGCCAACCCAAACAAAGCAGGCTCGCCGCTTGCGTCTTACCTTCTTTCTTCATCTTGACTGTAAATAGCATCTGGACTAGGTAGCTGGAATACAGTCCCTACAGACCGTTCACATACAGTCAAGATCAAGAAGAACACGCAGAATACGCAGAACACGCAGAACACGCAGAACACGCAGAATACGCAGAATACGCAGAATACGCAGAATACGCAGAACACGCAGAACACGCAGCAACCAAAGCACCGCTATAATGAGCTCCCCCGGGGATACTGACATGACGACGAACGATTCGAACCAGCTGTTACAGTCGCTACTACAGAGACTTGAAGACATGAGCACTAGGATGGAGAGGCTGGAAGCACCATCGCACGAGCTACCTCAAACGCCTGGTCACAATACAGACGCCACCACTGATCCAACGCCAACCTCCGAGACTTCGAACACATCTGTGCCTATAACCCCAAAGCCGCGGCACAGCTTACCCCACCCGCCTACGTTTGGTGGAAACAAATCACAATGGCGAGGATGGAAGCTAGAGATGGAGGGCAAGATCGAAGAAGACGCGCAAGCTATTGGAAGCCTAAAAGCTCAGCTACGCTACGTCTACATGCGTCTTGATGGGGCAGCGAAAACCAACGTTACAACATACTACGAGATACAAGTTAAAGAAGAATCGCCAAACCCTTTCAAGCTGCTTGACCGCCTTGAACTCCTCTACGGCGAACGAAATCGGAAGGAGAAAGCCATTCAGAACCTCTACTCTATACGCCAGAAGGACGACGAGACGTTTATTTCCTTCTATCCACGGTTTGAGAAAGAGATGGCCAACGCTGACGCAGAAAGCTGGCCTGAGCATACGAAGATATCCTACTTACGCAATGCATTAAGTGGTAGGATAAAGGATAGGCTTGTTGGTACATCAGGAGCAGAAACAAGCACATACGCAAGGTTCGCTCAGAAGTGTGCAGATCTTAGCAACGACATGGAGTTGTTCGGCCAATGGACGAAAACAACCCGCCGTTACGGTAGCCGAACTGCTGAAAATGCACCAACCTATGAACCACCAGCAAAATCAAATAATGCCACGCTCACAGCAGTTTCCCCCGAAGACATGATGGAATGGGAACCTACGCAGCCTACAACTACCCAAGTGAACGCTGTCGGCCTCCGCGGCAAGACCAACATGAATGGATATCCATCTAGGCGTCCCGAAGACCGAGAACTTATTGGAAAACGAGCAAAATGGGTCAACCAAGAGGAAATCGATGCTCGACGCCAGGAACGACGCTGCCTCCGATGCGGCCGCAACAATTGCCGAATAGCTACATGCCCGTTAGCAGCCGCTCTACGACCAACTCACGTTAGCGTCAAGACAGCAAAGAGTACTGTGGTCACCAAGGCAGCTGTAGAGGAGGAAGATCCAGAAGACTCCGAAGCAGAGCAATAGGAACACGCGGCAGCTCAGAAAGAATGGAAAGAGACCGGAAAGCAAAAGATGGATAGCGATCCCTTTGTACTGGACGTTAGACTTAATGGAACTGACTTTGTCACTGGACTTGTTGACTCAGGTTGCCTTTGCTATTCTGCCATTAATGAACAACTCTTTCGATCTCTGAGACTGCCATCAATCAAGATAGCCCCGCGCCAGCTAGAGGAAGCAGCTGGGAAGAACGCAGAACCAAGTACTGTCCTAGATACAGTTACTTACGCCTCGATAGACATAGACGGCCACCAGCAGAAACGCGTCTTCTTCTACGTTGTACCTGGCCTAACTTACGACGTGATCCTAGGAAAGCCCTGGTTAGAAGATGCCGACGTCACAATTTCGGCCAAACAAGGCTGCCTAGATATCGGCGCGTCAAACATCCGCGCATGGAACCACAAGAAAGCGTCATACAAGCCACCACTAATGAAGGCTACTCAGGTGATGGCTTCCGCATTCATGGCGGAGGTGAGAAGAAGCCGTAGGAAGAACAAAGGAGACGGTATTGCGCTCGACACTGGACTGTTCGCTGTTTCCATCGCCGACATTGAGAAAGCTTTGAAACCGCGCAAACGATCCGATCCAAAGACGAAGCTCCCACCCCAGTACCACCAATGGCTGAAGGCTTTCGACCATTTCCTAGCTGAGAAACTTCCCCCACATCGTAAAGGCGTTGATCTCCACATTGAGATTGAAAAGGATCAAGACGGAAACGAGAAGACCATTCCATGGGGTCCGCTCTACGGCATGAGCCGAGAAGAGTTACTAGTGCTTAGGAAAACTCTCACCGAGCTGTTAGACAAGGATTTTATCCGCGCAAGTAACTCTCCCGCAGCTGCACCCGTCCTGATGGTCAAAAAGCCAGGAGGGGGCATCCGATTTTGCGTTGACTACCGAGGCTTGAACAACATCACCAGGAAGGACCGTTACCCTCTGCCTCTATTCACAGAAACACTGAGAAATGTAGCTAAAGCTAAATGGTTCACAAAACTTGACGTTATCGCAGCCTTCCACAAGATCCGTGTGGCCAAAGGAGAAGAATGGAAGACAGCTTTCCGAACAAGATACGGCCTATTCGAATGGCGGGTTGCTCCCTTCGGACTAACAGGAGCACCAGCCGCATTTCAACGCTACGTAAATGGTGTTCTACAGGATTACCTTGACGACTTTGTTTCAGCCTACGTTGACGACATCTTAATCTACTCGTCAGGATCGCTTCAGGATCACAGAGAGAAGGTTGGAAAGGTTCTTCAACGCCTTATAGACGCTGGACTGCAGATTGATATCGACAAGTGCGAGTTCGAGACTAAACGAGTCAAATACCTCGGGTACATTGTGGAAGCAGAAGTGGGCATTCGAGTTGATCCTGAAAAAATTATCGCAATCCGCGAATGGGCTACACCAACGTCAGTTAAGGCTATCCGAGCATTTATTGGTTTTGCCAACTTTTACCGAGTTTTTATACCAAACTTCTCGGACATTGCTGAACCGCTTATCAACCTAACTAAGAAAGAGATGGTTTTTCATTGGGACGAGGCTTGCAATCAAGCATTTGAAACGATTAAGGAACTTCTCATTACAGCACCAATACTCGGCCATTTTGATCCAGAGAAGGACACCTTGGTAGAAGCCGACTCCTCAGGACATGCAACTGGCGGCCTATTGCTGCAGAAGGACAAGAACAACAACTGGCAACCCGTTGCCTACTACTCAAAGAAGCACTCACCAACAGAGGCCAATTATCCAATTCATGACAAGGAGCTTCTAGCTATTGTTCGTTGCTTAGAAGCATGGGCTCCTGAACTACGTATGGTTAGGAAGTTCACAGTTCTGACGGACCACAAGAACCTTCAATACTTCTACCGCGAACGACAGCTGTCTGAAAGACAAGTACGTTGGTCAGAGTTTCTCTCACGATTCGACTTCTCCCTGGAATGGAAACCTGGAAAGACTATGGGAAAACCTGACGCCCTGTCACGACGAGAACAAGACCTACCCGCCAACTACGACGATGAACGAATACGGTCTCGATTTATCCGTCTTTTCCAGAGCAAGCACTTGCAGAGTGTTCAAATCCAGTCCCTGTCGTCCGAGGAGATTGACTTCACAGAAGAGATACGCATGTTTGAGGACCAGGACATGCAAAATCTCTGGCACCGAAGCCGCCAAGAGGATAAGCTTTATCAGGAGCTCACTACGCTGGTAGCAAACAAGGAGCGGAACCTCCCTACCAAACTTCAGAAGGAGAAGTCAGTGAGTATAGCAGAATGCACCCTAGACGAGAGAGGCCTGTTGCGATTTCGAGACCGGATATGGATCCCTGACTGCGAACCACTTCGCACACGAATTATTCAAAATATTCACGACTCGCATATCACCGGCCATCCTGGACGAGATCTTACCTACTCAATCTTATCAAGGCAGTTCTTCTGGTCAGGTGTAGCAAGCGACGTGCGACGCTTTGTCCGTAACTGCGAGATTTGCGGGAGGAATACGATATGGAGAGAGACAAAGAAGGGCCTCCTTAAACCGCTACCGATCCCAGAACGTATATGGGGAGAACTTTCAATCGATTTTATTACGGACTTGCCGCCATCTGGACGCGATGACGCAACGAACTGCATGGTGGTCACTGATCGGCTGACAAAGGGAGTTGAACTGGAAGGCATGCACGATATCTCGGCAGAAGCAGTAGCACAACGGCTTTTAGAACGGCATTACCCTATTCATGGTATTCCAACGGCAATTACGAGCGATAGAGGACCACAATTCGTCAGCGATCTTTGGAGGCATTTCTGTAAACTCCTCAGCGTTGAGCAACGCCTGTCGACTGCCTATCATCCGCAAACCGATGGTGCAACAGAGCGAATGAACCAAGAGATTGAGAAGATGATTCGAATCTGGGCCACCTACACGCAAGAAAATTGGCTAGCACTTTTACCTATCGTTATGGGAGCAATCAACAATCGCGAGGCCTCATCTACTGGCCTAAGCCCCTTCTATTTTATGCACGGATATCACAATGAACCCATTCAGCTGGTAGAGGATCGAACTATTCAGGACCGACCAAAGAGAGACGGCGAAGCACTGGCAGAAGGCTTCCTTAAAAGACTCCAAGACGCAACAGAGTGGGCCCAAGCTGCGATCGCGATAACACAAGAGAAACAGCAACATCAAGCTAACAAGACAAGAACAGCAGCGCCCCAATACAAGGAGGGAGACTGGGTGTTTTTGAACCTTAGAAACGTGAAGACAACACGACCTTCCAAGAAGCTAGACTGGTTGCATGGAAAGTACAAAGTCTTGAGGCAGGTCAACTCCCACTCTTATCAACTTGACGTTCCGGGGAAGATCCATCCTGTCTTCCACGTAGACCTGCTTCGCTACGCGCCTAACGACTCTCTCCCATCGCAGAAGGTTGGAGACACTCAGCCAGGGCCTATACTTGTAGATGGAGACGAGCTATGGCTGGTTGAACGTATTCTGGGCGAACGCACAACAAGGCAGGGAGGGAAAGAAATCAAGGAGGCATATGTGAAGTGGGTGGACTATACTGAACCGACATGGGAACCTGTGAGTAACGTACTAAAGACTGACGCTTGGAGGAAATGGAGAAAACTACGCGCTAAAGGGAAAGGAGGGGGGTAATGTAACGGGCTGAGCCTCGAGTCACATGACTAGGCTGCTAGCCTAGTCGCTTCCCCGGCAACGTGAGGGCCGTGCGCCAACCCAAACAAAGCAGGCTCGCCGCTTGCGTCTTACCTTCTTTCTTCATCTTGACTGTAAATAGCATCTGGACTAGGTAGCTGGAATACAGTCCCTACAGACCGTTCACAGTACCCATGGTATGAAGTAACTCTTGTGATGCGTGGGACAATTGATCACAATCAGACAGTTTGCTTTACGAACCTTCCGCATTACGTGTTGCGTGATAGCCCTCGAAGCCATGGCACAAAATCGCCAATAATGATGCGCACATGGTTTTCCTCGAGGTCTTCAGTGCGACCGATCCTAGTAATAGTTCACGGAAGTCCTAGAAAGGCTTTAAACTTGCACTAAGGCACTAAAACCAGCACAGATATACATAATTACACGGGCTGACAAGCAAACTGTTCCAGAGTCGGATCTACTATGTAGTTTTGGGAACTTGTTGGTGATACAGACGGCAATTGGCGACTGTAAATAGATAGCAACAATCTAGTCGGTTTGCATTGGCAAAATAGAGTGCTGAATCGATAATTCCTTGTTGCGAAGCTGACCATATCCAAGAAACACGAACTCATGGTCTAATTGGTGGTTTGGTGGTTTTAGAGCCCGTGTCCATAGATGGATTAGAGGATCTAGCAAGCACGTAATCGCCAAGACCTAGAAACCCTCGTCTAGCGGCCGTTTGCGATCATCAACACCAAAGATATGACTCCCCGCGATGTGATTATAAAGCCCCACCTACCGCGTAGGCTCTACAATTTTCCATATACAAGTAGCTTGTGCCACAGTTGTCATGGCATCAGGAACGATCGTTGATGGTGCCAACGGGTCGCGGAAGTATCGTGAGTCGCTTCCAAACTCATTTCCATTGTCGCAAACATTCCAAGATTGGGTTTTCATCGTACAATGGAAGTGTCGCACATGCTTTAGAATGTCACGCAGACCAATCAAATCGAATTTGATTGCTCTGATCTGTTCTAGGTGATATAATTAGCCATCAAGATGACCTAGTCACGCTGTGCTTTTGAATCACTGCCACTGACATTGCCATAGGGACGCTATCATCGCAACCCGAAAATCCCTTCGCGAAGCTCATTCCCGACCAGAGTTTTGCCGTCATACCACAGGTCACCCTCGAATCTGGCGTCGTACTGCAGAATGTCAGCGTTGCATACAAAACATACGGTACCCTAGCACCCGGCGGGGACAATGCTATGGTTATATGTCACGCACTTACGGGTAGTGCTGATGTCGGAGATTGGTGGGGACCGTTAATAGGGGGCCCTGGGAAAGCATTCGACATATCGCGTTTCTTCGTCGTATGTATGAACAGCCTAGGGAGCCCCTACGGCAGCGCAAGCCCAGTCACGGCCAAAGACGGCGACGCCTCACTGGGACAGTACGGACCCGAGTTCCCGCTGACAACAGTGAGAGACGATGTCAAGTTAGTCGAGCAAACTTCTGGAGATATGTGGGGACTGCGCTGACTGGAATAGCATCTTCAAGCTTATCTTGGACGACCTCGGGGTGAAGCAGATCGCTGCCGTAATAGGAGGATCAATGGGCGGCATGCTTGTGCTTGAATTCGCCTACTTTGGGAAAGACTACGTCAAGACCATTATACCGATTGCCACATCAGCTCGCTACAGCGCATGGGGTATCAGCTGGGGTGAGGCGCAAAGGCAGAGCATCTACAGTGATCCCAAATATGATGATGGCTACTACTCATACGATGACCCTCCTTCGACCGGCCTTGGAGCGGCGCGAATGTCTGCTCTCCTGACATACCGAAGCCGTGATTCGTTCGAGTCGAGGTTTGGGCGCAATACACCTGACACCTCCAAGAAGCAGAGCATCAATACCATAGCACGGTCGACGACTCCAACGAACCCCTCACACGAGCATTGGGCGATACACAACGATGGGCACAAGAACGCCAGATCACCCCGGCTCATGTCCAGAACGAATAGCAGTACTGCCATACCAGGTACGACCGCAGCGCATGCTGATCTTGAATTCCACGATGCTTCCAATCCGGCTACACCGCCCCTGCAAAGGACCAACTCAACGAGTAGCAATGGCCAATTCTCGCGCTCTACGAAGCCTCTTGCACCGCACTACTTCTCCGCGCAGTCATATCTACGGTACCAGGGCGAGAAGTTCATCAAGCGATTCGATGCCAACTGCTACATTGCAATCACACGGAAGCTAGATACACATGACATCTCTCGTTATCGATATCCAGAGGGCGAAACTCCGGAGACTCTAGATCAAGTATCAGCTCTTCACCATGCTCTTTCTTTGATTGAACAACCCACACTCGTACTAGGTATACAGTCAGACGGTTTGTTCACATTTGCTGAACAGCAAGAGTTGGCTGCGCATATCCCTCACGCTACGCTGAAGACCATCGACTCCCCTGACGGCCACGATGCCTTTTTGTTAGAGTTCGAGCAAGTAAACAAACATCTGGTCGGCTTCTTGAATACCGAGCTTCCCGAGATCATAAACAGAACACCCAGTATAGACACAACGGTGACCCATTCTGGCATGGCAGCTACCAAGACCAGCACCTTTGGTGAGGCTGAGGTCGACGACATCACTGCGTGGTAGTGCGATTGAGTGCATGGCATTTAGCGTGACGTTATGGCTTACAAGGTAGATTGCATGTAGCGACGTGCAGTTTTCGGCATATGCTTGAAAGAAGACTGTACTATTATGACAGGCTCCAAGACAATGGGAGCTGAGGTTCAACCCCTCGTCAATATCGTATTTGCAATGTATCAATAATACTAGAAGAAGGAAAAATGAATCGTATTGGTCGTTCTGTTGTTGTCTACTGTAAGACTAGTTTTCCCGTGATTATCTCAATAGAAGAAAATTGGAAGGGCCCGGAAAGAGCGCGTAAAAGAATTCAAATATTCGGCATTTGTGCAGTTTTTTTGCCATATCGTTGTACATGAAACCAACATCACCCAACTGTCAAGCTGGTACTTGTGAAATGGTCGCCGTGCTTGGCACCTTGAACCCATATCTGTTTTTCCAACATCGCAGCAGACTCCGCAACAATCAAATCAATCAATCTTAAGGTTGTCGATTGGTTTGATTAGCTTGCGGCGACGCTGCTGATTGATTGCGGATTGATTGTTAGGGTTTTTGAGCAGATTGATTGCGATTGATTGGTTGATTGGCTGATTGATGCTAAGAAGTAGTATACAGGGGGTTATGGTGTTGTACTCCAGCCTTCTATATCGTACTGTTGTACAATCTCCTCATCTTTGACGTCACTCCACTTATCTTCATCATCACCGTTGTTGTACAAGCCGTCAAAGCCAGCTCGTCTCCACGAACGTACAAGCTGAAGGGCAGCAAGTAACTCGCTGCCAAGAGCTCGCCGGCGCGGCTCAAGTAAATCGCCAAGCTCGCTAAAGAGCCTCTCGCAGTCGCAACTAGATGCTGGTATCGTGAGTATATCAATCGCAAACTGGCTCAAACACGGGTATTTTGAGCGTAATTGAATCCAGTACTTGACTGGGTGGCCATCGCTAAGATACTGTTCGCTTGTCCACTCTGGCTCTTGAGTTCTCCAGCGCTCGTACTCATCGTCGTGGGCAGCCTCTACCTGAGCCTTGTTGCGCCGTACGAGGGCGCCAATCACATCATCTATTCCTCTATGCCTTGGTTTTGCAGTTGTTTGAGATAGAGGACGTGTACGTTGAGGCTTATACGACTGCCAGAGCTGCAGGAAGCCAGCGTTGGCTGATGTTAGCCATTCTGGCTTATCCACCCAGCTGTTCTCGCAGTAGTATTTGTAGTATGGATGGAGGCAGGTAGCAGCGTAGTATGCTGGCGATCGATCGAGCTTGTTGTAGTAATCGTTGGCCTTACTCCAGGCGGCGCGGAGGTTAACAAAGAGGTGATCTTCAGGCGCATCAGGTGGGTTGAAGTCAACTTGCTCGTACGAGCGCGTACGGGCTTCGAGCGCGCCAAGTACGTATTCAAATACAGGAATAGTCTCATATATAGCGCCGTATTTGCCTGCCTTTCCGCGACCCTCAAGCTTCTCCGTAGCAAGCTTAAGCGGCTCTAGGCAGTCCTGATACTCTGTTATCACCGCCCAATCAGCAGCTGTAAGTCCTGTTGATCTCATCCAACTAGGTGCTTCAGGGAGTTTATTGCCACGTTGACAAGCGCGGCGATCTTCAAGGGAGAGTGCGTTAATGTAGTGCTCAGCGTAAGAGTTGTATGCTGCCTGGAGTTGAGTTGCGCGTTTGAAGGCAGCGTAGTAAGAGTTCCAGCGTGTAACAACAGGCTTCACAGGCTCAAGTACGTGGAGGCGCTCTCTAGCTGGCAACTCGGCGTTGGCGGCGGTTTGGAAGCTTCGGAAAATTTCGTGTTGTTGAGGCGTTTTTATATGGTTGATAACGTCGATAAGTACACCTAAGGGCCCTTCTTGACGCCACTCCTGCATGTACACCTCCTCTGTTTGGAGCTGCTCGTCGTTGTTGTTGTTGTTGTACGCCTCTTGATTGCTGCCAAAGATAATTGCCTGGCCAATAAGGTTAAGCGTGTGAGGGCCGCAGCGGAGGCGTCGGTGAGCAGCGTTGAAGTCGTACGCGTGGGCGAGCGAGGAGACTGCAGTATCGTTGTTTGCAGCATTGTCGAGGACGAAGTAGCCGAGTTTATCACTCCCAATACTGTATTCTTGGAGCGTCTTTTTAATTGTATCAGCGATAGCATCACCAGTATGAGAGCCTGCGAGATGTGGGAGGGCGATGGGGAGATCTTGTATCACTCCAGAGGCGTTAGCAAAGTGTGCAACGACTCCAAAGAATCCACGCTTGCCACCCTTTGTCGTCCAACCATCAAAGCTTATGTGGATCTTGCTTGCAGCTTCTGACAGAGCGCAGACAATCTGTGGCTGCATATATTGGAAGAGGCGCATTGCGTAGGTAGCTACACTGCGAGGACTTACCCACAAAGCTGCCTCTGCCTCTGGGTTTGCAAGGCTAATCATCTCGCGAAAGGACGGCCTTGCAAGTAGCTCCATTGGCAAGTTGTTATCAAGAAGGCAGAACACTGCAACTTCACGAAACTGCTGGATGTTGAAGTTGCCCATCGCGTTGGCAGCCTCTTGAGAGACTGCAACACCAGTCTCCAGCGTCTGTCGTAGAGAGAGTTGCTGCCCTGTTCTTCGAGGCTTCAGGCCGTCTTTTGTAAAGCCATGGCCTCGTTTCTGAAGGCCAAGATGAGCTGCAGCTGAGGAGGTGGCCTTTGATACGTCAAAAACTCCACTGCCGCCAGTGTCAATGACCTTGTGGATGTGGCAGTATTTGCATACAAACCACACTCGATTCTGATCGTAGAGCTCAACAACGCGATATTCATGTTGAAAGATCCAACTCTTGACGCGCCGCCCAGTTGTAAGAGGCTTCATGAACCGAGGGAGGCGATCCCAGTTAATGCCGTCAAAGTTATCGCCATTATCAGGCTCTGTATCAACACTAGCCTCTGTTGTTGCTGCTGTACCAGCCTGGCTGCCCTCAGCCGCACCCTCCTCCTCTGTTTGCGACTCGAAAAATTGCGACTCAAACGTTGTGGCCTGGCTTACGGCGGCGCCAAGGGTTTCCTGAGGCGACAGCGATCGCTGAGATAGGACAGAGGGCCTTGATAGGCGCGCCCGTTTGGCGGCGGCGGCGGCGGCAGCAGTATTGGTGGGAACTCGAGAGCGTTTGGCCATCGTGGGCGATACTAAACACTAAAGAAAAATGTCTGTATAGGTAGCTAGGCAACTAGTGTTGTGTGTAAGGGATTATTAGGGAACTGAGTGAGCGAAATCGTTGTTGTATTAAGAACAGCGAAGGACTAGCTATATAGGTGCGGGGTGAAGCCTAGAAGAGGCTAGCCCCTAAGCAGAAGGAGCTAGTCCTATAAGAGGAGAGCTAGCTGGTGAGAAGTGAATGCATAGAGACTGGCTTGCCCGGCCGACAGGGATCACAAGCTAAGCGAGATAGGGGTCCAAGATAACTATCTTCAACACCAAAAACCTTCTCTTAATACGACACTACTCGCCTTACAACTCGTTAATAATAAATCAATCTAACTAATCAAATCAATCAATCTGACCTTCGCAAGTTGATTTGATTAGCTATTTTGAAAAGCTTAGATTGAGTTGATTGAGTTGGTAAAAACTCCAAATGACCAATCAAATCAATCAATCTGACCAATCTCGATTGATTGTTGCGGAGTCTGCATCGCAGAATCCTCATATATCCCAACTATCGTACACCCTACCTCCTGCTCTTCTCCGGATACTTCTTGGTTTACCGTTGGGGCAAGATTGGCTCCTCATACTAACACTAGTCCAGATTCCTGTAATGTTCCCACGGAAGTAGTGTACTAAAGATAGAGTATGACTATGAGCACCATATCGATTACCGGAAGTTAGTCATGTAATCTGAAGAGTTTGCATAGGTCAGATTTATGCTGATAGGGTTGCTAGGGTATTTTTTCGGGAAGTCTTTTCGACGTGGCTGAATGTAAAACGGTTCTAGAAAGGTATTTGGTGCTTATGAGAGACGTTGCTAACGGAGAAGTTTCGATATATTACTTTTTCACCGTGAGTGGAAAGAGGGGAGAATTGTGAATCTTGTAGATTCGGTTTTGGGGTGGGCAGATCGACTAATCGGGGTTGCCTGGTTTGTTCTGATCAAAGGTACCATGAAGATGCTCAGGGTTCTTGCAGTAGGCTTTTCGACAAAGTCGGCAGCGAAGGCCATCGAACGATGGTAGTTCCAGCGCCGAATTGTCTATTCTCGACCGAGTTGCAAATTGTAACCGTGATGCTCGCTTTCGACGTCTTAGGTCTTTCAGAAACACATTTTCCGAGTAATATCCACTCTCTCGAAGTATCAGGGACCACTCTTCCAGTATGTTCAAGCTACGAGCCAAAGACAAAGGTGTGTACATCTTCCCATAAGAGTTGCGTGCCATTGTTGCATAAACATCCAACTTGTGCTCTACAAATAGCAATTTACAAAACTGCATGAGCCGGATGGCACGCTTGGTGTTAGGCGGTGTATTGGGACTAACCTGAAACCCCAAAAAATATTGCGATTGATGAAGCTGGCTCTTTTTGGTCGGAGTGTGTCTCCTAGACTCCGCAACAATCAATTCAATCCGGTCACTCTCCTAGACCCACTTACCTATCTAGGTAGGGCTTAAACTCCTATAGGTAACTACTAGGCTTAAAGCGGTAATCAATCAATCCAATCTGAACCTTCTAGGACCCACTTAATTGATTGTTGCGGACTGTGGTGTCTCCCTCTGGGAATCTCTACAAGAATCAATATCCATAAAAGACGGCTGTACAACCCTTCGCCATCAGTGGCAAAGTTCGGAGTAAGACGCTCGTTAAGTAGCGTAGCAGCGAGTTCCTGATTCCAATTATCTGAGAGTATGCAATTGTGACGAAACTTTCCACTTGCAAAATTCTGCCAACTATCTTTTGCTCTATTTTGCAGAGCACAAAAGAACGTTATGAAGCTTGTATGACACCACATCGCTTTGTGAAAGACATGCGATTGCACCTGGATACTGGCCAAGCAATTCGTAATCACAACCTAAAGAATCCAGAAGCTCGATAATACTCAATAGTTTCTGGAGGTTGAGTAGGCCAAATGCATTCTGAGGTTCTACGATACTGTGAGCTGAATTGTCAATATTGTTCATATCGGACTCACGCAGTATTTGGCCGATGCCATGAAAGACCTTGAGAGCTCAAAAATTTACAAATGCTAACGCGTACGCGTCTCCCAGCATACTTTGTCCTCGTCAGCTAAGAAAACATTCATATCTCCCTAAGCATACGAGTCTCAGTCTGGCAAGAGGACATCCAAAACGAGGCAGTGAAAACTGATGAAGCCCCGAGGCATGATTCAATGCTTACATGTAAAATCGTCCTGTCGTGTTGGTCCTTGCTTCTAATATATGCCTCCCTATCTTTCAACATCTGCTGAAGCTGTCGGACATCATTAGCCCAGATGACCATCCAAACCGGATGACTTTCGCTCAGAGTAGCCTTGCTGATTCGGCCCTGTTTTGTAGAGAATTGAGATCACCGGCAGGTGTTAGATTGATTGGCGAGGTCAGAAGTGAACATGGATCACTACCATGGAATCTGATGACGGTAACCCGTTGATGCGATGAGAAATGTGTGATACTTCAGCTTCGATGGAACCTATCCTCCATTCCATGTACCACCTACGGCTATAGGTAACTGTAAAGTGGTAAAGGTCAGCATCCTGCTCTCCTGACGTGACCCGGGACAGGGCTAAATTGAAACCGCATTGGTTGCTCGTTTGGCTATCAACTGATTGCCCGCCTCTGAAACCTTCTGGGTAGCGGCGTGGTTCTTTCTCTGTCATCTTTGAGTCTATTGGAGGCTGTGTATGGTGGCCGAGATCATAAATAATGCGCTGTATCGTATTCTCCAAACGCTGCATTCTTGCTTCTGTACGGGTATTCATGGTGTTCAATGCTTGTTCAATGATTGGTGTTATAGTAATACGAAGCTCCTGGCGCACGACCTTGGTAGTTGCCTCAATGCTTGAAGCTATGAATGTCGTCTGGGTATGGATATCTTGTGATTCTTTAGATACCGTATCAATCGACTACAGACTCCGTGCAAACATGTGTTCCGTTTGTGATCTGAAGCAGACTCCGCAACAATCAATCGGATCGGCATGATTGATTCCTATCTAGGTTAAAGGCTGCCTAATGAAGTAATTCTTTAACCTATATAGGAATCAATCATGTCAATCGATTGATTGTTGCGGAGTCTGATCTGAAGTCACAGAGGCAATTGTTAGAGTCTCGCACTTTTTCCAATAGTAAGACATTTTGGACATTGGATCGATTAAATCCTCTATCCATATGTTGGGATTGCCTGGAAATGCTCGAGAGGATATCTTCGTGCTCATGGGTAGATGACTTCTGTAAATTCTCAACATTAGTGCTGACAAAATGAGCTTGATTTAGAAGCTGAGTGTGGTATTGATCTTGTTTCTGGATTGTATAATTCAGCGTGTTGCGATGCTTTGCCTGTTTATCGAGGATGTTCTGTGTGTCCTGGAGGATCTGTAGGTCATTCAGCCTGAAGAATTTCAGTGTTGATTTCATACCTTGAGTACTGCTTTACCTTCCAGTAACTTTCAATGCAGTATTGAGACGTGTGTTTCTTTGATTCAATCTCTCGATTACCCCCTGCTCTTTCTGTCTATGAATCACCTAGCGAACCTTTACTTTATCTTCTCCACTGGTTTCGCCGGCAACAGGCGTTTGGCGGCAAGTATATCATCGTCATACCCCAGGAAAGCCCCAATAACAGCTTCGGAGAGAACCTCGGACTCTTCAACTGCATTTGTGGACTTCTTAAACTTCAGGATATATCTCCTCAGATTGCGAACGTTCGCTTCGACGTCACGTGAGACTAATAAGATAAGTAATAGGCCACCAATGCAAAGGGGGCGTAATGCCTACTGTCTCGGAGGAATTTTACGTCGTATGCAGTATCCTTATAAGCATCGAGGAAGCTGCAGACCTCGCCACTGACGCGCAAGGCTACATCGACTAGCTGAACGACACTGGCGATGGCTCCCAGCTCTGCCATTGCGAAAACTACTAGACGGGGACCGAAGGGAAGAAGAAATACACCTCGCAATGATAAAGAAGAATAAGAAGAGAGAAGAAAAGTGCATGAGAAAGTGTATTAAGAAAGAAGTCTAGAGGCTCGGATAATGCCGAGACAGGTCAGGCTGACTTTGGCCACATAATAAATACGTGATGTATCTATCTCCCAGGCTGAGCCAAATGCGACAAAGCTCTTCAGAATGTGCGAAATATGGACTGCGAATTCGTAGATACGACGCGCATCATCACATACGGCTATTTTCTACGTGGTTATGCATACTATGATAGTACTTCCCTTCTGTGCCCTCATCTTTAGAAACCTCAAACCGGGCGCGGGCGAGCCCGCGTGTGCCTCGCAGCACAGTAGCGGCTATTTTGCTCATCCAGGATCGTAAAGGAGGGGTGGTTGCATGCAGGACACTGTGAGCCAGGACAAGGTGTGGGTGGGGCCTGCGGGCACCTTACCCTATGAGCGATCGAGCAACGATCTAAGCCCGGCGGGGTAATACACTAGCTTTATTGAGCGGAACGAAGATGGTCTGCGATTGGTGGTTTAGTGGTGACGGACGGGCAGGTAGGCAATCAAGTGCTGATGGAAGGGTGGTGTGGAACGGATATAAAGGAGTATAAGAGAGTGAGTGATGGCTGCGGGGGGTTTGGCTTGTTTTTCATCACATTTGCGACTGGAAAAGAGCGCAGTTTCGTGCCAGAGATCAAAACAAAAAATCACTTTTATATCTACAATTCTTTTGGGCCATGTCAAGTCAAAAGCCGGGCAGCAAAGATGTAGGTAGCATCGATAAGACTAGGAAAGGATTATCGTCGATTACGTAGGTTCTTGCTGTACCCAAGTATAACGACTGATCTGACACTTCCAGAAATTCTCCGACACCCGCCCGTCTCTCTGAAGCTGCGTTGGCAAGACAGAACGCCAACACACCATTGATGGATCAACAGTGGGCGATAGCCGAAGAAGAGAGAATTGAGAGACTGCAGCGTGCTGCAAGAGAACTTGGTTTCGAACTGCCTCGGCAGTCTTTTGGTAGATGATGGGACGGATAGATGGAGATTGATGTCCTTGTGCGTAATCAATCAATGTATTCTCTCCTTGATAGCTCCCACGATGCTCTTCAACCCACTCAATCTATCTTCCCTTGTTACCCCAAGATAGAGACTGGCGACCGGCCATGCGTGTATGCCACCCTTTTCCTCCCAGCTATCGACATCTTTCCCAGTCTTTCCTAGCAGGTTTATGAGATCCTTTGTCTCAGGCCCGAGTACTTCTTCACTGCCATATAAGAAATACCAGCCCTTTTCTGGACTAGCTTCCGCCCATTTCTTGGTATCCTTACAATGGCCGGGTGAAACCATGGGATCCCCGGGAGATACCTTGTTACCAATGTATTGGCGACCATACTGCTCTAGTGAAGCGCTGTTGAGGTAGTCAGATTCCGTGTTGCGATTGTTGCGAGACACAATGGTGACCCATGGGCTTATCATGATGGCGAGGCCCGGCTTTTGATGCCGAAGCTTTGTATGCTCTGAAAGATACAACAAGAAACTGAGCATTAAAGTGCCACCGGCCGAGTCGCCGCCTACCACGACACGAGTCGATGAGTGGGCTAGTGATAGAACGTATTCATACCCGGCAACTGTCTCATGAAGTTGAGTTGGGTACATGGCGTCAGGTACAAGCGTATACTCCAGTGCGAAGAGAGCTGGGTTACGGTATCCAGCGGACTTGAGTAGCGCAACCCAGGCAAGTAGAAATTCGAGGTAAAAGTAGCTGCTTCCCATGGAGAATCCTCCGCCATGCGCATAATAGACAATGATGTCGGGCTGTTCTTGTTGGTCGTAGACTACCAATACGCCTTTGAAGTTTGGTCGCTTAACCTCGGTCCATCGAAGGGGGCTGGTAAAGATGCCGTGTCTCAACATGCGGAATCTCAGGAAGGGAAGTGAGACGGCCTTGGAGAAGAAAACCCGACCAAGGAAAGCGGGCATATTGGCAAAGGCATAGCGAACAAAACGGATCACAAGATCTTGGAACGGTGTTGCTTTCTTTACAAAAGGCGAGCGGTGTTCATATGGAATCAAGAAGCGTCTGCGGACAAATTGATATGGGATGACAAGAACTTTAGAAACTATGAGCATCAGTATACTTCGCGTTCAGGGGGCGTTTAGACTTACCAATCGACGGCAACGCTGGAACGAGCCATGTCAGAAGCGGTATGATGCCAATCTGAATCAGCAACTGTGGCGCGAGAAAGACGAGGAAGGCCACACAGTCCAGATACGAGATCTGGCTCAAGATCATTTTCGTGGGCAAAGGTACGGAACGGGACTTGTTAGCTTTCAAGGGATGCCATTGCCATGCCCAGTGCCGATAGCGATGACGCTGACATTGACAAGGGTCCGGCTAAGCCACAACCGCATTAGCGCCACAATGGTCTCACCCCGCGCAGCACTTGCTGGGCCTAAATTAGAAGGCTTAGGTGGTGTTCAACGCTCCGAAAGGTTATTATGACGACAATGCTGCAGAGTGGCAGCTGAAGCTTGGAAACGAGGGGTGTTTGACACACGTGACAAATCACTAGCGTTCTAACGCACAGACCAGTCGCTTGGTTGGTCGCGACTTCCAGAAAACTTCCGCGACATCACTTAGCTGTCACTCCGCAAACACATCGACCGCGACTGCAATCAACCCTGTCTGTGTCTGCACCGAGCGATTGCCTCGCCTGCTTTTCTTCTTGTCTCTTCTTTCTCGATACCCAGTATTCTTTTAATGGAATAGAGCTGCGGCGCATCTGCTGGTTCTTGTGTCCTACGCGGCAGCCTTACCGAAGTCGCGATCCCGCAAAGCGTCGCCATGGCCAACCCCGCAGCAGACCCGAAGGCGGCCCCGCTCGCTGACGAGCTCAGGGAGCTTGCTCTGTATGTGTAATGATACAAGAGAGACTATATCAATACTAATCATGTACCCAGCTCGCTATCCACGACAGTCTTCCCGAAGAACTTTTTCTGCGCCCTTTGCAACCAACTGGCCTTTGACTCCTACAAGCTAATCTGCTGTGCCAAATCAGTCTGCTCATCATGTATGTATTGCCTGGTTTTCACAAATTGACATGGACTTACCTTATCACAGGTCACGCGAACCTCCAGTTTCCCACAACATGTCCGTCATGCGACCACTCGCCACTCGAGGCCGATTCTTGCGTAATCAACAAGTCACTACGCAACACGATGCGAGTGTGGCTGCAAAAGCAGAAGAAGAAGGAAGAGGCCAAGGCTGTGGCTCAGGCAGCTACCCCGCCCGTAGAGGTGACACCAGCCGCGCTTGAGGTGCAACCAGTCGCAGGGGGTAAAGAGAAGCCCGTAGACAGTATTGAGGAAACACCAAAAGTAGAGAGTGGCGCGGTTGATCAGGCAGCAGGCTCTGCGGACAACGCGGAAGATGCTGGTCAGCGCGCCGGCTCTGCTTCGGTCCATCCGAATGAGGTAGGCTTTCAATGTCTTTTTCTTTCTTCTCACATAGGCATGTTAGGGTCATACACTGTGCGAAAAAGAGGAGAACACAAAGAAAAGGCTGTTATGTGTCAAGAAATGCAAAAGAAATCGTTGCCACATGTGCCAATGACCATGAGATGCTTTCCAATTACCATTCGCAATTGCTGACCTGAACAGGAAAACGTCTCTACTGAGATCGCAGCCGAGCGACGCGGTAGCAATGTCTCCGAGAACGTGACAAAGAACACGGAGACGACAGCGACAGACAGCGCGACCGATGAGCAGAGCAACACAAACGGAGCAAATGGCATGATGGGCAACAATACAATGATGAACGGTCTAGCAGGCCCAATGGGCTTCGGCTTTCCCAACCAAGGTGCCTTTGCCAATGGTATGGGCTGGAACGGTATGGCTAATATGATGCCCAACGGCGGCTGGAACGGCATGAATTCCATGGGTATGGCTTCCCACTGTATATTTTCAGCTCGGCATCCAACTAACGGCTCTCAGATTTCAACAACATGAACGGCATGTACGGCAACTTTGGAGGAAACATGGGCATGGGCATGAACGACATGTCTGCCATGAACATGATGCAGTATGGTGGCGGCTATGGTAATGGATGGAATGGTATGGGCAGTGGTTATGGAAACTTCAGCGGGCCCAATCAGATGGGTGGCTATAATCAATCTGGAGCATATCCCGAGATGATGAACCAGTTTCCCAAGAATAATTTCCCAAACCAGAACCAGAATCGTTTCCATGCCAATCAAGGAGGAGCACATGTCCAGCGAAACAACAGGAATGGCAGCCAGGGAAGCTTTGGTCCTGGTTTTCAGAACGCGCACAGCCGTCCTGGCAGCCGCAGCGGTCTTGCGCCAAACGTACGTTCACACTACCATAAATTTCGGCCGATACCCTTCCATGGGGTCGGCAAAACTAAGGCACCAACAACTGACGCGACTTTTCTTGAACAGTGTGACGGCCAGTCGCCTGACGGAACTGCTAACGCTGCCCCTGAGGCCAAGACCGAAGGCGAGCAAACGAAGGCGTCCGCAGAGTCTACTGATGAAGGTAAAGAGAGCGCCGACGGTGGTCTGGTTTGTTCCGAGAAACAGGGTACAGAGAATGGCGTTCATCCTGATGGCGATGTCGCTAACCAAGCAGGAGACGATCCAAGCGAAGCAGCACAAGATGGTGGTTTGAAGCCAATCCAAACTGTGGATACGGGTGATACCGATGTACCAGGCTACGATCAGTCCATGATGGGCAACGGTATGCAGGCGGATATGTCATATCCTCACGGAATGATGAATCAGTTCTCCGGCCAGCACATGAATGCATCCTTCGATTCTAGCATGAGCATGAACATGGGTTACAACGGCAACTATGTCCCCCGTGGTGGCTTCAACAATGGAGCCTATGGGGCCGCAACAGTTTTGACAGGACAACCCACAGAGCCCATTGGCGTAGGCGTCGTTGGAGCGCCCACTGGACCACGTGCGATGCGAGAGGGTCGTCCTAACACTGGCTTCTCAAGCCGGGTTAACAGTAGTCGATTCCCCCCACCACCGAAGAGTGTCGCATCTACAAATGATATTGCACCGGCCAGTCCTCAGCGTAGGGTTCGATCGTGAGTATACTCGTTTACACTATCAGACAAGCATTGACAGTAAACTAGACGATCCCCTCTACGAGATGAGAGTATGCGCGTCAAGGACCGATCGCCCACCCGTTCACGGTCAAGGTCCAAGGCTAGAGAGGACGTCAGGGACGAGCCACGTGAGCGTTCGCGCTCTGCAGACCGTCAGTCTCGGCGTGAAGACCGCGGACGATCAGTCACACCATTGGATAATGAGTACGAGAGCCGCAAGGACCGTAAGCAGTACCGATCTTCCCGCTATGACGACCGTGAGCAAGAGTACGAAGACAGGTATCGCGACGAAAAAGGTAGTCGGGGTGATCGGACGCGAAGCGCATCAGCAGACTCCAAGTATCGCAGCAGCCGCCGCGAGAAGGAAAAGCATCGTTCATCACGTTCCCACCGCGAGCGAAGTAAAGAGCATCGCCGCCGTCACCGCTCTCGGTCGCCCCGTGGAGATGAAAAGTACGATGACGACGAGGCCTATGCCAATGGCGGAAAAGACTCGGACGGTAGCTCTCGACGCAAGCATAGGAGCGGCGACAAGGATCGACGCGACCGCTCACGCGATAGGGAGCGCGAAAGAGACCGTAAAGACAGGAAGGAACGTGAGCGTGACTATGATTACGAGCGCGAAAAGGACCGCTCTCGCGACAAAGACAAGGACCGTAGGCGCCGCCGAGATCGCGAAGCCGAGGACGCCGAGCGCGACTTTGATGATGACAAGCACCGTTCTTCACGCCGCAGCCGCAAGGATAGGGAGCGTGAGCGACGCGACTACGATGACCATGACCGACGCGAATCCGACGAACGCGAGCGGAATGATAAGCTCGCGCAGCTCGAGAAGGAGGATGACGTCGTCGGCCAGATGATGAAGAAGCGCGCCGTCTCACCACCCCTCAACGCACCAACCGGCCCTTCGGCAAACGGCTTCAGCATCAAAGGTCGCTCCAAGAACATCGCTATGCCACCGCCTGCTCAGCCCCCTACTGGTCCTCGCGCCTTCCAACCACCCAAGGGCCCGGCCGCAGACCGCAACAAAGACCGTGGCAGCGATGCTCGAGACCACCGCCGCAAGAGTAGTACGAGCTCAGCATCTGCCGCCCCTACCGGCCCTGCTCCAAGAGAGAAGGACGCTGTACAAGACCACTACGCCGCGGAACGTGAACGCAACGCCCGCGAGCGCGACAGCCGCGAACGCGTAGTCGACAAGGCCCCATCAAAGTCCTTGCATTCTCGTATTTCCTCATCTGCCCGCCCCTCACTCTCTAGTAAGCGGTCCCGCGATGACATAGACGATGAGGTTCCTGTACCCAAGGGCCCCAAGGCAGAGGCTAAACCACCTACTGGACCTGCCAACCACCGTGACAAACGCAGAAAGTCTGGTGCCACCGGTGATGACAACATTGCCAATCTCTTCACTGCAGGACTGAGGAAGAACGCCAAGGCTAGACGCGGTGGTGTCAGGACTGAGGGTGACGTCGAGCGCGAGATGGTGGAGAGGGAAAGGGAACGTAGATGATGTTTCTGCCTCGATCAAAAAGGCTGGTGTTGGTGGGATGTAATGAGGAATGTTGGGGCATTTTGATGAGGTACGATGGGTGGTTCGTGTGCTTTCTCCTGGACTAGACATGATGGTTTGGAGTGATGGGATGAAGATAATGTGGGTTGGGCTTCTCTACTTTGCTGTATTATACCCTTTGGTGGCAGTAGGCTGTATAGATGTCGAGTTGGTAGATGCGCTCAGGCTGCGCTTAGGAGAGAGAAATCCCAAAAAAAAGCACCCGAGTACCAGTTTGGTGATAATGATCCAGTGGAATCAAAAGTGTATAATTGGCACGGTTAATCATGGTATCATTTCTTTACTCTATACTGCATCTCAGAACGCCTGGGCAATCATGCCAGCGGCATCTACCGCCTGTGGTTCACAAATTCCTTCTTCTCACCACCCAGTCTTGATGCAACGACAGTAGCTTCCCTAATCGCCTTTGCGACAGCTCCCCTGACACCATCCTCTTCCAACGACATGAGACCACCAATGGTGCAACCACCGGGCGTCGACACCTTGTCTTTCAACACAGCCGGATGCTCACCATTCAGCACCAAGCCCGTTGTGCCCCTCATCGTCTGCGCCGCCATCATCTGCGCCTCCGCCCTCGGCAGTCCCATAGCCACAGCACCATCCGCCGCGGCCTCCAAGATCAGCGCAAAGAACGCCGGACCAGAGCCACACAGAGCAGTCGCCACATCCATGTTGGCCGGCGGCAGCGTAGTAACGCGGCCAATAGAGCTAAATACAAACTCCACCAGCTTGTACTGCTCCTCGCTCAACGGCGGATCCGAAGTCTGAATCACAGACATGGACTCGCCCACAAAACTCGCCGTGTTTGGCATCACCCTAACAACCCTGCATGCACCCTCCACCTTATCCGCTCCCTCGGGGTACAAGAACGCTTCAATCTGCTCCCTTGTCACACCCGCCAAGATGCTCACCAGCACTTTCCCCTTAAGCGCCTCTTTCATGCCGTCCTCGCCCAGGATGGTCTTGAAGCCATGGGGTTTGCAGCTTAGAAGAATAATGTCTGCTTGCTGAACGCCCTTGAGGTTCTGGTTGGTGAGGGTTTGAAGCGGGAAGTTGTAATGCGAGAGGGCTTTTCGAACGTTTTCTTCGGCGGGGGCCCATTGGTCGCAGGCGATGAAGTTGGAGAGGTTGGGTGTGTTTTTGGGTGTTGACGAGGAAGAGAGTGCGGCGGCAGTTTTGGCGGAGGCGAGCGAGGACATTACGCCGCCCATTATTGCTATGCCCATTGTTCCTGGGTATGGCTGTCAGCATGTTTGGACATGGGGTATGGGGTTGGTGGTGAGGGTTATGTGACTTACCTGAACCGAGGACGGTCAATGTCAAGGGCTTGGATTCTCGAGTGTCTGACATGGTGATTCTTGACTTTTTTGGTATTTGTTTGGATGTGTGATGTTGAAGGGGAAGAGCTGGAAGGTGAGTGCTGGGGAAGTGGCAACGCGAGATCGGCGGTTGGCTTCCCCACGTCGAATAAATCCCAAGCTATGACCACACCGAGCCGATGATATGCGCGCTGAGTTCTAGAGCTCTCCGACCTCCACACCAGACGATCGCATACCAAGCCTACCACGATATCCATTTTTCCAGAAAAAAAACCTCGCAACGTAGTCTTCAAGTCGTATCCCACTCACCATGGCCGACCCCTTCGAAGTCCGCCAGCGCTTCACCACGCTCCTTGCACACCTCAACGCCTCGCACAACTCACTCCACAAAGCCGCCCTCTACGCGCTCAAGAACCGCGAAATGGACGAAGACCTACACTCCTGCATCCTTGAGCAGCTCGAACGCACAAACATGAACACACGCGCCAACATAATGTTCTTCATCGAATGCCTCTGCGAATACGCCGTCAAAGACAATGCAAACGGCGACGCCAGCGCAATGGGCTACGTGCGCATGCTCCAGCGTGACATTGTCGCCGTTGTGGAATGCGTCATCGGCTCCGAAGGCGCAAATGTCCGCGTCGTGCGTAAAGTGCTGCAGACGCTGGAGAGTCTGAATATCCTTATGAAGGCGACGGTGCAGGAGCTAGAGACGGTGTTGAAATCGAGAGAGGTGGCGCATCCATTTTTGGTTACAGGAGATGTGGATGAGAAGGAGAGTCCCGGTAAGGCGGCGAGAGGGCCTGCTGGAGGGGGCCAACGTATGGGTAAGAGGGAGATTGAGCAGAGGATCGAGGAGGATAGGGAGAGGCATAAGAGGCTGAGGGAGAGCATTTGGGCGGTGAATGGGGATGGGTATGAGGAGTTGGAAAGGTTGTGGGAGGAGGCGAGTGATATTGGGGAAGACGATTATGTTACGGCGAGGGAGGATGCTGAGGAGAGGAAAAGGGTCATTGCTTTTGGGTAGGGTTTGACAGGGCTTGGATGCTGTGCTGCGGAGAGGCTCGCTCGCAGCCGGCGATGCTGCTGTTGCTGAGGAGGAACAAAAAAAGAGTGGTTTGGGTACGTATACATCCTCATACGGGCTTTCACTCGGAGTTCAGGGTTAGGTTTGCAGTCATTGTAGCATGAGCTCGGCGTTACGGAGGAGAGATACCACGGGCTTGTCTTGCGACGCCCCATTGTTGTTTGGAATTTCAACAAATATTGATGCATCATCATTCCAAACATACTGTACACACTCCATGTGCAATGCTATGATACAGTGTCCATCTTTTCCTTCCAACCGAACTCCTCCAATCGTATCCTCTACTCCATAACGACCGTCGCGCCCAGCGCCTTGAGCGTCTCGACAATCTTCTCTGCCTCCTCCTTGGGCACACCCTCCTTCATCATCTTGGGGGCGCTCTCTACAAACTTCTTGCTGTCCACCAAGCTCAACCCCAGCATGGCCTTGATCTCTTTGATGACCTTTGGTTTCGCGCCGGCGTCGAACTTCTCGAGCTTGAGGTTGAAGAGTGTCTTTTCTGCGGCGGCGGGCGCGGCTTCCTCTTCTTCAACGGGTGCGGCTGCTGCGGCGGGTCCGGCACCTCCTGGGCCGGCGGCGAAACCTCCCATGGGCATGTCGGGGATGTTTAGGCGGGTCTAAGGGAGGCGTTAGCGAGGGGATTTGGAGGGGCGTTTTGAGGTGGATCAAAAAGCATTAAGGCGGGCTGGCATGTTATCGCGCATGTGAAGCCACAAGGGCCCAGCACCGGCATGTGGGCAACATAGAACTTCTGCTTTGGTAGCCCTATCCCCCAAAACTCATGTTCCTGCTCAATGTGCAACATTCCGGAGTATCTTCAAAGAGCCATATCGTGCCGACACATTCCCACCATATGAAATATCCCTACCTTCAATGTCGAGACCAAGTCTGCCGTCTCCAACAGCGTCAATTGGCTAATTTGGTCCACGATTGTCGCAATCTTTGGGTTTGTGGGAGCTGCCGCATCTGATTGCCATCTCCGCTGTATCCTTTGCTGTGTGGCGCCAATCGTCGGTCGTGCGTAAGCCGTCTGCTTTGCGGTGCAGATGCAGCGCCTGAGCGCGCGAGATGCTGGTGCTGCCATTGTGCCGGGGGAAGATGCGAGGGTCGGTGATGAGTCTCCTCCGCCGTGTGGTTGTGGCTGCCATCTTGAGATTTTGCGGAGCGGATTACGACTAATCTGGTTACCGCCTTGGCACCTTCAGAGACCCGCAAAAAAGTTAGAGAACTTCGAGAGACGCAGACATCCAACGCCACAACGCCAATTGCCAGGTATATTGAAGCGTCGAAACTATGGGAAGGCGCCCCAACACGAAATCACAAACTAGTCCTTGCAGAAATGGAAGGAATCAACAATCCCAATACCGGTAAAATGGTCAATATCAGCGCGCTTGCCAAGGAAGCGCTGAAGCCTGGAACTACCGACGATATTTTTGTTCAGCATACCGGTCTTTTCACTGAGTTGTGCGCGCGGTGGATACAGTCTGGCGCAGAGACTGAGGCTAAAGTCGCGGCTTTTGGACGACTACTCCCACTTGCGCCTCATCTCGCTGAGCACGTGGAACGATTTTTGGCGCATCACTCAAATTCGCCAATAGTAGGATCTGGTCTCTCGACAGCTTCGAGAGATGCAACCGTCATTCGGGATTCGGAATTAACTGAAGTTTTACTTGGAATTTTCCGACTCCTTAGCTATGACTGTAGAAATTTTGCCAAATACGTACGACCGCGTTTTCTGGAAAGCTTATTTCAGCACTCGAACCGCGTTGTACGATATTTGGCAGCACGGACCTTTTCTCTCTACGTTCATTCAGCGGATCATGCTACCCAGGAGATGATCAAGAGATGTACCGGAGAAGGGGCGATTGAGGGGCCCTGGGAAGGACGCCAAACTGACTACCGCTTTCTATCGTTGTGGGAAGAGAAGAGGTGGAAAGACATGCAGATCAAGATTCGCATGCAAGAGTTGAGCGACACGATGTATGATACGTCTGTGTACCAAGGACTATCGCCATACACGGTCAACGTCAACGGCGTTCTTTTACCCCGACTGGACGGAGCGTCGTCGCAAGAGAAGCCATCTGAGCTTGTGTCCACGGCGACGACTGAAGCCAACTTGAAAAGCATCGCTCATGGGCTTCTAGATTCCAGCCCACTCTTACTCACCGGCCTTGCGGGTTCAGGTAAGACGCTGCTCACGCGTCACTTTGCGTGGCAGCTTAACAAGCTCGACAAGATGGTCACTCTCCACTTGAACGAGCAGAGCGACGCGAAGCTACTGATTGGAATGTACACTACCGGGGCAAAGCCAGGAACCTTCAGCTGGCGAGCCGGTGTCCTTACTACAGCTGTACGAGAAGGAAGGTGGATATTTATTGAAGACCTGGATCGAGCACCGAACGAGGTCATCAGCACCCTTCTCCCACTCATTGAGCGCGGCGAACTGCTCATCCCCAGCCGAGGAGAGACTGTCCGAGCGGCACGAGGCTTCCGCATTATTGCGACCATGCGAAGCACACTCAATCCGCGTGGCCAAGAGATTATACCACGCCAAAACATGATCGGCCACCGATTCTGGAATTCAATCACCGTGCAGATGCCACAACTGGACGAGTTCCGACAAGTGATTCACGCTAAATATCCCCCTTTGCAGAAACATCTCCCAGGGATCATGCAAGTCTATTCTCGATTACTGCAACTGTACTCGGACGCCAAATTCTCTTCCGAGAACGGGACATCTCTGCGAGCCATGACACCGCGAGACTTATTAAAGTGGTGCGACCGGATGGCTGTGCTACTTTCACAAGCTGCAACTTACAGCTCAGCGCAAAAAGACGACATTTTCATGGAGGCTTTTGATTGCTTTGCAGGCAGTCTTCGCAGCGAGACGGCGCGCTTGATGGTTATGGAATGTGTAGCTGAAGAACTTCACATCGATTCTCAGCGACGTGATCATTTGCTCAAAAATCGTGAGGTGAAGCTTCAAATGCCAACGAAGAACACAGCTTCTGGCACTCTTCAGATCGGACGCGCTAGGCTATCAAGACACAAATCCTCAAAACGGAGTGGTTCAGGACGGCCATTTTCTACCAATGACTACACTCTGCGCCTCTTGGAGAAGATTGCTGTAGCAGTGGACCGACAAGAGCCACTTCTACTAGTGGGTGAGACTGGTACTGGAAAAACAACCTGTATCCAGTACCTGGCCGAGCAGCTTGGCCGGAAACTTGTAGCTTTCAACTTGTCTCAGCAAAGCGAGAGTGGGGACCTAATTGGTGGTTTCAAGCCTGTCAACGTTCGCAGTCTGGTGATTCCGCTCAAAGATGAGTTCGACGAGATCTTCGACACGACATTTTCGAGAAAGAAGAACCTGCGCTTCCTCGAAATGCTCGGTAAACGCGTGGCCAAGGGTGACTGGAAGCGTGTATGCTCACTGTGGCGTGAGGCTTTGAAGATGGTGGACGCAGCCAGAAAGTCGCATGAATCACGGACTTCGTCTCCAGACTCAGACGGTGGCCAGCCTAAGAAGAAGCGGAAGATGGACTCATTACCCGTAAACTTTCCGACGGCACGATGGGAGAAATTTGCGGCCGATCTCCATGACCTCGAAGCCCAGCTTGCCAGTGGTTCCGAAGCCTTTGCTTTCTCCTTTCTAGAAGGAAATATCGTCAAAGCAGTCAGAAACGGAGACTGGGTGCTTCTCGATGAAATCAATTTGGCTTCTTCTGACACCCTAGAGGCGCTCACAGACCTTCTCGGCGGTGGTCCAGACGGTAACCCATCCATTCTTCTAACAGAGACTGGTAACATTGAAAGAGTGGTAGCGCATCCCAACTTCAGGGTGTTTGCAGCCATGAATCCTGCAACCGATGTAGGGAAGAAGGATCTGCCGCCGGGCATTCGGTCGAGGTTCACCGAGCTCTATGTTGAGAGTCCAGATGGTGACGAGAAGAGCCTACGCAACATCGTGGAGAAGTATCTGGGCAGCGATGGTACAGATCCGGCGATTTTGCGGGTATCGCGAGATGTCACCAGTCTCTACCTTGAGATTCAAAGGCTGACCAAAGCGAACATGCTTGTGGACGGCGCGGATCAAAAGGCCCACTTCAGTCTGCGAACTTTGACACGAACCCTGTCGTATGCAAGAGACATCGCGCCTTTGTGCACTCTTCGCAGAGCGCTCTACGAAGGCTTCCACATGAGCTTCTTGACATTTCTCGGAAAGGCTTCTGAGGATACTGTTGCTCCTCTCATCACCAAGCATCTATTTCCACAAAAGGCTTCAATGAAGGCCGAACTTGGGAAGCCACTTCAACAGCCATCTGATGGCCGAGGCTATGTCAGACAAGGCCACTATTGGCTCCGACAGGGCGCATTCGAGGTCGAAGAACAATCGCACTACATCATCACACCCTTTGTACAGCGCAACATGAATAATCTAATTCGTGCTGCCTCTACGCGCAAGTACCCTGTCTTGATTCAGGGACCTACGTCTTCGGGCAAGACAAGTATGATCGAGTATCTGGCGAAACGCTCCGGCAACAAGTTCGTCCGCATCAACAACCACGAACATACCGACCTGCAGGAATACCTCGGCTCATACATCTCTGGCGCTGACGGCAAGCTTACATTCCAAGAGGGTATCCTTGTGAGGGCTCTACGGGAAGGCCACTGGATAGTGTTGGACGAACTCAATCTAGCGCCCACGGATGTTCTCGAAGCACTCAATCGTCTGCTCGATGACAACCGTGAACTTCTCATACCCGAAACACAACAAATCGTCCGACCCCACGAAGACTTCATGCTTTTTGCGACTCAAAATCCAGCAGGCCTGTACGGTGGACGAAAGGTTTTGTCACGGGCTTTCCGCAATCGTTTCCTTGAGCTTCATTTCGACGACATACCGGTAGAAGAACTCACTGAGATTTTGCATCGACGCACTATGATTCCGGAAACTTGGTGTAAACGCATCGTCAAGGTCTACCGGGAGCTCTCCACTCTTCGACAAGAGAACCGCATATTCGAACAAAAGAGCTTTGCAACGCTGCGAGATCTGTTCAGATGGGCGCAGCGCAAAGCAGACACGATTCAAGACCTCGCTAACAACGGGTATATGCTTCTTGCGGAGCGTGTGCGAAAGGAGGAAGAACGAGTCGCTGTCAAGAAGGTCATGGAAACTGTCATGAGTGAGAAGGGGCCTAAAGTCACGATCGATGTGGAGCAGCTGTTCAGTCCGGACAGCTTGTCGAATATCGAAGGGCTCAATAAAGGTACAGCGATAGCCAACACTGATGTCGTCTGGACTCGGGCAATGCGCAGGCTATCTGTTCTTGTTGCGCACGCACTTCGCAACAACGAGCCAGTTTTACTCATTGGAGAGACAGGCTGCGGTAAGACAACTGTCTGCCAGTTGCTCGCCGACCATTTCAACAACCAACTGCATATCGTCAACGCTCATCAGAACACGGAAACTGGCGACTTGATTGGTGCACAACGACCCATCAGAAACCGATCTGCCATTGAGGAACTGGTGAGAGAGCAGGTGCTGGAGGTGCTCTCTAGCATACCGAATGACCTCATCCAAGATGACACGGCTCAACTGAGCTACGAAGAGCTCTTGGCACTCTACGACAGGATAGCTGGGGAAGCTTCTGACTCACTACCAGAGGACGCTCGTAAGACTATACTCGTCAACAGAGTCAAGGCTGGTGCATTGTTCGAATGGGCAGACGGCAGTCTAGTGCATGCAATGAAGCAAGGTCACTACTTCCTTCTAGATGAGATCTCGCTGGCTGATGATTCCGTGCTTGAGCGCTTAAACAGTGTTCTTGAACCATCGCGTACCCTTCTGCTAGCCGAGAAGGGACCCACAGACTCTTCAATCATAGCCAGCGATGGCTTTCAGTTTCTCGCCACCATGAACCCAGGTGGGGATTATGGCAAGAAGGAGCTTTCGCCCGCGCTTCGCAATCGATTCACTGAAATCTGGGTCCCTGCAATGTCTGATCTTGATGATATTCTGGAGATCGTGCGATCCAAGCTGAAGCCAGGCTTGGTGCAACATGCCGGGGTCATCGTCTCATTCTCGCAATGGTTCAACGACAAGTACAATACCTCTGTCTCATCTTCGATCTCCATTCGTGATACGTTGGCTTGGGTTTCGTTCGTCAACAACTCTGCTCATGCGGATCCAATTTTCAGTATTGTGCATGGTGCTGCGATGGTCTTCATAGACACGCTTGGCGCTAACCCAGCAGGTCTGTTGGCCATTTCTGCCACATCCATTCAAGACGAGAAGAAGGCTTGCCTCCATCATCTGAGCAAGCTTCTCGGAAAAGATGTCACCCCAGCGTATTTCGGTGCCGTAGACATCATCAGCACGGAGCAAACTTTCCAACTGGGATCGTTTTCCATCCCAAAGTTCTCGTCAGCTGCATCACAGTCGTCTAGCTTTGCACTCGAAGCCCCGACAACACGATCCAATGCCATGCGAGTGGTTCGCGCACTCCAACTCGCCAAGCCTATTTTACTGGAGGGTAACCCTGGTGTGGGCAAGACCACGCTTGTTACCGCTCTTGCTAGAGCCATTGGCAAACCGCTGACCCGACTCAACTTATCCGAGCAGACAGATCTCATGGATCTCTTTGGCTCAGACGTGCCTGTAGAAGGCGGCGCAGCAGGTACTTTTGCATGGCGAGACGCACCATTCTTAAAAGCGATGAAGAACGGTGACTGGGTACTCCTGGATGAAATGAATCTGGCATCGCAATCCGTACTGGAAGGTCTCAACGCGGTGCTTGATCATCGTGGTGAAGTTTACATTTCAGAACTCGACCAGACCTTCCACAAGCACCAGGATTTCAGGGTCTTTGCAGCGCAGAACCCACATCATCAGGGTGGTGGTCGTAAAGGTCTCCCCGCTTCATTCGTCAATCGTTTCACGGTCGTATATGCAGACGTATTCCGCCCAGAGGATCTGACGCTTATTTGCAGAAAGGTCTTTCCTAGCATTCAAGAAGAGGAGGTCACTAAGCTCATACGATTTGTGGCCGAACTTGACGAACAAGTAGTCATCCGTCGTGCATTCGGCAATCTTGGTGCACCATGGGAGTTCAATTTACGCGATACGTTGCGCTGGCTTCAGCTTCTGGCATCGACAGAGTTCCCTGGTTCAGCAAGCGACTTCCTGGATACAGTTTTCGTACAACGCTTTCGCGCCGAGAGTGATCGCAACCGATTGCGTAAACTGTTTGAGAGCCAATATGGAGCCCACGAGCCTCGAATGAGCCTATTCCACAACTTGAGCACCAATGCTGTACAGGTTGGCCTTGGTCTGCTACGTCGAGACACCGCAGTCACGCGCCCGGATACTGTGTCAGCCCTCAAAGTCTCGCAACTTGGTCCTATGGAAGCCCTGCTCATAAGTGTCAAACAAAACTGGCCAGTTATCGTCGTCGGGCCGCCTGGCTCGGGAAAGACAGCTATGATCAATCAACTGGCTAGCTTTATCGGCGCTGATCTTGTCACGTTTTCTATGAATGCAGATGTTGATGCTATGGACCTGGTGGGTGGATACGAGCAGATTGATCCTACACGAGAGGTCCATCAGTATCTTCAGAAGATCGAAGAGCTTATCAGAAACCGCATTGCAAGCTCTGAAAGACCCCTCCTGGCCCACATCGAGCTGCTTGAGCTTCTTCAAGCTGCCTCTACGAACCCCGCTGAAAATTTCATGATGCGACTTCTTGGAGTACTTGCTAGGCCTGAAATAGGAGCAGCAGATCTGGCTCAAGGCTTGCAAACGTCTCTTCAGGCGTCCATTGAGCAGATTGATGGTGCCCGATTCCAGTGGGTAGATGGCATTCTAATCCGTGCGCTGGAACAGGGCAAGTGGCTGGTCCTTGACAATGCCAACCTCTGCTCGAGCGCTGTCCTCGATCGCCTGAACTCACTCCTGGAGCCTAATGGCTACCTGTCCATCAATGAGCATGCTACAGCTGACGGCGAAGCACGCATTGTACAACCACATCCGGACTTCCGAATTTTCATGACGATGGATGCAAAGTATGGAGAGCTATCGCGAGCCATGCGAAACAGGGCTGTCGAGATATGCCTATTGGAGCCAGGCCACGAGTTCATCCGAACAAACAAGCCCATTATACAGTATCCACTCGACTCGACTGTGTATCGATATCGCCAGTTCCAAGAACAAGAGCAGCGTATGGCGATCACATTAGAGCAGCGCTTTGAGCACTTGGGGCTTCAAGATAATGAGCTGTTGCCGAGCTTTACTAAGCAGGCCCTCCAAGGGCTTGTGGAAATATCTCCCATACTCACAAACGGATTCGACAACCATGACACCATCCAAGTAGTATCTACGAACCCGACAGCGAAACTTGGAGATCGAGTGTCTCACTTTGCGCGCTTCTTGGAAAAGACCTGGTCACCACATGCGCAATCAATTACACGACATCTTGGAGCCGATGACATGACAACGCTTGTTTCATTCCACCTTTTTGGCAATGAACTTTTTCTCCATTGCACAGAAGTATCGAAGGCTCTTTGTAATTGGGGAACCTCAATGTACGAGATTATGCTCGATGTGTACAACATGCAAACAGCGATCCAGGACCTTCCATCCGCCCGCTTCGAGCGGAGGAAAGAGAGGCAGAAGCTGCCAGCTTTCTTATATGCGTATTGGCAAGGTCTTGTCAAGGTTGTCGAAGGTTTTTGGGGTGCGCTCCAAGAAAGTCAGCACTACGACCCCGCGTTCCTGAAGCCGTTGCGAACATTGTTCTGGGCATTTCATGCCCTTGCCACTTCCACTACATTCGATCGCGCGACATTCCAGACTTATCTGAAGATGCTTGCTTCCGCTATTCCTACCACATCCATAGAGGTAGCTCCGCTCATCAAGTCGATGTCTACGACCCTCTCCAAGCAAATTGCGGTCTTCGGATCCGACGTTCAATTAACCACTGGTCTGGGCATGGAAAGTATCTGGCGCGTCTTCAAACCATCAACACCCAAAACTCAGAGTCAGCTAAAGGCTATTCTTGAGCTTGAAAATCTGGCTGATATGCTTGATGCCATGATGTGGCGGTCAAACTTACGCGTAGACGAGATGGTACAGATGCGCGAGCGCATAACCAGCTCTTTAGATCTCGTGCGAGGTGATCACGTTGACGCGCGAGAGCTTATCGCTGCACTCCACGCAGCTGTACAAGAGCTTGAGGAAGGAATCAGTGAAGACAACGTAGTAATCACTCCGTACTTTGAGGAAGAGTTCGAAGGTCTCTGCCAATTCTTGGATGTCGCATTCAATCATGAGTCTATCGAGCGATACACGTCACCTACACCTGTTGCTGTAGCCACGCGCGCAAAATCAAGCTTGTTTGCTCGTCGACCCACAAAACTTGAAAACATCGCAGTCGGACGGCCTGGTCACGCTTCAGAGACTTTTGCCAAGGTCTATCGCCACCTAGGTCTCACACGCCAGGTAGTCAATTCCATGGTACTACAAGGGCGTTTCCATACGTCGGTTCTAGGGAAATTGTACGGCGCAGACGAAGTGCACCTTGCGCAGCTTGATCGTTTCGAGACTGAACTACAGGTGCTTGCACAGCAGCTTTCACTCGACGCCGGTCGCATTACATATGATCAGTCGGCTGCCTTGGATAGACTCTACGAGGATATCTACAATCAGCTCATTGCGTCCCATTCTGCCGATATCGTCAATGATGCAAACTCGGATGGACTCATTGTATCTTTGGAAGCAGAAATGACCAACCTATACCGTTCAACCCTGGAAGACGGTATTGCAAAGTGCTTTAGGGCACCGGGCTCTGTTGTTGATGCAGCAGCTTGGATCCATCTAGGATTATTTGGTTTGCGTTTATACGTACCCAACTACCCACATGATCCTGCGCTCAGGCCTATGATTGAACGCGACATGTTCAACGCAGAGAAAAATTCTCTCCTGCAGGCACTCGATGCCTTGAGACAGTTCCAACTCGATACCACAGGCCAAGACACAAGTTTCCGCATCCGAAAGGTCAAGAAAGTGCTTGACAACATGGGCCAAGAACCACCTGTACCGGCTATCGTTCGTCCAGAGATCTCTTCTCTCGATGATCTCCAGGGCGAGTTCATGAATTTGCTCAGCACTATAAAACCGCTCCTCAATCGATCGATGTCAGTTCAAGAGGCGGCTCGTGATGTCACATTACAACAGAACATCCTCCGCATTATCCAGCGCATCACAGAAGGATATCGGGCGTATGACGATATCACAGATACCGCCGTGGGCTTCCTCATATGCTTGCAGATTGGTCTCATCATGGGCCAAAGAGAAGAAGAAAAGAAAGCACAAAGCCCCGTCAGCAACAGTTTGGCGTACATGTCCTCAAAGTCTCCATTCTTCGGAAGGTTGGAGCCATTGGAAAAGTCAGAGTGTTTGTTACGGTCGATGGAGGAGGCATTGGGCCAGCGCGGCCATGCAATCGATCTCAGGTGGCACACATTACACTCGATACAGCTGCTAAAGAGTACCGATCCGGCAGCTATGACGACTTACGCGGCGAGGAACCTTTTGCATGATCTTTTCTCCAGTTTATACGGAGATTGGAAAACCAAGCTTCTCCAGGACCAAGAGAAGGAGGCACAAAATTCAAGTCTGTACACTTATCGAGGGATGGACGATGACGATGATGAGGAAGATCTTTCCCTCTTTCCTGACTACGAGGCCGACCAGGAGCAACAAGACATGCCGCCCCGGCTACCATCTAGCTCCCGGGACCATGCCATTCGACTTGCCAACATCCATTCCGAACTTTTCCTTGATGGGCGGGATGCAACAGATTCAGTCAAATCTTTGATAGGCTGGTGCGCGACAGAGCTCAATCGTATCTCGGATGGCAAGGCACACTGCAGCAAGCACGAAGATGCCTTGCCAGTCATTTACCTCGCGCTGGAAAAGAAGGTCAAAGATTTATCTTACATCGGCACCGCAAGGACCTACAATTTCTACTTCGATCCCAACCTTTCTGAAGCGAAGCGACTCATTGCGCTAGTCCAGCGCATCCAGATCCGCTACCGCCAGATACGCAATGTTTGGCCCGAACATGCCACACTATCTGACGTCCTGCGCACATGCGACGAAGCTCTGGAGTTCCGACATGTCGACCCCGTGGCGAAATTCATAACCAAGGCCGAAAAGCTTTACGCGTACATGCACGAGTGGCAGAAGGTCGCAAGCAAAGAGTATAGTACTGCTAGTCTTTATGATGATCTTACAAAGCTTCTCGTCAGTTGGAGAGAACTTGAGCTTACGACTTGGGCTCGATTGTTTGATATGGAAGAAGAAAAGTACCGCGACGATGCAAAGAGTTGGTTTTTTGTTGCATATGAGACGGTTATCGCCGCATCGGAGAGTGTTGAGGACGAAGGGGCTTTGCAGACACATGCCAAGGATCTCCTCAAGTCACTTGAAGGCTTCTTTGAGACAACAACGCTTGGACAATTCGAGCAGCGCATCAAGCTCCTGCAACAACTTCGCCAACACGCTGCCATGCGCATGCAGGAGTTTGATGCATTCAAGATCCTGCATTTAGCGCTCGACAACTTCATTGCCTACTATTCCCGCCTCGAGAAGCCTGTGCATGAAACGCTCGCCAAAGGCCGACAAGTTCTGGAAAAGCAAATCACCGATGTCATCAAACTCGCAAGCTGGAAAGATACGAACATAGAAGTGCTGAAGCAAAGCGCAAAGACGAATCATCGGAAACTCACCAAACTAGTGAGGAAGTTCCGAGCTCTGCTCAATCGTCCTATCTCTAGTATCATGACAAACGGCTTCCCGGAAGAGATTCATTTGGTGCAGGACATTACTATTGAGACGGTTGGCACAGCTGTCAACCCTGAAGCTGTAGAAGTTTGCACAAGCAGTATTCCAGATTGGTCAGGGCGACCCACGCGTTTCAAGAACCTTGGTGTTACAGTGTCGATGATGCGTAACCTTGCAGTCCCCAGGACTGAGAGTGTCGACGGCGCGTCACATATCAGTGACTTCATCGCAGAGCTTTCGAGCTCGATTATTGAGCTTCAAAAGGCCACTCCTACGACATTGACCGAGGAGAACAAAGCATCAGTGCAGCATCTGAAAACCCAGAAGCGCAAGCTTTACGCCGACACAATGAAGGAGCTGCGTCAGATGGGTATTAATTCTAATCTCAGTGTTGATACTCTGGCGAAGCAAGATGAACTCTCAACGATCCTCTCCACGATACCGCTCGTCAAGGGTGGCGAAGACACTGGGCGTGCAGCGGAATACCATTTGCACAAGGCACTCAACATCATGCCTCAAGTCCGTGCCGTGACTAGAGAGCACTCAGGCGATCTTACGGCCAATGATGTGGCCAGAAGTATTGGATATCTGGAGGGCTTGCTACATGCTTCCATTCGGCAACGAACAGTGTTAAGCAAAGCTGCGCAAAGCCTTGAACTCGCAAAGGTTCCAGTCTCGCTTGTTAAAAGTTTGTGTCAGACAGAGCATGGTAAAATTACTTGGATGTCTGAGCAACAAGCTGGAGTCACATCTTCCTTACAGCCCCAACTCCGATGGCTCGCTGCCATGCTCCAAACAGGTACTGATGTTGTCAACGCCCAAGCCAAGTTAGGCAAGACAAACGAGCTGGATGTATTGATCCGACACATGCGCGAATGGACCGTCAAGATCAAAGGGCTCGCTGATGCCTACGATCAGTTGCCCATATTGCCACTCAACGTCAAGTCGGATGCTCATCAAACGCTGAATCAGTCCGTCGGAGCTCACCTGAGAGACCTGCAAACTTTGTTTGGAGACTGGATTCGCGAAAGCGACATGGCTAGAACCGTGCTGCGTCATATCAAGCCATTCCTCTTTCACTATGCAGAATCTGGAATCATTAGTTTTTCGGAAGACGCACGCATCACAGTCGAGTCCCATGCAAAAGACATCTTTGCGTCTCTGGATCTTGTTCTCGGATCTATGCAAGACGTTGAAGTGGCAATGAAGAACATACCGGATTCGATTGACGATACATCGTGGCTTGTCAAAGAAGAACAGGCGGTTTCAGCCGCCCTCAGTGCCCTGCATGCTCCTCAAATTAGTACTGCTTTACAAAGTCTGCTAGACGGTATACAGTACCTTTACGAAGATACTAGCGTGCAAAGGATTGCTGCATTGTTTGCTTCAGTCAAGCCTATACTGGATCAGTATGTGGCAACGCATGAGTACCTTGTCAAGCGTTTCGACGCACTACATGCATCAACTGCCAATCTCCTCCATCGCTTGTCAAAATCTTTCATCCAAATCGGTACACAGGGTTTCTGTCAGCCCCCTGAAAAGTCGAATGATCCTCAAAAGGGTAAAGATGAGAAGCTCGAAGCTGGCACCGGTCTTGGCGAAGGCGAAGGTGCGGAAGACATCTCCAAAGACATCGAAGACGATGAAGACCTGGAGGATCTGGCTCAGGAGCAGAAGGGCGAGCGTGAAGGTAGTATCGAAGACCAAGAAGACGCGGTCGACATGGGTGAACAAGAGATGGAGGGTGAGACTGAAGAAGTGGGCGAAAAGGAAGACAAGGGTGATGAATCTGGGGAGGAAGGAGACGATGATGCGCAAAGCGAAGTCGGCAGTGTTGATGATCTTGGTCCCAGTGCTGTCGATGAGAAAATGTGGGATGACGGTAGCAAGGAAGACGACGCGAAAGACAAAGAGGGGAAACAGGATGTCGGTACAGAAGATCAAGATGAACAAGTAGCTGCCGAACAGAAGGAAAAAGAGAAGGGCGGCGAGGATGGAGACGAAGAGGACAAGGAGGAAAAGAAAGAGGGCCAAGAAGATGAGGAGATGGAAATGGAAGGTGAAGATCAGGAGGAGAACGTCGGTGTTGGAGAGAAGGAACAGATGGATCCGCATGCTAAAGAAGAAGAGACACTTGATTTACCCGAAGATCTGAACATGGATGGACAAGATGACGAGGGCAAAGAGGACGACGACTTCGGGGATATAGATATGGGCGACGATCTACCGGAAGATGAGATGGAACCCGATGTCGACCAAGGGCAGCCTGATACTATCGACGAAGACATTGGCCCTGAGCAAGAAGGTGAAGAGGAAAAGGACACCACCGGCCATGTTGAAGATGAAGAGCAGCCCGAAGGAGAGCAAGAGGACGAAGGAGATGAACTCATGGACGACGAAGCTATACCTCTTCCAGACGAAAACATACCAGATGATGAGACTAGCGACGTAAAAGACACCGATCAGGCTGATCCTAACGCCGAGGCAGGTGCAGGTACGGATGCAAACGAAGAAGCTCACAAGAATAAGAAGGAACAAGCTTCTGCAAGTGCTGCAAACCAGGATGAAGGCCAGGAAGGAGAGCGTTCTGATCAACAGCAAGTGCCGACGACTGACGACGGACAACTGGGAGAGACAGCGGCGCCTGATGCGGGCGGTCAAGGCGAGCAGCCTGAGGAGTCTCGCGAGAAGCAGTCGTTCAAGAAACTGGGCGATGTACTAGAAAAGTGGTACAACCAGCAGAAGCAGATCCAGGATGCTCGCGAAAAAGATGGGACGCAAGCACAACAGATCGATAAAGAGATCGACCTGGCTGATGCAGACTTCGAGCACTTGGGAGATGAAGAGGAGCAGGCCGATACACAGGCATTGGGCACCGCGACCGAGGAGCAGGCTAAGACCTTAGATCATGACATGGCTTTGCCGATGAATGAGGAAGATGAGAAGATCGCGACTCGGCCTGAAGACAATGACGAAGAGATGACCGGGGCTGACAAGGATGTTGACATGGAAGATGCTGAGCAGACACAAGACCACGATGAAGAAGCTCAGCAGCCACAATCCAACGCGATGGAAGGTCAGCCGCAAGCCTTCGTTGGCGAGAAACGACCGTTCCCTGACCAAGAAGACGAAAACATGGCCGACGCCGTCCCACTCGAAGACGACGACGCAGCATCCACCACGTCTTCAGCCGAAAACATCGAAGCCCAGCTCTCACTAACGCATCTAGACCCTTCAACAATGGACCCAACTTCCGCACGTGCTCTTTGGCTCGCCCACGAGGCTTCCACACATTCTCTCTCTCAACAGCTGACGGAGCACCTCCGTCTCATCCTTGCACCAACTCTCGCCACTAAGTTGCGCGGTGACTTCCGCACCGGTAAACGTCTCAACCTCAAGCGCATCATCCCGTACATCGCATCGGGCTACAAGCGCGACAAGATCTGGCTCCGACGCAGCATGCCAAGCAAGAGAAGCTACCAAGTCATGATCGCCCTCGACAACAGTGGCAGTATGGCCGACAGCGGAGCCAGCAATCTTGCACTCAAGACTCTCACGCTCGTCACCCGCTCGCTCTCTATGTTAGAAGTCGGCGAAGTATCTGTTGTTGGCTTCGGCGACCATGTCAACGTCGCCCACGATTTCGACAAGCCCTTCACCTCTGAAGCCGGCGTCCGCGTCTTCGAACAATTCGGTTTCGACGCAAAGAAGACCAATGTCCGGGGCCTCGTCGACAAGAGTCTCCAGCTATTCAAAGACGCCAGACAAAAAGGGTCGAGCTCGGCTGGCGAAGATCTTTGGCAGTTGATGCTCATCGTCAGTGATGGTTTGTGCGACGACCACGCCGAGATCCAACGTCTGGTCCGCAAAGCACAGGAAGAGCGCGTCATGATCGTTTTCATCATCATCGATAGCTCTGGTGCTGCGCCTTTTGTGCCCATGCCTACTCAAAGCGACAACCCTGGTGCGCAGCCACCTGCGCCGCAGAAAGAGCAGACGAAAACTTCCATCTTGGATCTGCAGTCCGCAGTCTTTACACCAGAGGGAAAGATTGTAAGATATAAGTACATGGAGCAGTTTCCATTTAGGTATTATTTGGTGGTCAGGGATGTTAGGGAGTTGCCGGGTGTGCTCGCTGGAGCGTTGAGACAGTGGTTTGGAGAGGTGGCTGGGAGTGTTTAAGAATACACCTAGCATCAGCAGGAAGAAGAGAATTTTCTGGGTGTATTTCGAGGCGTTCAAGGCCAGTTGCGAATGTTTGGCATTTCAAGGCATTTTAAGGTGTACCTGGTATCTACAAAAGTTTTTAGCCGCATTTCAGATTACTCATTCATTCTTGATGTCCCATCTTTCGTACATATCACGTGATCTGATATCTAACAGCATACTTATAATTCGCTGTAGCTAGAATCTATGGGACAAACAAAAGGCGGGGCACCTTATATTAGATAGTGTTCGCTGACATCAGTCACATGCCTTCAGTGAACAAGGGTACGACTCACTGAGCTGGCACCGTTGTCACTGTTAATGACTACCAATTGAATCCTGTGTCGGATCCTTTCATAGCGGCTGGAGTAGTAACATCTGCAAGATGCCGTCGGGTTATCCTCACTGACCAATAGCGCAGGATTTACGGTGCCTAGGGCGTTCTAACGTAGGCAAACAACAGTGCTTGGCTCCCAAGGGTTATCACCCAAAAGCCACAGTGGCAGAATCTGTCGAGCACCTTACTAACTCAATTTGTGGGCAACTGTGATGACCGTTCTTTACGCCTGAAATTAAAATGCATCCACGTCCTCCACGCTCGGATCGAACATGGAATATATAAACTTAGCCTCTATTTGGCTAAAGACGTACACTTACTTCAGTGAACCTTTTCCATCAAACTCTAACCTAATCCAGCGATTTTGCATCGAGAGCCAATCATGTCCTCTCAATCAAACCACATAGAAGGTTCGGATGCGAATAAGCAGAAAGTCTCTCAACCTGTTAAAAGTAAGAAAGAGGATTGCGCCGCTGGTACATCTCGGTATGTTTTTCTACTTTGTCCCTCCTTTTCATCTCCCTCTCACCTTACTCTACTACCTCCTTCGCCTCCACGTCTTTCACCAGATCCATCAGCATGGATATTACCGCTGCTATCTTCTCCAACACTGCCTTCTCGACCTCTCACAACCAAATGGTTTCGCTAACACATGAAACTTAGTACCGACGCCACCTACGCATGCTCCGACGCGACCGGAGACGTTGACGAGTTCTACACTCACCAAGCCGATACAAACGACAAGAAGACTCGCATCTACGAGCCCGTTCGCAAAGACTATGGAGGAAAGGCCATTGGCTTTGCTGGTATCGGGTCGCAGTTTGACGATAAGTGATGGCGGTGTACATGAATAGGGGATGGCAAAAATAATTAGAGTTTGGCATCGGTGTTAGTATACTGGGAAAGCGGTTTGACGGAAGTGAATGGATGACTCCCAATATTAATAATATTTGCGCAACGTCTTAGGTGCTTAGTGTATGCACAATATGATGTGGGCATGACTTCTTCGTTCTTGTCTCGACAGCTTCTTCCCCTTTCCTTAACTCCGCCACCGCCTGTCTCTCTAGTGTTTCCATTCTCATTGATAATGGCCCATCCCAAACATATAATGTCGCTCTGTCGTGCGTGTCCGGATCTTCGATAATCTTCTCGAGCATGTACATGCCCACTATCTTAAGCCATGAGTCTACGCTATGTGTCTGTAAAGCTTTCATACCTACTCCAACATCAATGCGAAGGATAAACTGACGTCGGAGAGGGATGGGATGAAGATTGCAAAGTGCGTGGTAGCATTCTGTTCTATAGGGTGCTAACAGAGTTATGATGAGTCCATGGGGGGCAAAGAGACAAGAAGTGAGGGGGTAAAGGTTTCATTTCTTACACAGACTCCCCTACGGGCGGCGACAGAATAGGTTAGAACAGTTAGTCATAATGTCGATTGGTAATCTTGGTAAATGATGTCGTTGGGTAGTCGTACGCTGGCTTTACATAAGTCGCGGTGTTAGAATATGCAAACCTTAGTAGGGAGCAGACTATGTGTGTTATGAATGTCCAAAAATTAATGGCGACCGCGGTCGCGTCATATGGCAATCAGTGTGCCACGCTACTAGCAGCTTGAACAGGTGACCGGTCTATGAACTCATTTGTTAAAACTGATAGAATACTTTGATGAAGGTGGAGTAGAGTAATATCGAGACATGTATACAAAGAAAGAAAGTGGCTGACATGGTATCCACTAGGATATTGTACATCGTAGGCTAACGCCGGTGGACAAAATTAGCCCTCTCTTCGATCCATTAATATGGCTTCCACTTATCCTTCTCATAACGGTGAAGAGGCAGGTCAAAGCCGAGTTTAGACCCAACTTCTTGTAATTTTCTTGCTTGTGCTTCTTCTTTCAGAGCGACGGCGGCGTCGTTGTACCGTTGCTGGTGTTGTAGCAAGTTTGCTTCCGTAAGGTGCTGCTGGTCGCTGCATGATTGATTTGCGGTTCCATCATCTACCAAAGTAGTCGAGGAATTGGCAGAGCAGCTTGAAAGAGGTGCGGCGACTTGTGTAGAGCTATTTGTAGGCTGACTGCTTCGGGATAGAGTTGCTGTTGATGCTCGGTTGGCAAGTGTGGAGCTCCCAATTATCCTGAAGCATGTTAGTAGTTGCAAATGACCGAGGTGATTCTTAAACCTCTCTAGCGTCGATCGCAGTTAGTGGGGCGACTCTTTCTGGGATGAGACGTGGGAAAGCACGTACGAATGGTGGCTGCCGACTGATGTCATGACTGCCATAGTGCTCGTTTCCTAGCGAAATGAAACAAGGGGGTCGTAGGATTACTTACGTAAGCTTTTTTTTTTCGACCACAGCAGGGCGAAGGTACTTGAATATAGAGAGAAGATATGGGTGTAAGTCTCCATCTTCACGAGATTCATATCATTTTCCTGCCTCGGTAGATCTTGAGACTCATGGTTTTGCCTAGTATCCCCCATTTATATGATCTTGCGTGGGGGTCTATATATCTACCAAGCATGAGTAGACAAACAGTAGAGAGCTTACCTATATGTGTCAGTTTAGACCAATGTGAGTCGCACACGTCCACCACCGCGATGAATTGCCAATTTGGGGTCGCTGTGCGGGGAACTCATCTGCAGTCACAAGAGTGTAATCGAAACGAGAGGCTTCCAAATGCAGGGCTTGGGTCAGCGGCTTTTGTAACGGTTTGGGCCTTGCCAAGACCGACTTGGGTGAGAGTTGGGTACGGCTATCGCTACCACACTTTCTCATCACACACACCTATATAGCTGCAGCTCCTCCATAACTACACAATGCAACGCAGTCCTCTTCTCCTCACACCGCTACAGCTTTTCTTCCGTTGGTAGCCAGTACGTCCTACTGGCCAGCTCGTCAGAGGTCTACTGTATGGTGACCTGAATGATGCGCGACGAAAAACAGAGTGTTGGCGGAGGTGACCGATGGGTTCTCATACAGCATCATACTGGTCCGCTGTTTGGTGTGTGGTGTAGTGTAGGAGACATAGCGGCAGAGAGACTGCGGCTGTTGTACAGAGTTGACAGCTAATCGCCCCAAAGAGGAGGGCCCATCGGAACTTCAGCCTTTCCATAGGTCCTAAATGGAGTTGTGGAGCTGACAGCAAGCTTAGCAAAGATATCTAAAAGAGCTTATTTCCTTCACCGGTAGGTAATGCTTAACCCTTTTAAGAAGATGAGTGTCAGTGTTCAAGACCTGACAACTACGGTGGTGCATCCAGTACGTCAGCAATTAGCTCGAGAACAGGCAGAAGATACCTTCTGCCGCTTATCAGCCCTTTGCTAGATAATCGAGTTTTATATAGAGCATGATTACACGCACGCATTGTCCACGCGTCGGTAAGATCGCAGCTCATAATGCGAAGCCACGGAAAGTGGGGGCTAAACATACAGGTAAAGCACGCAATGCGTGGGCGAAATGGAATCACGATGAATTGAAGATTGCCGCTCGTGCCGCCCCGGTCTAATCATAGCTACGCTCACTGCCAGCCTGCACGTACGTGTTGCGTGTCTTGACTTTGGAGGGCCAAGGCGGGCTGTATTCACATGTCAGCCTGATTGCCAGACTCCAAAGCCGAGCGTCGACGCTCAACCCCGTCACGAGTTGAATATTCAGGAATTCCCGCATGAAGGCTTGCTCAAGCGTCCCCAACTCAGCTCATTAGGACCTTTCGGTGAAATACCCACCAACCGCAATGGTTTCACCGGTCAAGGCCGGGCGAGATAGATAACACGATACTCAGTAATCGTTTTGTCCCTTCCGATGCCGCGCTGATCTGACTGGCTGTACATCTCCTGTCTATCAGCTTTGTGGCTGGGCTAGCATCCAGACTAATGTCTCATGGTGCTCCTTCCAGCCATAATCTCCGGTCCAGGTACCTACTTGGTATTCACTGACGTGGGTTTACCCTACTAGAATTTACCTTATGACATCACTAGGGCACGATAACGCTTGCTTGTTCCTCCTGAATCGTCCGCCGCATTGAACGCGACATGACGTCAGCTAAAATAAAAAGCGACAGATTCCTAGCGAGATATCCTTTCAAAGCAAAAGGGTTTTGCTTTCTTCCTGTTGATGAGATGGGTATATGGGCTCATCGTGCCGCAGTAGGCCTTCAGTTTGACAGCAATACTGCAGAGGCCGAAACGGCGGTGTCAATAATTTGTATGTTGTGGACATCGCAGGAGTTGTGCGGTCGTGCGATCTCGAAGCTGGATTTGTGCTGCAATGCACCATAAATCATCAGCTAATCCTGTGTTGGAGGCAAGCGAATTGAGTGGGATATCCATTCATCTTGCAGGTAGGAACGCACATTCGGGAACATACCACGGCCCCACCTCACCCTGTCCTCATCTTGGTACATGCGCCAGCCTCTCATGAAACCGAAACCTGGGGTTTGCAGATTGCTGCATCCAAGGGCTCGGTTGTCGGGCGGGCGAACGTTTGCTTCCAAGACCTGTTCCGGTTCCCGACAACGCGGAAGTGTCCACGTCGTGGTCAACGTGACTCGCCAGCAAGCTTAAATAATGACATGCACGAATCATGTTCCATTGCCCAATTATTATTATTATTATATTTCCATTAGAGTCCTGTATCAGTCGGTGACTATGTAGGACTTTGGCTAAGCCGTTCTATGTATGATGGTCGTTGTGGAGTTTCTATGGGTCTTGTACAATTTGGGTGGTGTTTTGCGTACTCCAATTTCAGAGCTAGTCTTCCATTGGCGCGGGTGCTAAAGAGCAGTGTGGTGAATAGAAAGAGATGTAGCAGCGGGCTCTTTTAGATAAGGAAATATTGTTTTTGTAGTTTTATACAGTGTCTGTCTGTTCGGTGGTTTGCCCAAGGTGCCATTTTCTCGTGCCAATCCTAGTACTTGCAATAAAGGCTAGAGTAGCTTTGATGCCTGTCTTTGTTTGGAGGAGGAGTGGGAGGGTGATGGGTCTGTGTGGTATTGCTTCTTTGAGTGTATTTCGATGTGTTTTGTACTGTTTGCAATCTAGAAGTAGATGCTGTGGTGTTTGTGGTTTGTAGCATATACATAGATTGCAGTCTCTCTTGTTGAATCTCTTAAGGTAGGAGTTGAAGTATCCATGTCCTAGCTTGAGTGAGTAGAACGCGCTCGAGATTTCTCTTGGTGTTCCCTTCGGGACTTTGATTGTTGTATGTGTGTTGAGCTTGAAGATCCTTGAGTAGGAGCTTCTGTTTTTGGTGGGCCTGTCGGTATACCTCTTGTACTCCATCAGTTGTTCTGTTTTTTGTATTTTGTTGATTTCTGTGCCTAAGTAGGCTAGGCTCGCTATGGTCGATGTTGTTGGTCTCTCTTTAGCTGCTTCCTTTGCTAGCGTGTCGGCTTTTTCGTTGCCCTTGACGTCGTTATGTCCTGGGGCCCACTGCAGGTGGATCGATGCTTTCTTTGTCGTTATTCTCTTTGCAGCTCTGATGCATCTTAGTAGCCACTGTTGTCCCGGGTTGTCCGATAGGTTGTTAAGCCTATGGATTGCTGCTTGGTTGTCTGCGTATACGTAGATCTCTTGGCCTTCTTGTGCCACTGTAGCCGCGTGTTCAAATGCCTGTGCTATCCCCTCTAGTTCACCGTTGTAGACTAGTTGGGAGCATCCAATGTTTGTCTTTTGAGAAAAGGTTTCTTCGTGGGTGGAGCTGTACGCTACCACAGTCCGCAACAATCAATTAAGTGGGTCCTAGAAGGTTCAGATTGGATTGATTGATTACCGCTTTAAGCCTAGTAGTTACCTATAGGAGTTTAAGCCCTACCTAGATAGGTAAGTGGGTCTAGGAGAGTGACCGGATTGAATTGATTGTTGCGGAGTCTACTAGCCAACATCGAAAGAGGACTCTCCCCAAAAGCAGTACGACAACTATACCTAGCATGCGTCACAAGCGTTGCAGACTACGGATCACAAATATACTGGAAGAACCAAAGCTACGCCACTAGCCTCCTACAATCACTGCACAACCTGGCGTGTAGAAAGATAATTGGAGTGTTTAGAACGTCACCATCCCTACCAACAAGCATTGAATCCGGACTTACGTCACCTGCAATTAGACTCAACACCAACAACCGAAAGTATGCGTCTAGAGCACACCAGCTATCCAGCAACCACCCAATCCAGAAAGCAATTACAAGGATCACAAATACAGACAAAGCTAGCTACAAAAAGCCAAACCAGCATAGACAACTATACACTATTGTTAAGTCAATCCCAGAGAGAGACAACAATAGCGTAGAAAAGATAATCCCATATAGGTTCAGACCATGGGAAAGTCTTAACTACAAGGTTACTGTATCAAAAAAGAGCAAAGAGGAAGAGGCAATCACAGTCCGCAACAATCAATTAAGTGGGTCCTAGAAGGTTCAGATTGGATTGATTGATTACCGCTTTAAGCCTAGTAGTTACCTATAGGAGTTTAAGCCCTACCTAGATAGGTAAGTGGGTCTAGGAGAGTGACCGGATTGAATTGATTGTTGCGGAGTCTAGTCTTAGCTATATCGAACATAATCGCTAAGTTTTTCCCTCGGTGAGATAGTAGGCGGACTTGCTGTTCTAGTATTTTGACATTTTTCTTTAGCGATGTTGAGGATGTCGATAGAGATAGGTCGTCAATATAGGATAGGTTGAAGCTTTGTAGTCCTGGGAAGAGGTCTCTGGTGTAGATAAGAAAGAAGATTGGAGACACTGGGCTGCCTTGAGGTATCCCAGTTCCATTGCCCAACACATGCTCATAAGAACAGTCTTTTGGACTCTTAGACACCACCGATCAGTGCTTCTTATGAAATAGCAGCACCAAGTGCTCTTTAGTGATTGATAATTGTCGACGCTTTTGATAAGGCCCTTAATAAGGCTGGCGACCTCACTGCTCCCGAGTTCGATGTGTTGCACAGTAAGAGGCTCATTCTGGGGCAAGGTTGATAACATGCAGCATGCTATCGTTTGATCGTCGATTGAGACAGATTGGAACACCTAGGTGTCATAAGATACTTGACAGTGTGGTTAATCTCCCAATAGGTGTGTCTGGCGACTACCATAGCTCTTTTAAACTAGTATGTTAAGTATTTTACGACACCCGGATAGGAAGCACGAGGAGACCAGGACCTAAAGAACAGATCGGCGTTCCATAGGAATTATTTATCTATCGGTTATGCAAAGGCCAACGTCGGTCCTACTGTTGTTCATCACGAATCCCAGAACACGACATATCTTGGGCCCTTTTCTACGAAGGCGTAGATAGAAAATTTTGGTCGATATGACCTTATTTTACACGCATAGGGGTGCATAACCATGGATCATATCAAGTGAAACGATGAGGGCCTGGGTCTTTAGAGCTATTAAGTCTCGGAGAAGCCTATATTTATTACTGTACGCCTGCACAATGATGCATATAGTCGCAAATTACCTAGAGGATGTAGGGATTTGTTACTGATACGTGCGCGCCCGAAACGTGAAAGCTTCCACGGGAAGCTGATCAAGTAACAGCGGAGGCGGATCGTCTGCCGGTGAATTAGCCTGCATGCTCATTTTGAGATCAGTTCGGGCTGGAAATAGACTCAGTAGCTAGTAGTAGTAGTGTCGGTAAATGGTCAGCGGGTGCTCCGCGGTGCACTATTGGGCGAGTACATAGGGAGCTGGACGAGCAGTGTCAGGAACACCACTAAATAACAACCTTCTTGTGCAGATCATAAACAAGGGGTCGCGGAACTGCAACACTTCTTAATCCTATCGCTCTGCTTGCACAGGGTGGGCTTGGGCCATGCCCAGATGTCATTAACGAATAACCTTCTACGCGGTTTCCATGTCGGTGCCAGTTGACCCGAGGATCTGCTCTGCGCCGATACTAGCCGCTGCATTAGCGAGGGGTCCCCAGAATCCAAAGCGCTGGCAAAGTTCAGTGCATGAATCAAGCGAGACCAGGAAGGCGTGCCTCGCGTGTCATTGCCTGCCACCACAGCCTTGCGCCGGAACCACCTCCTTCAACACATATTTGGTCCATTGAGGAAGCGGCTCACGGGTGAGTCGAATCTCTTCCGAACATTACGAGTCACCGAATGCGAGCCTTGGATCTTAACGCACACCCCCACAAGCTACCTACGTACGTGGTGACGACTGCACACTTGATGCATCATGAGCTGACGGGCGGCACGAGAAATGATTACATAGCGGCAGTGATATATAGAAAGACGTGTTATTCATGCATGTCTATCCAAATTCTCGCAACTTCTTCAACTCTAGTAGCGCTATGTGAGCAGGCTACGATACGATGTTGCCCATGGCAATCTTTCGACGTGGGTAACGGAGATCTCCTGATAGCGGGGAAGTTCAGCTCATGTCCGCAGAAACATAAACCCATATAAATCTGCACATTCGTAAAGGCATTAGGAAACAGAATAAGAGTTCTCTTATTAGCAAGGCTAATTACCGCATGGAATAATTGCCTATATTCGCTCTATCGGTTTATCGTACAGGCGTGACATCATATTGCAAGCACTAGCGCCATCCAGTTAATACAAAAGAAAGGCGATCCAAAAACCTTATCTTTCAAACTGCTTGTTGTTTAATCCATTCGCTAAGTTGGGACTTCTGTGGCATATAGCATTCGATTGGTAGGTCGATGTTAGATTCGAGCCCAGCCCGTTGGCAATTGATGGCTTTCAAGACTTGTTGGCAGAAGGTGGTTCCGTGATCGCGGTTTGAGTTGTTGAGCTTTAGTCTTTCTTCGGTAAGCTCTTGGCCAGCGGCCGCATCAGACTCGTTCGTGTTGCCGATACGAGCGTTGTTCCCGTGTTCTGTAGCATTGGGCACACTGCGTGGTCTGTTGTCTACCTCGGCGCCGAAAATATGGTTTGCATTGGGATTCATGTTGGCAGAGCGTAGTCGAGAAAATTCTGAGCTGAAGTATGACAAAGTCGCGAACGTCGTGATTATGTACTAGTAGAGGGTGTAGCGGGTATCTTGACGGTAAACGAAGATGGTGGAGTTGAGTAGTAAAGACAATAAGACAATACTAGCGCAATTGCTGTATGGAAATGGAATCGATTACTTACACGTCCAACGCGGTGTCTTTCTCCTCATAGAAGAATATTAAATTTTACAGGGTGTTGGAAGGCCTTGTACGATCGTACGGTGAATAACAGTAGCTAAGGTAATCTTGTGTATTGGTATTCTGGTGTATGATGATTCTACGAATGTGGGGGCTACGAAGGTATACATAGCGTTGGGTCCGAGTTGGGCCGAAGTAGGATCGAGGCGGTACATTGGGCCTTATTAGGCGACACACCGTGTGTATGCCGACACAGGGGCTCTCCAGAATACTGTACTTGGGATTATCATGGTATGCCCCTGTCCATGACGACGCCTGTGCGGGTACTTGGAAACCTTCCTGCAATTGGACTGTGTCTCAACCAGCACGAGATCACTCGCAATCACCCAAAAGAGGGCAAAGAGGCAACCGCCAAGACACATAACTGCCTGAAGGAGCTTCACACACATTCGAGTCACCGAACACCAACTTTTAAGGAATTTGGGACCCTTATAAAATTATACGATTTTTACATCATTTTAACGGCACGGCGGCCTGTAACTACCTCAGCTAAATAACCGCTTTCTGCTCTCGCGGAGGTGGTTAGAATGGCTAATGTAGAAACTCCAGAGAGGGCGCCACGGAGTGCCCAACCCCCCCATACACGATCAGAGGAGCCTGAGAGCCCTATTAATACTGACCTGCGCGGCAACAAGAGGAGGCAGCGAGCACATACTCGTGCTGAACCTTCTATCGGTAGCACTGCGCCCACCTCCTACAATCAAGCTGTCTCTGAAGCGGTCCGCCAGCGGATTCAGGCAGCCCAAAAAGCTACAAACCTCCACCACTCCATCATAACGGATCTAGCGACAGCTGTCGACAGATGCCTTGGGAAGTACACCGACCCAGACGGAGCCCGTGTGGCTAAGGACCTTCAACAGAAGGTGCTAAGGGCTATTAACACCTCCCTAATCACGCCCCTAATCACGCCCCCAAACTCAGGGAGCGACTCTGACACTACGCACCGCTCCTGGGCGGACGTAGCTAGGACCCTGAAAAATCCAACCCCCCCAGCAAGGGGGGCCGCTACGACGAAAGCGGCCACGGCTGCCCCAAAGCAGCTAGCTCAAACTCCTAGGCGACCTCTAAACACTGACAACCGTATCCTTATAGCGGTTGGAGCGGAGGCTCGGCTCCAACGGGCATCACCATTTGCGGCCCGCATGGCTATTGTAAAGGCGATTAAGGAAATTACCCCCTCCGACATACCTACGGCAAAACATATCAAGACTGGCTGGGCGATTACGCCCCGCAACGACAAAATCAAGGCCCTGCTTATGGGGCAGGAGAATCGCGAACTCATGATCCGAGCGGTAGAGGGCGAGAGCGCAAGACTACCTGAACGATGGGTGAACTATGCAGTCCAGGGCGTAGAAAGCTCATACCGCACTATCACAGGGGAAAGTATACCCACCACAATAGACGATATAGTCAGCGAAGCTCTGTCCCAGACAGGGATCGAACCGGCGAGCTGCCGGCCCTCCAGACATGGACCCACGGAGGGAAGGACAACCTGGATTATATCTTTCACCAGACCCGTACGATCGTTTCGCCTATTTGGGACGGGCGACTACGCGCACGAGATAAAGAAGAACTCACCTGCAATGCTGCACGACCCAGGCTGCCTAGGGTACTGCAAAACCAGCCGCTGCACAAGGCCAGCCCGCTGCACGACATGCAGCAAAACAACGGCAACTCACCAGGGACCACACGGAGAACAATGCAAAGACACACCAAAGTGCGCCAACTGCCACGGCCCATTTCCAGCAACCCACGACAAGTGCCCAGCAGCCCCAACGAGGGCGAACGGCCGACTCATCCAACCCACAAAGGGGGAACTAAAAGTCATTAGGGAGGCGGGTGACCGTGCTTCTGAGGCAATGCAGCCAGCTAGAGGAAGACAGACAGGCAGCACGGTCGAAACCTCCATTGAAATCACGGACGGCGACATAGCTAATACTACTGAGCCTGTGGGAACACCTACGGACGCAAGTAAAAGAAGCCGACAAGACGTAAACAACCTAAACACAGCCACTGTTAGAGAGCCCGCAACCACCCTAGGGACTAGGAGGTCTAAGAGAACAGCTGCAACTACGCAAGACCTCAACCTAGCGCGAATGTCTGCTAGAAGCGTGCAGCCTAGCACCGCTGACCAAGACCCTAACACGTCATCGTCTGAGCACGCTGACACTGAAATGAGCCTCGGATCTAGTGCGTAATGAGGGCACAACCCGCGAATTCACCCGGCGAAACCACGCCACACCGACACAGACAAATGCAGGTATGCTGGGTGAATGTGGCCAGAAGCTCGCCTTGCCACATTACAGCCTTAGAACGTGCATGGGAAGCAGACATAGACATAGTATGCATCCAAGAACCCTTTACTCTCACTGGAACCCGGACCTCTACACACCCAGGATTCCATATGATATCGCCAGTGATAAGCTGGAACAACCCCACAACGTGGGGAACTGACCGACCACGGGTGCTCACCTATACCCGTAAGAGCCCAAATATAAGGGCTACTCTTATACACCCACGCATCAGCCGGGATGTGCTATGGATCGAGGCCAACGGCTACCGCATATTGAATGTTTATAGGCAGCCACAGAATGACTCGACATTTCAATACCTCACAGCTTTAACGCCACCCCGTAACTGCCTTGTAGGGGGTGACTTAAACGCCCGCCATGAACTTTTTGAGCCCGGCTCCACGTCGGCCAATAGGGGGGCAGAGATCGCCCGCTGGGCCACTCAGAACGACATACCCTACATCGGCGAGGCAGGTAACCCAACACATCGGGCGGGACACGTGCTAGACGTATCCTTCTCAAATATACCCTTCGCTAGAACGACAGTCCGCGAAGATATGTATACAGGGTCAGACCATTTCACCCTAGTGACTGTGTCCTTCCAAGCCGAGGGAGAGCGGTGCTAGAACAGCATCACTACCGGGTCCACGAGAGAAACATAGATAGGTTTGCCGGGCTAGTTCAACTCTACACAGTAGGCGTACAGCCAATTAGCAATAGCGCCCCAGCGGACGTAATCGACGCAAGCATAGCTAGAATCACCCAAGCTATAGGAGATGCAATGCACGCGGCGGGAACACCAAATAGAGAAAAAGGCCACTCCGCCCCATGGTGGACAGAGGACTGTAGAGTGGCGTATAAGCGGCATATCCAGGAAAAGTCGGACTATGGCCAATCCCCCTCAGAAGCCACCCGTGCGTTCCTAGCTACGGTACGAAAAGCCAAGAGAACGTACTGGCAGCAGCGCATAGACGGCTGTAATAACGACAAAGATCTATACAAGCTAGTAGGCTGGCATAAACTATCATTCGACCAACGGGACACCCCACTTGTAATCGAAGGTAGGACAATCACAGCACCACTCGAGAAAGCTGAGGCACTTAGAGAGGCAATCCTCGACCGTTTTTCGGCGGAGGACGACCTCCTAGAACCACCGCCTCTTGACAACGACCCGCAAACCACGCCACTACCATGGGACACATACATATCGATGGAGGAGACTGAACGCTACGTGATTGGAGTATCTAGCACCTCCCCAGGACCCGATCAGGTGACCGTCCGACTCCTAAAGGCATGCTGGGAACACATTAGACACCTAGTGCTAGGCATCTACCGGGCGTGCATGGAACAAGGCCACTACCCAGCCGCCTGGAAGACGGTAGAAGTGGCCATGATACCCAAAGTCGGGAAGAAGGATAAGTCCTCACCCAGATCAATGAGACCAATTGCCCTATCGTCCTGTCTAGGGAAGGGACTCGAGCGTATCATAGCAAGGCGCATAGCACACACAGCTATGGCTTTTGACATCCTAAGCCCACAGCACGGTGGAGCGCTGCCAAAACGCTCTGCGATGGACCTGGCGACCGTATTCACACACGACGTGGAGATGGCTTGGTCAAGACACGAGCATGTCTCTATGCTCACGTTAGACGTCCAAGGGGCGTTTGACGCGCTACTGAAAAACAGGCTACTACACCGAATGCGGCAACAAGGGTGGCCACCCCTACTCCGGAAATTTATCCAGAACTTCCTGTCGGAAAGGAGGGTGCGAGTACGCCTAGGCAATGTCACTACACCTGTACATCGAGTGGCCTGCGGCACCCCGCAGGGATCGCCGCTATCACCGGTCCTATACACCCTATACCTAGCTGAACTACTCAACCAGGACCGAAAACTCCGGTTCGGGTATGCCGACGACATCAACCTATACCGGGTCTCCCACTCTTTAGACGAGAACGTCGCACTGCTAGCAGAGGACCTCAAATCTATCAATGAATGGGGAGCTGCGAACAAGATCACGTTTG